GTGTAAGATAGCCCAAGTGCTTGGGTCCCTGCACCCACATTGGAAACCCGGAGGTAGCTTCTGGCTTCAGATTGGCTCAGCTCTGGGTGTTACAACCATTTGAGAAGTGAACCAGCGGATGGAAGACCTCTCTCTCTCTCTCCCTCTCTCTAACTATGCTTCTCAAGGAATAAATATTTTTTTTTAAATGTGATCTCATTTCCCTACCATTAATATTTCTGTGTTAAGCTAATGTCATGATGATTAAAAATGTTAAAATTAGAAAAAGAATGATACATATCTCTTCCATTATTATGCAACATTTGTTACACTTTTTAAAAAGACATCTTGTTTGTGAATTTTTTCAACTATATGAATAGTTTTAGGTTTACTTTTCCTGGGCCATGTCAGAAATATATTTTGTTTAGATTTTAAATTTTCTATTAATTGAAAGGCTGATAGAGCAACAGAGACAGAGATCTTCCAGCCGCTGGTCACTCATCCAGTGCCTGCAATAGCCATGGTGAGGCCAGGCAGAAACCAGGATCCAGGAAGTCAATACAAGTCTCCCACGTGGGTGCAGGAATCCAGGTTGCTGGAGTCATCTTGCTGCTTCCCTGGAGTTCATTAGCAGGAAGCCGGGATTGGAAGTGAAGCTAGAACTAAGCCCAGGCACTCCAGTGTCCCACTGTGCCAAACACACCTGTCTGTTAGTTTTTTTTTTTTTAAGCTTTATTTATTTATTTTAAAGAGTTACACACAGAGAGAAGGAGAGGCAGAGAGAGAGAGAATCTTCCATTCTTGGTTCACTCCCCAGTTGGTCACAACAACCGGAGCTGTGCCGATCCAAAGCCAGGAGCCAGGAGTTTTTCTGGGTTTCCCACATAGGTGCAGGGGCTCAAGGACTTGGGTCATCTTCTACTGCTTTCCCAGGCCATAGCAGAGAGCAGGATTGGAAGTGGAGCAGCCGGGACTCAAATCCGCAACTGTAGGCTGCGGCTTTACCCACTACACCACAGCGCTTGCCCTGTTAGTTTTTATTTTCATATAATTTCAGAAAACTTGTAGAAATAATATGAAGTTCTGTGTTCTACAGATAACTTTTCCCACATTTGCTTCTTTTTCTTTCTCCCTTGTTCTCTCCTCAGTCTCCTGTGAGCACAAATCTAGTTGGAATAAAAACATCATACGGCATTCTGTGAGATGCCTTTTTTTTTTTTTTTTTTTTTTTTTTTGACAGGCAGAGTTAGACAGTGAGAGAGAGAGAGACAGAAAGAGAAAGGTCTTCCTTTTTCCATTGGTTGACCCCCTAATTGGCTGCTACCGCTGGTGCGTTGTGGCCAGCGTGCTGCGCTGATCTGAAGCCAGGAGCCAGGTGCTTCTTCCTGGTCTCCCGTGCGGGTTCAGGGCTCAAGGACCTGGGCCATCCTCCACTGCCTTCCCGGGCCATAGCAGAGAGCTGGGCTGGAGGAGTAGCAACCGGGACAGAATCTGGCACCCCGACCGGGGCTAGAACCCAGGGTGCCGGCACTGGCCCAAGATACCATTCTAAGTATTTGTTATTGAGGCTCCTGACAGCGATCCTCACCTGTGTCATTCATGCAGAACTTGTGCATATTTTATGATAATAATGCATTATACTGGGGCCAGCACTGTGGCATTGCAGGTAAAGCTGCCACCTATAGCACCAGCATCCCACATGGGCCCCAGTTTGAGTCCCAGGCTGCTCCACTTTTGATCCAGCTCCTTGATAATGCATTTGAGAAAGCAGTGGAAGATAGCCCAAGTTCTTGGGCCCCTACACCCCCGTGGGAGGCCCAGATGAACTTCCTGGCTCCTGCCTTCAGTCTGGCCAGTTCTGGCTAGCCCTGGCCATGGTAGCCATTTGGGGAATAAACCAGCAGATGCGGATCTCTCACATTCTCTCTGCCTCTGCTTCTGTCTCTGCCTCTCCTCTGTAACTCTTTCAAATAAATTCAAAGCAAGACAAAATAATATATTATGTTTTTGAAAGTTTTAAAACTTAATTTAGCTAAATTCCACAAATCAGTTATTCTTTTTTCTTAGTTATACTATTATTCTTTTTTTTCTTGACAGGTAGAGTTATAGACAGTGAGAGAGACACAGAGAGAAAGGTCTTCCTTCCTTTGGTTCACTCCCCTAATGGCTGCCACGGCCAGCACTGCACCGATCTGAAGCCAGGTGCCGGGTGCTTCCTCCCGGTCTCCCATGTGGGTGCAGGGACCCAAGCACTTGGGCCATCCATCCTCCGCTGCCCTCCCAGGCCACAGCAGAGAGCTGGACTGGAAGAGGAGCAACTGGGACTAGTACCTGGTGCCCCAACCGGGACTAGAATCCAGGGTACCAGCGCTGCGGGCGTAGGATTAGCCAAGTGAGCCATGGCACCGTCTTTTTTTTTTTTTTGACAGAGTTAGAGAGACAAAGAGAAAGGTCTTCCTTCCGTTGTTTCACCCCCCAAATGGCCCTACGGCCAGAACTATGCTGATCTGAAGCCAGGAGCCAGGTGCTCCTCCTGGTCTCCCATGAGGGTACAGGCGCCCAAGCACTTGGGTCATCATCCACTGCCTTCTGGGGCCACAGCAGAGAGCTGGACTGGAAGAGGAGCAACCGAGACTAGAACCCTGCGCCCACATGGGATGCCAGCGCCCCAGGTAGAGGATTAACCAAGTGAGCCACAATGCCGGCCCCTATCCTATTCTTTTTTTTTTTTTTTTTAAAAAAAAAAAAAGAAAACACCCCCCACAGAACTATTGTCTCAGTTTTTTTTTTTTTTTTAATAACAAAAAAGAAACATCCTATTCTTTAAGAATTTTTTTTAATGCTTGTTTTGGTATAATTTTCTTTGTTCCAGTGGGTGGCACCTTAATAAAATGGAGCTGATATTGTAGTTTTAGAAGTTGTTAGTACTGGTTTTGAAAACTGTGATAAAATCTACATTACATAAAATTTATTATTTTAATATAAAACAAAATTTTATATTTTAACAGTTCAGTGGCATGTGATTGTGTAAATAGTTACAAAAATTGGAAATACATATTAGCAAGTAAAATGCAGTGTGATGTATAAAAGTAATTTGACTAAGCTTTATTTTAGGAATGTAAACTTAGAGTAAAATTGTACTTTATGACTATAAACTTAGATTAAAATTGGAAAATCAGTTATTGGGGATTTAGGTTAAGTTACTGCTTGGGATGCCCACATTTCATATCTGGAGTACCTGAGATTAGTTCCTCTGTGCCTTCCAATCCAGCTTCTTGCTAACGCTCTTGGAAGGCAGCAGATGATGCTGAGGTATTTACATCTCAGCCATCCATGGTAGAGTTCTCGACATTTGGCTTTGGCCTGTCCATACCCTGGCTGTTGGAGACATTTGAAAAGTGAGCTAGTGGATGTACAATGCTTTCTGTGTCTTGAGTCTGTCTTTTTCTGTTGCTCTTCCTTAAACTTAAAAATAAATAAACTTTTGAAAAAAATCAATGGATTTTACCATATCAACAAATTAGGGAGAAAATATAATCATTTTAATGTGGAAAAAATACATGATAAATTTCAGTACTTGATTCATGGCACATAGTGCAGCTTCAGTATTTACCAATGTGGCAGGTTAAATTATTAAGATTAGAGAAAAATGTTTAAAGTATGATGGTATTATTGTGATAGATATATGAATAAAGGATTATAGGGTCTATATTGTGGTGTACTGGGTTAAGCTACAGATTGTGGCACTAGCATCCATATCAACACTGGTTTTAGTCCCCACTGCTTTGCTTCTAATCCAGCTTCTTGCCTTGGAAAGCAGTAAAAGATGGTCTAACTACTTGGGTCTCTGCAACCCACATGGGGGACTATGTATATTTGTTATTTTTTAACCATAAATAACAACAAATATTATTTATAATTAAAACTTTAAAAAATTATTTATTTGAAAGGCAGAGTTAGGGAGAGGCAGAAAGAGATTTTTCATCCACTGTTTCATTCGCCAAATGGCCTCAATAGCCCAGGCTGGACCAGGCTGAGGCCAGGAGCCTGGAACTCCATGCAAATTTCCCACATGGGTAGCAGGGGCCCAAGTACTTGAACTATCTCTGTGCCTTCCCAGGCATGTTAACAGAGAGCTGGATTAGAAGTGGAATAGTGGGGCTGGCCTCTTGGTGCACTAGGTTAATCCTCCGCCTGCGGCGCTGGCATCCCATTTGGGTACCGGTTCTAGCCCCAGCTGCTCCTCTTCCGATCCAGCTCTCTACGATGGCCTGGGAAAGCAGTGGGAGATGGCCCAAGTGCTTGAGCCCCTGTACCTGCATGGGAGACCAGGAAGAAGCACCTGGCTCCTGGCTTCGGATTGGTGCAGCTCCGGCCATTGCAGCCATTTGGGGAGTGAACCAACGGAAGGAAGACCTTTCTCTCTTTCTCTCTTTCTCTCTCTCTCTGTCTGCAACTCTACCTGTCAAATAAATAAATCTTAAAAAAAAAAAAAAAAAGTGGAATAGCTGGGACTAGAACCAGGGCCCATATGAAATGTTGGCATTGCTGGTGACAGCTTAACCTGCTGTATCACAACACCAGCCCCTATTAATCAGAAACAAGTACAAGAAAAATATTTAAGCTTGGCTTTCTTTCTGTTGTGAAGTGCAAAACCCATTAAATTGTGAATTGAAATAGCAATTTTAAGGAACCTAAAGAAGACAGCTTTGAAGAGAAGCATAAGTGATGATGATGGCAAGTATCAAATGAGTTTGGTTGTGTACATGGGGCCATGAACTGTTTGCTGAGCTGGATAGATGAGTAACTGTGATGCTAATACAGATGATACATTATGAGAATTCAAAAGTTGATACTTTGACTCAGACTAGACATTTCATGTTTATGATTTTTTCATTATAGAAATTTGATTAGGAACCTTTGATAGTAACTGGTTTGTGTTATAATTGAGATGATATATAAATTCACTGATTTCTAAGTATTAGGAGTTGTTTATATTGTTCTTTTATGCATCTTTACAGATGGTAGTAAAAACTTTTATGGATATGGATCAGGACTCAGAAGACGAAAAACAGCAGTATCTCCCACTAGCCTTGCATCTTGCATCTGAATTTTTCCTCAGGAACCCCAATAAAGATGTGCGTCTCCTTGTAGCATGTTGTTTGGCTGACATCTTTCGAATCTATGCCCCAGAAGCCCCATATACTTCCCACGATAAACTTAAGGTAAATATAATCTTTATAAAATACTTAGATTTTGTAGATTACACTTAGAAACAAATATTTTTTTATTATTATTACCACTTTAACATAAATTGCAAAGCCAGTTATTCACTTAATATTTATTGAGTATTAGTAAAAATGACTGGTATTTTTTATGAGGAACTAAAAGGTATGTATCAAACCCAAGTCTAAACTAAATGCTTGCTCCTCTCTTACCTTCAGGCTAATCGGTCACAAACTCAGGTGGATATAAAGGGATACATAGTAGATGCAAAATAATTTTTAAAGCAATAATACACCAGAATTTATATATCAAATGACTGTTTCCTCCTACAAGTTATTCAACTTGCAAGACTGGATGGTTATCTTGGTGATTTTGCCTTGTTTAAAAAAATGAGGAACTTTTTTTTTTTTTCAAAGATTTATTTTTATTTATTTGAAAGAGTTTTACAGAGAGAGACAGAGAAGTCTTCCATCTGATAGTTCACTGCCCAATTGGCTGCAAAGGCCAGAGCTGAGCCTATCCGAAATCAGGAGCCAGGAGCTTCTTTTGATTTTAATCCTTCCAATTTTTTTTTTTTAACTTCAATTTATTTGAGGGGCAGAGAAGCACATGGAGAGAGAGCTCCCATCTGTTGATTCACTCCTCTGATCACTGCCATGGCTGGAACAGGGCTCAGAATGAAGCTGGGAGCTGGGAATTCAATTCAGGTTTCCCGTGTGGGTGACAGGGACCGAATTACTTGCGCCATCACTGCTGCCTCACATTTCTTTCTTTATTTGAAAGGCTTAGTTACAGAGAGATGGAAAGACAGAGAGAGAGATTGTCCATCTACTAGTTCACTCCCCAAATGGCCTCAACCAGGACTAGGTTAGACCAAAGCCAGGAGTCAGGAGATTCTTCTGGGCCTCCCATGTGGGTTCATGGGTCCAAGGACGTGGCCATCTTGGCTACTTTCCCAGGCACATTAGCAGGGAACTGGATCAGAAGTGGAGCAGCTGGGACACAAACCAGCATCCATATGAGATGCCAGCATTGCAGGCGGCAGCTTAACCCACTACACCACTATGCTGGCCCCTTTTTAAAGATTTATTTATTTGTTTGAAAGTCAAAGTTATGGAGAGAAAGGGACAGAGATATTCATTCAGTCCCCAGATGGCCACAATAGCCATGGCTGGATGAAACCGAAGCCAGGAGCTTCATCTGTGTCTCCTGTGTGGATGGCATGATGCAAGTACTTGAGCTGTCTTCTGCCACTTTTCCCAGGCCATTAGCAGGGAGCTGGATCATAAGTGGAGCAACTGGGATATGACCTGATGCTCATATGGGATGCTGGCGTCACAGTAGGTTGCATTATCTGCTATGCCACAATGTTGCCTGGACTAGTTTTTTATGACCACGGTTGGCTGTCACCCCATCAACAATTTTGTATTCTGTAGTTACAGATACCTGCAGTCTGAGAATATTAAATATGAGTTTCTAGATAGAAAAAACAATTCATAAGTTGTAAATTGTACCACCCATCTTCTAGTCACTTAGTAGTTATCTTAGTTATCAGGTTGACTGTGAGATACTTCAGTGCTTGTATGTAAGTAGTTCTTATTTTACTTAACAGTGACTGCAAATAGTGCAAACTTTTATTTTTTTTAAAGATTTATTTTATTTATTTGAAAGATGAGTTACAGAGTGGCAGAAAGCGAGAGAAAGAGAGAAAGGGTGCAGGGAGGTGTCTTCCATTAGCTGGTTCATTCCCTAGATGGCTGGAACGGCCAGAGCTATACTGTTCTGAAGGTAGGAGCCAGGAGTTTCTTCCGGGTCTCCCACGTGGGTGTAGGGGCCCAAGGACTTGGGCCATCTTCCACTGTTTTCCCAGGCAGTAGCAGAGAGCTGGATTGGAAGAGGAGTAGCTGGGATTAGAACAGGATACTGGCGCTTCAGGCCAGGGCTTTAACCCGCTGTGCCACAGTGCTGGCCCGAGTGCAAACTTTTATTACAGCATATTATTATTATCATCATCATCATCATCATCATCATCATCATCATCCTATTATTTCTTAATCTCTTGCTATGCCTAATTTTTAAATTTTATCTTAGATATATTTAGAAGAAAATGTAAATACAGGAATCAGTACTGTATAGTTTCAGGCATGCACTGGGAGTCTTGGAATTTATTCAGTCCAAATAGGGAGACTATAGTAGTCCAGAAATCATTTTGTACCTTACTGATACTATTTTCAAATGAAACAACTAAATAAAACTTCAGAAACAGAGTACTGTCATTTTTAAAAGTGTGACCCTTCGACCAGTCTGTCTCCTGTTTTATACAACTTTGTAGTCCCACATAAAATTCATAACTAAGTGCTAAAACTTAGTATTTACATGTAGAAAATATAATTGAAAGACTCCTGTTCAGCTCCTTAAAATGAAGATAGTTGTTTGCCATGATGCAGGGTGAAGATAGTGAAGTAGAAGCACTACAGTAGAAGCAAAGGTAATATGTTAGATACAAAACCTGATGTCCCTTTTGAATGAGAATATTTAAATATTTATAGAAATAACAAATTTCTAAAAGATTTATTTATTTGAAAGGCATAATAAGAGAGAGACAGGGAAATCTAGTTCATTCCCCAGATGCCCACAACAGCCAGGGTTGTGCCAGGTTGAAGCCAAGAGCCAGTTAGTTCATAATATGTTTATGAGCTATTAGTATGTTATGAAAGAATAAGAAGTATTTGTGTCTAAATTAATACTTTTTATTTTTTTTTAACAGGACATATTTTTGTTTATCACCAGACAATTAAAAGGTTTGGAGGATACAAAGAGTCCGCAGTTTAACAGATACTTTTATTTATTAGAGGTAAAAAAAAAAAAAAAAAAAAAAAAAAACACTTGATTTACTAAATATCACATTATTTCATTGTTGCAAATTCTATATAGTAACTTTGTAATGTAGAGTAAAACTTTCTTTGTTTTATACAAAGCCAGCTTACAAAATCTTTGACATTTCCTAAGGACAATATAATCTTTTTATTGTTCCTTATATCCTCTAAAGATATATTCTATAGATCATTTAAATTATAAATTTTATTTCATCTTTTTTCTCTTTTCTAATGTCAATATATATTTTCACTGCTTATAATTTAATGTATGCCTGCCGACCACTAAATATAAGTGTTTTTCAATTTGAGAAAGTTGATGCCCCCTTAAAGGTCAGAGAACTTTAACACTCATATAATTTTGTATATTGGGTTTTCATAGGCTTTTAATATAATTCTATAAATTTTACTAATGAGCTTGCTTTTGTGTAACTGTAAATTTTTTTTTTTAAGAATTTAGCTTGGGTTAAATCATATAACATCTGCTTTGAATTGGAAGATTGCAATGAAATTTTTATTCAACTTTTTAGGACTCTCTTCTCAGTGATCAAGTAAGTTAATTCTGAAGCATTTCTGTTTTTTCTTGCTGTGTTTGTTGAAGTGTCCTATACTTTGTGTACAGTACAATGTTTTAGAGTTGTAAGAAGTTGTTTTCCTTAGAAGATAAAACATGGGGCCGGCGCTGTGGTGCACTAGGTTAATCCTCCACCCACGGCGCCGGCATCCCATATGGGCACAGGGTTCTAGTCCTGGCTGCTCTTCTTCCAGTCCAGCTCTCTGCTGTGGCCCGGGAGTGCAGTGGAGGATGGCCCAAGTGCTTGGGCCCCTGTACCCGCATGGGAGACCAGGAGGAAGCACCTGGCTCCTGGCTTTGGATCGGCGCAGCACCGGCCGTTCAGGCCATTTTGGGGAGTGAACCAATGGAAGGAAGACTTTCTCTCTGTCTCTCTGTCTCTCTCTCACTGTCTAACTCTATCAAATAAATTTTAAAAAATAATAAAATATGAAGAGGAAAATAAAATTAGGTTGCAAGAAAACTACCTTTGCCCTTACACTGCCATTTTAAAATATGAATCAGTTTATTGATTGACACTTGTGTGCCCTAATGTGTTCTGGGAGCTATAGACAATAAATAAATGTAAAGTAGGGTCTTGTTTTTAAGAAACTTATTATCCAATAAAGGGAACTGCATAAAGTTATAGAACAAATGATAAGAGACCTTATACGCTGAAGAACTAAATTATGAATATCGTATATACCCTTGGTGTTCCTCTAAGCACATTGACTCTGATATCTTCTCATTGTTGAAATGAGAAAGAAATCTTTAACATTGTCTAAATCATCAATTTATGGAAATAGGGCAATTAATGCAGATAGATGAAGTTTACTGATTTGCCAAGGACAAATTGCTGGACAAGAGAGCCTAAATTTGGAGGTTTTTTTTGTATAGTAAACAAAGTGTCATCATGAGATGTCCTCTAAAGTATTACATTTTTTGGAAACATGTACTTTGTTTTCCTCTCCTCAGCAATATGCACATAATATTCAATATCTGTAAACTATTGTATATTTCATCCAGTTTTTTGGTCATTTCAGATAGTGGAGTAAATTCTTTCCTTCTTGCCATATCTTTACTGGAAGTCTTAAACTGACTGATTTAGATTGATTGGATTTGTAGAAATTTCCACATTATCTTTTGCTTTGTTTCCCTCATCTTTTTTTTTTTTTCCTTTTTTTTTTTTTTTTTTAAGATTTATTTAGGGGCTGGCGCCGTGGCATAGTGGGTAAAGCTGCTGCCTGCAGTGCCAGCATCCCATATGGGCACCAGTTCGAGGCCTGGTGGCTCCACTTCTGATCCAGTTCTCTGCTATGACTTGGGAAAGCAGTAGAAGATGACCCAAATCCTTGGGACCCTGTACCTGTACCTGCCTTACAAAGGGAGACCTAGAGGAAGCTCCTGGCTCCTGGCTTCAGATTGGCATAGCTCTGGCTGTTGAGGCCAATTGGGGAGTGAACCAGTGGAAGGAAGACCTCTCTCTCTCTGCCTCCCCTCCTCTCTCTGGGTAACTCCTTCAAATAAATAAATAAATCTAAAAAAAAAGATTATATAAATGAAAAACAGACTTAAAGAGAGTCAGGGGCAGAGAAAGAAGTCTTCTATCCACAGATTCACTCCCCAAATGCCCGCATCAGCCAGAGCTGTGCTGATTCCAAGTCAAGAGACAAGTGCTTCTTCCAGGTCTCCTACGTGGGTGTAGGGGACCAAGGACTTGGGCCATTTCATACTGCTTTCCCAGGCCACAGCAGAGAGCCAGATGGGAAGTGGAGCAGCCAGGACTCCAACCAGCATCCTTAAGGGATGCCAGCCCTGCGCCTCACTTCTTTATTACCCTCAAGTATCTATTGGATCTGAGAGACAGATACTCAGGATTGTGGGTTGTTTTTTTTTTTTTTTTTTTAATCAAGCTAAATATCTGTTCTTTCCTGCCCACTCAGCACCCTCCATGCATTCCCTCCACATATAGAACCATACAATTGATCCTTCATATTGTTGGCCTTTTGTAAACATAAACAAGGGGCTAGCATTGTGTCATAGCAGATAAAGCCACCACCTGTAACCAGCATCCCATATGGGCAGTGGTTCCTGTCCCAGCTGCTCTGCTTCTGATCCAGCTCCCTGCTCATGGCCTGGCAAAACTCTGTCTCTGTAACTCTGACTTTCAAATAAATAAATAAATCTTTAAAAAAGAAAAAGAAAAATCAATAAAAATATGCTTGAGAGAGGGCTTGCAAGAGGTCTGTTTTTCTAGAAGTTGGTAAAAACTGATGGTGTGGTTTCCCCATCAACTTTTGAAGTTTTTCTTGGTTTTACCACAGTGGCCCAACATGTTTATTATTCATTATTTCAAGTTTTGTGAGTTTTTTTGTTTTGTCTTTTGTTTTCATTTTGTTATTTGAGAGACAAAGAGACTGAGAAAGAAAGCTCCTATCCACTGGTTCACTCTCCAAACACCCACAATTGCTGCAGACTAGAACCTAAACTGCCAGGAACTCAATCCGGGTGTCTCATATAGGTGGCAGTAACTCAGTTACTTTTTTTGTTTGTTTGTTGTGTGTGTGTGTGTGTGTTTTGACAGAGTTAGAGAGAAAGGTCCTCCTTCCATTGGTTCACCCTCCAAATGGCCGCTATGGCTAGCACGCTACGCCCGACTCGATGCACCAATCCGAAGCCAGGAGCCAGGTGCTTCCTCCTGGTCTCCCATGTGGGTGCAGGGCCCAAGCACCTGGGCCATCCTCCACTGCCTTCCCCGGCCACAGCTGAGAGCTGGACTGGAAGAGGTGCAACCGGGACTAGAACCCGGGGTGCCAGCACCACAGGCGGAGGATTAGCCTAGTGATCCGCCGCACCGGCACCCAGTTACTTTTAACACCTGTTGCCTCCCAGGCTCTGCATGAGAAGGAAGTTGGAATGAAGTGTAGAGCTGGGCATAGAACTCATGTACTCCTGTTTAGGGTACAAGTGTCCTGTTTAGGGTATTGGTGTCTGAGCACAATGCCTACCTGTTGATTTTTTAAAAGCTGTAGGTGAGAGATACTGAAATTTACTTTGTATTGATTTAAACTTCCTCATATATTTATAATATAACTATAATTGTTCCATTTTCTTTTTTATGTCCTTGTATACATATTCTGATAAATACAAAAATAAACACATGTCTTTATAGTCAGGAGGAGCAAAATTTACATATTCTATAGCCAATATAGGTTTGTAACTATTTTTAGTGAATTTATATGAGCTTTTAGTATATTCATCAAGGAGGCCTAAAATTTACTCTTCACCAACTAAGGAAGCAGCCAAGGCCTTACTTTTTATACTTTGTTGATTTAAATCTTTTTTTGAAATTGAGAGAAACTGGGACAACATTTTTAGAACCTTCTGTTACAAGCTCTGATAACTATTTTAGATCAAATTATTGATTTGCAGTATTGGTGAATTAAAACCTCTAGTGGCAAGAGTTACTTTTGTTGGTCTAGACTTAATTTGGGCATTTAGATATGTTTTTATCTTAATTTGAAGAATAACTGAAAAGTAATAAGAAAGAAGACTTGAAAAATTTGTCTTCACCATCTTATTCTTTTTAAAAGATTTATTTATTTATTTATTTGAAAGGCAGAATTACACAGAGAGAAGGAGAGGCAGCGAGAGAGTAGTCTTCCATCCACTGTTTCATTCCCCAGTTGGCTGCAACAGCCGGAGCTGTGCTGATCTGAAGCCGGGAGCTTCTTCTAAGTCTCCCACGTGGGTGCAGGAGCCCACGGACTAGGGCCACCTTTCCCTGCTTTCCCAGGCCATGGCAAAGAGCTGGATCATAAGTTGAGCAGCTGGGACATGAACCAGCGCCCAGATGGGATGCTGGCACTGCAGGTGGTGGCTTTACCATGACGCCACAGTGCTGGCCGCACAATTTTTTTGTTTCCTTAAAATTATAACGCTTTTTGATAAGGATTTGTTTGTTTATTTAAAAGAAAGAGTTACAGACAGAGGAAGAGAGAGATCGATCGATCATCCATCTGTTTCTCACTCCCCAAATGGCCACAAAGGCCAGGGCTGAGCTAGGCTGAAGCAAGGAGCTTCATCTGGATCTCCCATGTGGGTGTTAGAAGCCAAAGCACCTGGGGTATCCTCCACTGTCTTCTCAGGCACCTTGAGCAGGGAGCTGGATCAGAAGTAGAGCAGCTGGGACATAAACTGGCACCCATATGGGATCCCAGCATCACAGGCTAACCCACTAAGCCACAACATTGACCCCATTATATCACCTTTTAATCTTTTTTTTTTTTTTTTAATATTTATTTATTTACTTGAAAGAGTTACACAGAAAGAGAAGGAGAGGCACAGAGAGAGAGAGAGCTTCCATCCACTGGTTCACTCCCCAGTTGGCCACAATGGCCAGTGCTGCGCCGATCCAAAGCCAGGAGCCAGGAACTTCCTCCAGGTCTCCCATGCAGGTGCAGGGGCCCAAGAACTTGGGCCATCTTCCACTGCTTTCCCAGGTCACAGCAGAGAGCCTGATCAGAAGTGGAGCAGCTGGGTCTCAAACTGGCACCCATATGGGATGCCCTCACTGCAGGCAGTGGCTTTACCTGAAGCACAGCACCCGCCCCATCACCTTTTAAGTCTGAGACATATAAGCCAGTGTCCTTTCTTTGAAGCTGACATTTTTATTGGCATTGGTTTAACTCAACACTTGGAATCCTCATTTATAGTATAGAGACTTAATTCATTTTAAGTATCTTCTTTTCTCTTTTTCTTTTTTTTTAAAAAGTCAATAATGTAGAATTCACCTATTAGAAACCAGGGTAGTCTTTTTTTTCTTTTTTAATACTTTACAATAATACCTTTCAGTTGTGCCAATTGTCAACAGAGGGAGAAATGAAATAGGCAAAATTTATTTTGCCATTATTGACACAGTTCCTTCAACTGAAAATCGATTTTTTTGAGATAATTGTTTTAAAAGTGAGAATTTAAATTTTTTTACACCTGAATTTTTTTCTTTTTTTAAGCAATAGCCACAATAAGAAAGTACAAATGCATATGCTGGATTTGATGAGTTCTATCATCATGGAAGGTGATGGAGTTACTCAAGAATTATTGGACTCCATTCTTATTAACCTCATTCCTGCACATAAGGTTTGTATAATGTAAAGATATTAAAGGCTAATATTTAAATTTAGTGCTACATATAAAAATGAATAATTATTTTTGACCATTTGCAGTCAAATGCAGTTCACATTATCACTGTCCAGCCCCACTAAAACATTAGCTTTGTAACTATATTTTCAGATGCATTGCTTACCATTGTATAAGATTTCCCTCAGTTAAGTGCTGTTTACCATTCATAAGCAGTCTTGGATTTATGAACGTTGTGATGTTGTCTTTTGGCTAGTTTAGTTTCCTCTTTATCATAGGTTTAAAACACAAGAGTTTGGATTCCTTTTCAAAATACCTATCCTACCTTTTACATAGGTATTGTCAGAAAAACATTTGAATAGAAGCTAGAGCTGTATGGGTAATGTTAAGATAACAGGGTGATTTAGAGCTAATCATTCCTCTTCATTACCTATTATTTATTTCTTTTTTAAGGCTTTATTTTCTTTGTTTTGAAATGCAGATTTAGAGAGAGAGATCTTCCATCTGGTAGTTCACTTCCCAAATGGCCACAATGGCCAGGGCTGGGTCACGCAGAAGGCAGAAGGCAGAAGCCAGGAGCCAGGAGCTTCTACACTTGGATGTAGAAGCCCAAGGACTTGGCAGTCTTCCTCTGCTTTCTCATTTGCATGAACAGGAATCTGGATTGGAAGTGGTGCAGCTAGGATTTGAACCAGCACCCATATGGGATGCTGGTGTTACAGGCAGTAGCTTAATCTGCTATACCACAACGCCAGCCCCCTTATTTCCTTTTTGTGTTTCTTTCTAGCAGGTTCTCCTAAGAAACTGAAGGACTTATCTCCTCACAAGCTCATCCACTGGGCTTTCCTCAAACCCACTCTGCAGTTGATATTTGCCCCACTGGTTTTTTCCTCAATTGGTTCAGTATCCTATTTTCAGATGCTAGATGAATATATCTAATTACACTTAATTCACAAGAAGAAATGACTCATTTTCAATTCTTCTCATGGATCTAGTAAATAAAATTTTTTATTTTAAAGATTTTTTTATTATTCGATAGGCAGAGTTACAGAGAGGCAGAGAGAGAGGGAGAGCGCAAGCACTGGATCAGAAGTGGTGCAGCTGGATTCAGACCGGTGCCCACATGGGATGCTTGCACTGCAGGTGGCGGCTTTACCCGCTACACGCTACAACACAGCGCTGGCCCTGTTTGCATGTTATTAATTCAAGTGTACCTATCTTTTTTTTTTTTTTTTTTTTTAAGAATTTTTTATTTATTTGAGAGGAAGAGTTAGAGATCTTCCATCTGCAGGTTCACTCCCTAAATGGCCTCAACAGCTGGAGCTGGGCCGGTCCTAAGCCAGGAGCCGGGTTCTTCTGGGCCTCCCACGGGAATGCCAGGGTCCAAGCACTTGGGCCATCTTCCACTGTTTTCCCGGGCCAGCAACAGGGAGCTGGACCAGAAGTGGAACAGCTGGGACTTGAATTGGTGCCCACATGGCATGCCTGCACAGTGGGAGGCTTAACTTGCTGCACCACAACACCTGTCCCGAACCTGTCATTGATAAAGATTTTGATAATATGACAAAAAGGAGTATATCTCATGCAGAGAAAAACATGGAGAAGAATAGATGGTGTATTTGGCATTTGTGTTATAGCTAAATGAGTGATTGCACTGTCCACAGTTGCAGTTGCCCACAGTGAACTACATTCCACAAGCATTAATTTGAAAGCTACTGAAATAATTCCTAAATTTAGAATTGCACGTTCTGAATACAGTGTTCAAATCTTGTACTAATCTGCTTTGTCTCGCCCATGGATTTTCCCTTTGTTCAGCATATTCACCTGTGTCTGCTGCCTGTCAGTTAATCATTTAGTAGTCATCTCAGCTATCAAACCAACTGTAGAGGCATGCAGTGCTTGTGTTAAAGTAACTGTTATTTTACTGAATAAGTAAATCCAAAAATGCAGTAGTAGTTATGGTGGTAATTCAGAAAGCCAAAGGGGAAGCCTTAAAATACTTTAAGAAAAAGTGAAAGCTCTTCACTTCAGGAAAGGAAAAAAATTCGATGCTGAGGTTGCTAAGATCTATAGTAATTGTGAATAGAAAAAACATAGTACAGGTTGAGCATCCCAAATCTGGAAATCCAAGATGGTTCCCCAGGTGGAAAATTCTGCCACTGACTTAAATGTATGATGACTCTGAGTCAAAACACAGACTAAAGATGCTGTATAAAATTACCTTCAGACTGTATGTCTAAGATGTAATATCCATATTAGAAATTCTAATTCATGTCTGGTCCCAGCAATTTCAGAAAAGTGATACTCAAGCTCTATAAGTAGGGTTTGATACTATTTTTGGTTTCAGGCATCTCCTGAGGGTCTTTAATTTACCCTTTTCAGATCAGCAGTATGGGAGTTCCATTAGGTTTTTTGTTTTTTGTTTTTTGTTTTTTTTTTTTTTTTTTTTTTTGACAGGCAGAGTGGACAGTGAGAGAGAGAGAAAGAGAGAAAGGTCTTCCTTTGCCATTGGTTCACCCTCCAATGGCCGCTGCGGCTGGTGTACCACGCTGATCCAAAGGCAGGAGCCAGGTGCTTCTCCTGGTCTCCCATGGGGTGCAGGGCCCAAGCACTTGGGCCATCCTCCACTGCACTCCCTGGCCACAGCAGAGAGCTGGCCTGGAAGAGGGGCAACCAGGACAGAATCCAGCACCCCGACCGGGACTAGAAACCGGTGTGCTGGCGCTGCAAGGCGGAGGATTAGCCTATTGAGCCGCGGCGCCGGCCTCCATTAGGTTTTATTGGAGTTCAACCATGCTTATTTTTTTCATTTTGTATCTAAATGCTTTTACACTACTACACAAGGGTTATGTAGTTGCAGCAGTGACTGTCACCTATAAAACCTAAAATATTTAGCGTATTTCTTTGCCTAGTTGGCAGAACCCTTTTGAGTTGCTTTCCAAATCTATTCTTCCTCAGAACACAAATTGATTTAACAGTGAAGTGATGAGCATGGTGAATTAGAGATGTTGCCAGTTCATACTGGTTAACAGATACAATCAACAGTCCTTAGGATCCTTAGGTCCATAAAATAGTATATTTGCATTTTTTCTATTATTCAGTTTAATTCACTTTGCAACTTCTGTATTTAAGGTTACTTGAGTTCAAGATACTGGGTAATACCTTGAATGGAATTGGCTTTTTTGCTTGTTTTTTGTTAATGTATTAGTAGATTTGAAGACTACCATATTCTATTAATGTTATCTCACAAATTTATTAATTCATTTTAACTTCACATGTTTTTATTGATTTTCAGAACTTAAATAAACAGTCCTTCGACCTTGCAAAAGTTCTCTTGAAAAGAACAGTCCAGACTATTGAGGCATGCATTGCCAATGTATGTATTTCTGTTTATATTTATTCTGTAGTTGTATAATTAATTCTTAATCCATTGTACAAATGTATTAGAATAGCTCATGTATTAGTTTATTTAGAGTGTAAACAGTTTCATCTGCAAATATGAAAGAACTTGAATACCCATGTGTCACTAAAGTTAGAGAAACGTAGCAAAACTTGATAAGCTTTAAGGTGTTTTAATAATGGTACAAAGTAGTGAAAGTTACTTTATGAAAACTTGGCTACAGCTCCTACCTCTTCTCCCAGATATGCTGATCTCATTCATTGTATCCCTCCATCTTTATGGATCTTTCTCTGTTTTCTTTTTTATGTCTGCTAAGTCATTCTTCTGAAATCTTTTTTTTTTCCTCTTTCTTGAATGGCTGTTAGATAGTAATGAAAATAAATTTTTTTTTTTTATTTTTTTTTTTTTTTTATTTTTATTTTTGACAGGCAGAGTGGACAGAGAGAGAGAGAGACAGAGAGAAAGGTCTTCCTTTGCCGTTGGTTCACCCTCCAATGGCCGCCGCGGCTGGCGCGCTGCGGCCGGCGCACCACGCTGATCCGATGGCAGGAGCCAGGAGCCAGGTGCTTTTCCTGGTCTCCCATGGGGTGCAGGGCCCAAGCACCTGGGCCATCCTCCACTGCACTCCCTGGCCACAGCAGAGGGCTGGCCTGGAAGAGGAGCAACCGGGACAGAATCCGGCACCCCGACCGGGACTAGAACCTGGTGTGCCGGCGCCGCTAGGCGGAGGATTAGCCTAGTGAGCCGCGGCGCCGGCCAGTAATGAAAATAATTTTAAAAAAGCTTTTTGAATAGAAATTTTTTCTGTTTTTTTTTTTTTTTCTGAAAAATTGATCATTTTGGGAAAGTAAAATATTTGTAATTTCATACCATCCTGGTCTCCCACATGGGTAGCTGGAGCCCAAGAAATTTGATCTGCCACTGCTTTCCCAGGAGCATTAGCAGAGTGGCAGGTTGACTAGTAAAATCATGGATTTTAAAATAAAATCAAAGCTTGAGACTAAAAATTTTCTGTGGTCCAAGGAAAGTTTTCTGTATGATGAGAACACAAATTAGCTAAGTTGTTTTATTTTAATAATTAAGATCCCTCGAAATGTCATCTTTAGAACACTATTAACAACCTAATTTTTTTCTTAGTAAGTAAATGTCCATTGTATTATTTAAAGTGTTAATAACAAACTTTCATCACAGCTGTTGTATTTAAGACAGTGAAACTACATACTAAGATTTCTTTCTGAGAAAGCTGATGAGCCTGATGTTGTTGAGTAACGTTGAGCATTGTACAGTGCATATTATGAAGACTTGTGAATTAAAGCACTGCTGGTTCAAAGTTAATGATTACAAAGCAAATAAGTATTCACAGTTCAGTTTCTTTTTCATTCCTTGACCTTCTGGTGCTCCATCAATTTTATACATCATCCATTTTATGCTCCATCTATTTTACACATTTAAAGGCTTTGTTCCTTATTCCTTTTTCTCTGCCACCTTTTCTTTTAGCTTCATGTAAAAGTAGTCAAAGTAGTCAAGGTATTACCCCCTCTGGAGCTCCATTGCGGTACTAGACCTAAGGAACCAGTCAGATCAGAACTGAGGAGAGTTTCAAATACACCATCGCAACTCATCATAAACATTTTAACTGTCTGATCCAAGCTTGTGGAGCACACAAATCAGAAAATAATCCCCTTCTTCAGTGTAATTTTTTCCTTTCCTATTTAGTACCATATAATATTCTCCGTTGGAAAGGTGCTTTGTACTGTCCAATCTTTGTGTCAAGTGCCATTTTATACTACTATGAATTCTTGCTCTCCCTTTCCTTCTAAACCATGACTTTCTCTATGTCCTGAAGTTCATTGCATCTTCCCTAGCCCATAATTGAGTATTCAGTGACCTCTAGAGTTTGTCCTTCTGCTTCTCTTGATGTATTTTCAGTAGCATTATGACCCCATTTCTCATTAGCTTTGATAAAATGATTAAAATCCCTCATATTCCAATTGATGAATCCCTGTGTTAGAAGCTTTTTTTTTTTTTTAAACTCTTCTTTATTAAGGGGTTCAGCTTCATCAGTTTTAAGCTATTCTTTCTGTGCCTGTGCTGCATATGGTAGGACTTCAAGGTGGCTTGTAGCCAATACCAATAGTTTTTCTGTAATACAGAATTTATTTTTCCAGTATCTCAAATAGGGAAAAACTGGAAAAGCTAGACATTGGGCTATTTTGGAGGTTGAGAGCCTTTAGTGCTTTAGGTTTACTAACACAAAGTGCTTCCCTGAAATATACATGAACAGCATAGGTAATTTGGCTTTCTTGTTCAGGTGGCTCAGTTTACTCTGTGAATGTAATCTGTTCAACATCCCAGTTCTGCTTTACTTGTCTCCTTGTAATGTATTTGATGGGATGTTTTATAAAGTTCATGGAGAAGTGAAATTTTAAAATGTTTATTTTGGTGTAGAAAATGTGTTTTCCACATATTTTGGGGTACCTTTGTGTTATCTTGAGATTTATTTCTTCTGTTACTTAGATGACTCATCATATAGTAATTTAATCACTTCCTCTATGTCATCCCTTCAATAGTATATGTAATGCCTGATTATTTTTTTTTTAAATCGTACACTAATGGAAAATTTGAAATTTTATATGAAATATTTTATTTTTGTTTTTACTGTCTCCTATAGTTTTTCAATCAAGTCCTGGTGCTGGGAAGATCATCAGTAAGTGATTTGTCAGAACATGTGTTTGATCTGATTCAGGAACTTTTTGCTATAGATCCTCATTTATTGTTATCTGTCATGCCCCAGCTTGAATTCAAACTGAAGGTAGGATTGACTGATTTTCAAACCCTTTAAATGTTCAAGAAAAAATGTGTATCAGATAGTTTTTGTATAACTGTAGAAAAATTAAATCTGAGTTAAATTGATTATACTTGTTTATAAATTTTTTAATCATTTGAATAAAATAATATTTCTTGTGGACAAAAAGAGAATTATAGAATTTCAGTATATCTAGTTAAATATCCACTGATAAACAGTGATACAATTAATAGAAATGGTATTACATTAGACATTTTAATATATTATTAAGAGATATTTATGATAACTGTTTTTAAAACATCAAAAGATTTTTTTAAGATTTGTTTATTTTTAGTTTATTTGGAAGGCAGAGTTACAGAGAGAGGTAGAGAAAGAGAGGTCTTCCATCTAATGGTTCAATCCCCAAATGGCTGCAACTACCAGAGCTGGGCCAAGCCGAAGCCAGGAGCCAGGAGCTTCTTCCAGATCTCCCATGTGGGTGCAGAAGCCCCAGTACTTGGGCCATCCTCTACTGCTTTCCCAAACATATTAGCAGGGAGCTGAATTGGAAGTAGAGCAGCTGGGACTTGAACCAGCACCCATGTGGGATGCTGGTGCTGCAAGCTGGGGCTTTAACCTGCTGTACCATAGCCCCAGCCCCCGAAGGATTCTTAATTTGGGCTCCAAGGGAGTTGATCATAACTTTGAGTCAGTATAGGTCTAGGACAGAAATTTTATATAACTTTTTGAGAGTGCTTTTTTTTTAATAGCCAGCTAAGCAAGGAATTCTTCAAGAAAAATATGAAAAACTTATGCTCAACCCTGACTTCTAGCCAAACTACAGAAGATAACACCTTATGTTTGCCTACTATTTTTTACTTTTGTAAGACTTATTTGATCCATAAGACAAACTGTGATATAATTAAAACCAACATTACAGTTTGGATTTTTGAGATGAAATGCTTCAGATATTTTGCCCCTAACATAGTTAAACCAGATTTAAGGTTAAAACTCAGATTTTCAAACACTTAAAACTTGTATACATAATTGAGTTGTCTGTATTGTCCTTATTAAAAGCATTTGCTATTTATATAGGTTGAGCATCACAGATCCAAAAATCCCAAATATTCCAAAACCAAAACTTTTTGAGCACTGACGTGATGGCACAAGAGGAAAACTCTACCCTTGATTTTATCATGTGGTGTGTCTTAGTCAAAATAAAAGCTTCATAAAAATTGCATGAAATTACTTCAGACTATATGAAAAGGTGTTTGAATAAGACATAAGTGATTTTTTTGTGTTTAGACTTGAGTAACATCCCCAAGATATTTCATAATATATATCCAAATATCCCAAAATCTGAATTCTTAAACATTTGTTATTCTAAGCATTTCATATGAGTGATACTTAACCTGTGTTAGAAACGATGTCAGACCAATAAGGGTTTTTTCTTTTTTTAAGATTTTTTATTTACTTGAAAGGCAAAGTTGCAGAGAGGCAGAGGCAGAGAAAGAAACAGAGAGAGGTCTTCCATCTGCTGGTTCACTCCCCAAATGACTGCAACAGCCAGAGCTAAGCTGATCCAAAGCCAGGAACCAGGAGCGTCTTCTGGGTTTCCCACGGGAGTGCAGGGGCCCAAGCTCTTGGGCAATCTTCCACTGTCCTCCCAGGCCATAGCAGAGCTGGACTGGAAGTGGAGCACCTAGGACTCTATCCAGCACCCATATGGGATCTTGGCACTGCAGGTGGCAGTTTTACCCACTATGCCGCAGCACTGTCCCCAAGAGTTTTTTGTAAGAAACAATGGTTGTAGGGAAAAATATTATAGAAAATAAGATTTCATTTTCTTACCATTAAAGAGTTTATTGTGACAACAGTCTGAAGATGTTTCTGTAATAAGTTATTTCAAAATATAGGCATTAAAATATTCCCCCCAATCTGTCCTGGAGTCTGTATATATAACGTCAAATCTCTTTAGCCCTTAGATGAATCTCTCACTGGAGAATGGGGGCACAACATTAGGAACCAGATTGTGGACTTAATGTAAACTGAAGGAAGTTATTGTAAACTGTGGCTTTTCCCCAAAATGGGTTTTGTTTGATTCATTTTATTTTTAGATCATAATGATGTTTTTCACTTGTTACTTGCCCACAATTAATGAGTTAACTTAAAAAATGAAAGGATTTTACTTTTAAGGTTCAGGTATATAAGTTTTCATTTTTTTTTTTTTTTTTAAGAAAATCAGAAGATCTGACAATATTGGGCCCTTATTTCGTACATGATAACAAAGTGGTAGTAGAATTTGTGTAATATCGGCTTTTTTTTTTTTTTTAATGCATAGGCCATTCTTGCTTGACTGCCCCCCCCCTTTTTTTTTATAGATTTATTTATTTATTTGAAAGTCAGAGTTACACAGAGAGAGGAGAGGCAGGGAGAGAGAGAAAGAGAGGTCTTCCATCAGATGGTTCACTCCCCAGATGGCTACAACGGCTGGAGCTGTGCCAATCCGAAGCCAGGAGCCAGGAGCTTCTTCCGGGTCTCCCATGCGGGTGCAGGGGCCCAAGGACTTGGGCCATTTTCTACTGCTTTCCCAGGCCATAGCGGAGAGCTGGATTGGAAGTGGAGCAGCCGGGTCTCGAACCGGCGCCCATATGGGATGTTGGCGCTTCTGGCCAGGGCATTAACCCACTGTACCACAGAGCCGTCCTCAATAGCGGCTTCTTAAATGGGTTATGAACTTGTCATAGTTCCAGTTATTCCTTTGTGTTATACCAACTCTTCACTGATAGATTTTATAACCATGTTACAAAGGAAAATGACTATGAAATTTTTTCAGAAATTTCTTAATTCCTTTTTTAAGAGATTAACACAGTAGTCAATGCTATGGCATTGTGCTCTCTTTAAAGACAATGTATTTAACGCAAGGCCAAGCCAGTAAGTTTTATATTTTCCTTTGTTTTTAGATTTAAAATATACTGAAATAATACTGTGTCCAAATAAAACATTTATTAATGGAATATTTTCTTTATTACCTTACAATTAGTATATCACTTGTATTTTGTTTGTTCCTTACTGCAACCCTAGATTTACTGGTATAAGTTTTCTCATTCCAAATGAAGAAGCAGAGGTATAGATTAATTTAGGTATATAGATACGTAGGCACAGTTTAGGTATATATATATATATAGGTATAGTTTAGGTAAATATATATAGATATATATATATGAATGATTAGGCTGCAGTTTTGTCACTAATATGTGCTAAGCAGATAGGCTAGGAAGTTATGACTGTGATGATTTTCTGTAGTTTTTTTAAAATACTTATTTGAAAAGTAAAAATACAGAGAGAAGGAGAAAGCAAGAGAGAGAGAAATGTCTTCCATCCTCTGGTTCATTCCCCAGATGGCCACAGCAGCTGGGGCTGAATTAGGCTGAAGCCAGGAGCTTCTTCTAGGTGTCCCACGTGGGTACCGTGGCCCAAGTACTTGGGCCATCTGCTGCTGCTTTCCCTAGGCATGTTAGCAGGGAGATGGATCAGAAGTGGAGCAGCCAGGACTTGAACCGGTGTCCACATGGGATGCCTGCACTGCAAGCCCTGGCCCCTGTAGTGGTATTTCTCTTTTTTTTTTTTTTTCTTTCTTAGCTCATGTGGTGGATTCTTTTTGACAGGCAGAGTGGACAGTGAGAGAGACAGCGAGAAAGGTCTTCCTTTGCCGTTGGTTCACCCTCCAATGGCCGCTGTGGCCAGTGTGCTGCAGCTGACGCACCATGCTGATCCAAAGGCAGGAGCCAGGTGCTTCTCCTGGTCTCCCATGGGGTGCAGGGCCCAAGTACTTGGGCCATCCTCCACTGCACTCCCGGGCCACAGCAGAGAGCTGGCCTGGAAGAGGGGCAACCGGGACAGAATCCAGTGCCCCAACTGGGACTAGAACCCGGTGTGCCAGCGCCGCAAGGCAGAGGATTAGCCTAGTGAGCCGCGGCGCCAGCCAATGTAGTGGTATTTCTTAATCATACAGTTATAATTGTTTACATTTATAGTTCATAGTCCTTGGTTACAGGCCTCTGGGAACAATAAAAATGTTGGTGAAAATGTTTCAAAGTAACAACTTACTTGGTTTTACTGTATTATGTTCTGTTACACCTTGCTATATCTGTAATTTACTTATGTGTGTCCACAGAATAAACAAGTATTTAAGGAGCACACCAGAATAGTGCTGCTTTGTAGCCATGGCCATAATTATCAAGAAAATTTTCACAGTTAACATTTAAAACACTTACAGGTGCAAGGAGACAGATTTATATTTATTCCTCAGATTTAAAAAAACGTTTTAATGCAGTCATTAAGTTTTCACCGTCAGTTGTTCTAGGTTAATTACTTGGCAGTTAGAGACAGTAGTTGTGTTAAGCTACCTGTTCTGTCTGGGATTGCTCAGAAATGAAAACTAGTGTGGCTTTATTGCATTTCTTTTAGGGAGTCATTGGTAAATTTTTAATGCAGAATTTCTCATTTTACCTTCTCTCAATTAGTAAAATATGTGTGTATTTATAATTTAGACAGTATATAGTGTATCATACTAGTTAACTGCGGTTATTGATAGTACTGTTATTCTGCATTGTTATTTGAGAAAAATTGTCAATCATTTCTGTCATTCATAATTTTAAATGTTAAAGCTTGATATAATTTTAATTTTTACACTGTTGGATTGTGTCTTTTTTACCACAAAACCCTTGTTCTTGAGAATTAAAATATTGATAAAGAAGAAATTATATTCTATGCTTTTATTTTAACCTTGTCCACAAAATTTATTGGATATCGGACAGTGCTTTAGATATACATTGTATATCTAACCTAAAAAAATTAATGATGAGTTTTAAGTATTGCATTTATTGTCCTTGTGAATATAACTCAGTCTGGTATTTAAAAAAAAATGGCCTCTAACAAAAAGTACCAAATTTTGCTTTTTTATAGTGTTCAACTTATAGTACTCTTAGATGCATCTTAAAGTTTTTGTTCAGCTAATAAAAATGAATATTTTTGAATTATGAAATTCTTCAATATCATGTTCTCCAGTGCATTGAGATCCTCGATTAGAATTTTGGATATCAAAACTTTAAGTGATCTGTGTGTTTTTTTCTGAACTTAAATTGCACAACATATTTCTTTTTTTTTTTTTTTTTTAAAGATGTTATTTATTTATTTGACAGGTAAGAGTTATAGACAGTGAGAGGGAGAGACAGAGAGAAAGGTCTTTCTTCCGTTGGTTCACTTCCCAGATGGCCGCAATGGGCCAGAGCTGCGCCGATCCAAAGCCAGGAGCCAGGTGCTTTTTCCCGGTCTCCATTGTAGGTGCAGGGCCCAAGCACTTGGCCCATCCTCCACTGCTTTCCCAGGCCACAGCAGAGAGTTGGATCCGAAGAGGGGCAGCCGGGACTAGAACCGGCGCCCATATGGGATGCCTGCAACGCAGGCAGAGGATTAACTTACTGCGCCACAGCACCAGCCCCAAACAGATTTCTAATAATGAAACTTATTAGAGTGGGAATTATTTGCAGGCTTGTCCTTCATAGTTTTTCGAGGGCTAATGAACAGTGTTCCTTTGTCTTAATATTTGTACAAGGTCTACACCAAGGTGTAGATAGCAAATAAGCAGTGAAGGAGGCCTAAAGTAACAGCTGGGAGAGTTTGAAGTAAGAGCAAAGTACCAGATGATCCACCATGGAATCAAATCAATTTCTGCATTTTAAATGACCACATATGCTATTTTGAAGTTCTAATCATTTTAAGCAGAAATACGGATTGTGTCTTATGAATATTGATAATATTTTCTGTAAGTTGATGAATAAAATTTGGGCCTCATTCTCTTTTCTCAGAGCAATGACGGGGAAGAGCGATTAGCTGTTGTTCGGCTTCTAGCTAAATTGTTTGGCTCTAAAGATTCTGATTTGGCAACGCAGAATCGTCCTCTTTGGCAGTGTTTTCTTGGACGGTAAGAGAACTATATTTTATATACATTTTCTTGTATATTTTAGAAGCTAGTCAATAACTTCAAGTTGATGAAAACCATACATATCAAAACTTGCTAACTGTTGGTTTTCTTGGTATTTGTGTTGTAGTCTTTGTTGGAGAACAAGTTGTAGGGACAAATTTTTTTAGTGGGGGGACAAATTTTTTATAAAGCAAGCTTCTTGTCTTTTCTAATATTACTAGAATAAAGAGATGGACAATATCCCAAGTTCTTAAATTTTTAAATCATGAAACTGAAGACATACTAGTGCAATTTTTAAGAATCCCTGTCATCAGTCCACAAACTCATTCATTTACTACTGTTTGTCTTGTGTCTGTAGATTATCTAATTGCTTAATATGCTTTTAACTAATTTTATTTAATTGTATGTTTTTAAAATGGAAAGTATAATTTTCTTCAACTTGAATAATTTTTAATTATTTTCTGAAGAACTATTACGTTTTTAAGGACTTATTAAATTCTTCCTTATGTTTCTTTTGCTTAAAAAATAAATATTTAGTATTAGTATTCTGGAGAACATTTGAGATTCACCATTGTTTAGTTCAACTGATTTGGAGAATGGATTCAGAATTTCATTACAATAAATTCATAATAGTCCTTTATAGTAATAATCTTAGTTTCTGAAAAGTCTCAGTGACATAATATCTCAGGAGTAGTTTTTCAGGAGACCATTTTAAAGATCTTGATTGTAATAAGTGCTGATTATTCGTTTTCACATAATTAAATTTGACTCTATAAGAGTTGAGAATAGAGGGAAGGAAGCAACTGTACTTAGATACAAAGGAGGAATTTTGTATAGCAGTGATTGACATCAGTGTTTGTTGTGTGTCAGTTAAGCAAAAATGCAAGGCTTCATTTTTTACCTGAGTTGTGAAAATGAAATAAACCTTAAGCTTTTTATTCATCATTTTACATTGACTAATAACTTTTTGATGAGTCTTATTCACAGAAACAAAAAAGTATTAGTCTTTCGTACTGTATTGTTTTCCTTATTTTATAGCATTTAGTCTTGTAAATTACATTGTAATTTATTTGATCATAAATACTAAAGTTGTGTCCATCATTGTGGCATAATGGGTAAAGCTGCTGCCTGTGACACTGGCATCCCATACGGATAGCAGTTCATGTCCTGGCTCTTTCACTTCTGTTCGAGCTCCCTGCTCCTGGCCTGGGAAAGCGATGAAAGATGGCCCAAGTACTTGAACCCTGTTAACCATATGGGAGACCCAGGTGAAGCTCCTGGCTTTGGCCTGACTAAGCCGTAACCATTGTTGCCATTTGGAGAGTGTACCTGTAATCAGAAGATTCTGTCTATCTCTCTCTCATTGTCTTGTCTTCTCTCTGACTCTTTCAAATAAATCCTTAAAAATAAATAAATAATGTTTAAGTTTTTCTGTTTGTTATTTTAAATCATAAGTGCAGGATTTTATTGAACTATGAAAAATATCTGAATAAGAATGTAGGAGACCATAAATACTTCATATTTTTTCAGCAAGTTCAGTTTACTTGAAAAATATGATTTTCTGCTATTTAAAATCAAATTATTTACCATTAAATATATTTTAACAGTTGCCTACTTGCTTTTAAAAATTTGATATTGCTGGTCTTACCCTTATTATTCTTATCCTTATGTAACAGTACATATTTGATATTATAGAATCCTTACTATGCACTAGACCTTCAAAACAGAGCACTTTAATACAAGTTGTTCCTAAGCAGATAAACTTTTGTGATGAGGCAGTGTGACTCACACATTTTATATACTTGTGTTTAAAACAGTGTATCTGCCTTTTATATATGATTTGCTTTCTACCTCAAATTTCCCAATATTTTTTCTTATAAAATTTTTTTAAACAGGTTTTTTTTATGCTTTGAATTTTTTTTTTAAAGATTTATTCATTTATTTGAAAGGGAAAGAGAAGGAGAGACAGAGAACAAAGGTTCTTCCGTCTGCTCATTCACTCCCCAAATGACTACAATGGCCAGGGCTGGACCAGGCTGGAGCCAGGAGCTTCTTCGGGTCTCTCACATGGATACAGGAAACCCAAGTACTTGGGCCACCTTCCGCTGCTTTACCAGGAACACTTCAGGGAGCTGGATTGGAAGTTGATCAGCTGCAGGCAGAAGCTTAACCTTCTAAACCACAGCCCCAGCCCCTGAATTATTATTTATTTATTCATTTTTTTACTGTCAGTATAATTTTAAAATCTCAAACTTTCAGGTCTTGGAGAGTAGTTTTGGTTCCGAGTGTGCTTATACTGTTTTTGTTTTAGCATGTTAAATTCTGTTTTTGAAAATGTTTTTGTAAAATTAATTTGTTTCCTTTGTACTTTTTTATTCAGAACATATTAGCTGTCATTATAACACACTTTTCTAATAAGTAATTGTTTAAAGGCATTTACACATTAAATATACCTGATTTGAAAATAATTATTTGCCTTGGAATTAGTAAATTGGTAAATTTTTTTCTATGTAGATTTAATGACATTCATGTTCCTGTAAGATTAGAAAGTGTGAAATTTGCCAGCCACTGTTTAATGAATCACCCGGATTTAGCAAAGGATCTCACAGGTAAGCTACATGGTTTAAAACAAATACTGTAGTAATCACATATTTTTGATGTAGCTTGTAACCTAACTTCTGTTTTTTAAATAGATTTTAGCTGTTTTTAAGCTTGCATTCCTAAAGGACTGAGAGTTGATTTAATGCTTATGTAATAAAATTGTATTTTAAATGCAATTTTCATATTTTAATCCTGAAATTTTTTGTAAATCATTGTTTGAGGAAGTAGAGTATTCCCTATGACATGGAATTTAGGCACAAATCATTGAATCTATATGACTAAATGTAGTGATTAACAAGTGGGAAAGTGATGATCTTCTGGACTAGACTAGAATTTCTTATTCTTCATGTGAACCTAGAATCTTTAAACCTATACCTTTGGAATTGACCATGAGGCATTGCAGGTTACGCTGCTTCCTGCAATGCCAGCACCCCTTATGGGTGCTGGTTGAGTCCCAACTGCTCCACTTCTGGTCCAATTCCCTGCTAATGACCTGGGAAAGCAGTGAAAGATGGTCCTGGTGCCTGGGCCTCTGAACCCATGTGGGAGACCCCAACGAAGCTCCTAACTTCGAACCTATCCTTTGGTATCAACAAGTAAGTGACTTCTGTCAAAATGGTATTGTTGCCGGCGCCGCGGCTCAATACGCTAATCCTCTGCCTTGTGGCGCCGGCACACCGGGTTCTAGTCCCAATCAGGGCTCCAGATTCTGTCCCGGTTGCCCCTCTTCCAGGTCAGCTCTCTGCTGTGGCCAGGGAGTACAGTGGAGGATGGCCCAAGTGCTTGGGCCCTGCACCCCATGGGAGACCAGGAGAAGCACCTGGCTCCTGCCTTTGGATCAGCACGGTGCGTCGGCTGCAGCGCACTGGCTACAGCGGCCATTGGAGGGTGAACCAACGGCAAAGGAAGACCTTTCTCGCTGTCTCTCTCACTGTCCACTCTGCCTGTCAAAAAAAAAATGGTATTGTTTACCAAGAAACACAAGAAATAACTTTTTTTGTTTTGTATTGTGAAGTGTTCAGATTTTTTTAGGACTTAGGGAGCATTATTCTGGGTTTTGTTTTTTTTACCTGAAAGTGTGACAGAGAGGAAGGGAGAAATAACCTGAAAAAGCTGGGGCTAAGCCAAGCCAAAGCCAGGAACCAACAACTTTTTCTAGGTCTGTCATGGAGGGTGTTAGGAACCCAAGGACTAGCCAGTCACCTACTGCCTGGGGCACATCAGCAAGAAGCTGCATGGGAAGTGGGATAGCTGGGACTCGGTATGGGATGTTGATGTCTCAAGCAACAGCTGAAGCGGACATGCCACAATTCCAGCCCCTATTCGATGCACAGGTGTATACATTATAAACTAACTTCCTTAAGCATTTTAATATTTTTCTTTTAAGTCCTTTTTTTGTAACTGAAATTTCAAGTTATGTAAATCAGATACTGTATGGAATATAACTTTCCCAGCATAATTTTTGTAAAACATGTTATTTATTAAGGTGCATCTGTGTAATAAATGCAGGTTTGTGATTGTGTGGAGTACTGTTGCCTTTAAAAATGATTTTAATTCATGCCATATTTTGTAAACATTGTTTTAGTAGACAAAAGCCCAAAGGGGTCTGGCATTGTGGCTCAGTGGTTAAAGTTGTTGCCTGCAATACAGGCAATCCATTTGGACACTAGTTCATGTCCTGGCTGCTACAGTTCTGATCCAGGTCCTTGTTAATGGCCTGAGAAGGCAGCGGAAGATGGTCCTAATGCTTGGACCCTTGCATCCATGTGGGAGACCTGGATGAAGCTCCTGGCTTCAGCCTGGCCCTTCCCTGGCTGTTGTGGACATTTTGGGTGTAAACTAGCAAATCGAAGATTTTCTGTCTCTATATATCCCTCTCTGTCTCTCTAACTCTTTCACATAACTAAACAAAATTTTTTTAAGTTCAAAGCAATAGTCTTTTCTCTGTCATTCTAAATTTTGACAAATTGCATAGCTAACATTTAGCTTAAGCTTTTTTTTCTCTTATTACAGAATATTTGAAGGTTAGATCACATGATCCAGAAGAAGCTATTCGTCACGATGTCATTGTTACTATAATAACAGCTGCCAAAAGAGACCTTGCCTTAGTAAATGATCAATTGCTTGGCTTTGTAAGAGAAAGAACACTGGATAAACGGGTAAAATCAGGAATTTTATTCTTCTGTAACTTTCTGTATTTAAATTGTTTGCTAAATACAGTTGTTATTATTTTCTATTTAAAGTCAATTCTGAAAATCAAATGAATAACTGCTAAATAAAGAGCTGTTAATTTGTATATTTCTTGTGTATCTTTTAATTATCAGTAAATACATTTGATTCTATTGTTATTCAGATCATAGACATATATACTCTTAGAGTATAGCTTGAATGAAAGAGCTGCTAAATCAAGGTTTTATTCTGTTTTTTTTCACATACATGATGATTTTCAAAAGTATATTAATCACCTATATTTATGTCCTATGCTTAACCTTTCAAATATGATTTTCATAATATAACTTTGAATGTGTTTTTCATTGATCTAAAAGAAAATCATACATCCTAAGGAAGTGATGTTTCTATTTTCCTTTGCAAAGCTAAGGGCAGTTTCTGTTTTGCGTTTTACTTTTCATGCAGTTTCCTCTATTTGATGCTGTTAAAAATGTGGATTAATAAGGAAAATAGTCTTAAGAATACCAGTAACAATTGCTAAGGAGCACAAACGTATTTCAAAATGTTTGTGGAAATGAGATTAAGACATTTATTTTAATGTAAAATGATATTCATGCATGATATTTTTTAATATCCATTTTATATGAAAGTTTTGGATGTTCCATCTATGCATAGATTTCAAAATTATTTCGCATCCAAGTACATATAATCCTTAGTTTTATTTTCCAAGGGTTTTTGTAATGCTCCTTCATCAAAAAAGCCATAACCAGGCATACAAAGATGGCTTAGTGGACCTCTACTTACATCTTTAACAGTGACTGTCAAACAGTGTGCTGTTTGAGGCATAGTTAGAACTGTCTAACCTGTGGAAATGTGTTATATACTCATAATTTCAGAGTAAGAAAGCAAATATAGGAATAGATACTTTCCTTTAAAATACTCATAGGAGAATCTTAAAAAATACATAACATAATCATATGAGGCAGGTTTTTTTTTTTTTTGAGTGAACATTTGACTTGTTCAATGTATAATTCTAATGTTGAAGATTTTTTTCTTTTAGTCCTAATTTAAATGAAATGAGTCTCTACTTAGTAATAAGTTGGCCTTACTTTGTATTCCTTCCTTGTAAAATATTACTACTTGTGTGATTTCCTCCTTTTTGAAATATTTCACTCCCATAAATATTGATTTCACAATCTCAACAAGAGTTGAGTAAATTATTCTCCCCAAACAAACAGCATGTTATAATCCTAAAAGTATCCACTGGGTATTTTTGTACTCGAATTGTGGCAGAGTTAGAGGGCCATTGTTACAGTATTTCTGCACTATAGAAGTTGGGGACAAAGATTAATTTTAGATTTCAGTGCTCACACATTTTTGTTTCAAAATGTCAAAATAAATCTTTTAACCTGTTGCACGGAAATGAAATTTCATTCCATGTACTAACGAACAATGAAATGACATAAAAATTTTTAAGAAGTACTGAAGTACATTAACCAAAATCAGTATACTCCCATTTTTTGAGACATAATTATTTTCTTTTCTTTTTTTTTTTTTTTACATCTTAAGATGATTCTCACTCTAGGTTTATGTGGCCTCCTCCCTTGTCCTTCTCCCCTACCTTTCTTTTCTCCTCTAGTAAATATTGCCAAACTTTAAAAGATCTTCCACTGACTAGAACATGGTTAGGCAAATCTATATTTAAGTTCCATGTAAAATAATCACACAGGTTCTTTCCAATTTAGTAATTTCATAATTCTTGGGACTGAGCTTTATTCTTCTTATATTAGGTTAATGTCAAAAAGAATGTAACTAGGAGCTAAAACATTCCAGGTGATAAGACTTATATGTGGAGTGAATAATACCCTTTGCCTTCTACCTTTTAATCAGTTCTAAAACTTGGCCAACATGTTCTTAGAATTGAATTAAATCTTCTATAAAAATTTGCTATTTGGCTTTGAGAGAAATAAAACAGTGACCAGTATTTGTGAATTTTCTAAAGCAGACTGGTTTCTAAAGACACAAACTCAAAATATGTAAAGCGATTTGACAAAGCCTCTTATAAAGAGAAATACTGTGCCAGTTTATATATGCATGTAAGACTGATTTTTACAATCTAGTGAAACCATGACAATTTTTGCAAATTAGCATGAAATTTTGATATCTTGCTCTTCTAATAAAGATTATACTTTTTAGTGGCGAGTAAGAAAAGAAGCTATGATGGGTCTGGCTCAACTTTATAAGAAATACTGTCTACATGGTGAAGCAGGAAAGGAAGCTGCAGAAAAAGTCAGCTGGATAAAGGACAAACTTTTGCATATTTATTATCAGAACAGCATCGATGACAAGTAAGTCTTAATATGTTGGTAGAAAGGTTAAATCCAAAATTGCTTTAACTTTGTAAATAAAAAAAATTTTAATATTTCCTTCTTATGTTTAAAAGTCATTTTATGCATATTTGTTTATATCGTGTTTCAGTAATTGTATCCAAAATTGAAAGGTGGTACAATAATAGTGAAATGAGAATGAATTGTGGAATCTAACAGTAAAAGAGACCAATTGTTCACTCTGTCCCTTACTAGATGTATGTCCTCGCACAAGTCATTTAACTTCTGTGTACCTCAGTTTTATAGGAAAAGGCGTAATAATGCCTTTCTTACAGGATTGTCATGTGGATTAAATAAAATAATGAATACATAGTTCCATAGCGTGATGCCTAGCAATGGAGCACTAGTCAGTAATTCCTGGTTATTAGCTTTCTTTTTGTAACACTATGACTAGCAATAGAAGAATTGCTAAATTTTAATTTTTTAAATATTAAGTTAATTCTATATTGCATTGTATTAATGATACTTGTTTTGTGCAACATGCTTTGTAATATTTTATTGAAATGCTGAACGTGGACATCAACAGATGGATATTTCACTGGTTAATGACATTTTTTTTCTTGTTCTGGTGATACCAAATAATTAGATGCAAGCTTAGTAAGAAGAATATTTCAGTGTTAGTAAGAAATTCAGATTATGCAAAGAAGATCAAATGTACATAAGAACAGCTAATTTCAGAATGTATCATGAAGGGAAATCTCCCTGTTTTTACTACTTAATAGCATGGGAGAAAGGAGATGAACTGAGTTTCTTGAGAATTAGCTGTATTTGGAATCATAGCTATGTATGTATTGTTACCTAGTTTGGTATAGTTTTAGATTGCAGAAGAATACATGGAACAGCCTAGCTTAGCACCCTGTGCTTAGGAATAATATTTAATCCTTTTAGAACAAATATTTTATTGCTGGCATATTATATAGTAAAACCACAAATGAAAACCATGTCTCTAAATCTTTAAATAACTGTATTCAAACTTCCAGGGGAAGGAAATGATAATAATGTGGTGGTTCCCGTTGTATCTGTGCACTTAGCCACCATATTTGAATAATATCTTTGTATAGGCTTATTAAGATATAAAATGTCTGTTGCTTCTTAAAAATAGAGTTGTTGTGTTACTTGAATTGTTTTCCTTGTTGTTTCATAGACTTTTGGTAGAGAAAATCTTTGCTCAGTACCTTGTCCCCCATAACCTGGAAACAGAAGAGAGAATGAAATGCTTATATTATTTATATGCTAGTTTGGATCCAAATGCTGTAAAGTAAGTTACTTTTTAAATCTTTAAATTATGCCTGAAAGATTTGATAAAATTAATTGTTGCTGGGGTTTCTGCTGCTTCTATTTGAATTACATCCTCAGGTAAATAGAGAAAAATATGGTTTACATTTAGAGTATTTAACAACAAAAATGGTGTCATATATATGCAGCATGTGTCATAAAAATATATATGTAAACATGTTGAACAGCATGAACATATACAAGCAGGATGGTGAATGCCACAAGAGTCAGCTGTTTGGTACAGCTCTTAAGACACTGCTAGTGTACCCACAATTCTATTAAAGTCCCTGGGTTTGAGGTCCAGCTCTGCTCTTGATTTTAGCTTCCTACTAATGTACACCCTGTGAGGCAGCAGGTGATATCTTCAATAACTGAGTCCCCACCACCACCACATAGTAGACCTTGATTGAGTTCTCAACTGCTGACCTTGGCCTGCCCCAGCCCTGGCCACATGTTCTTCTGAAGCATTTGAGGGTAATTTACAGACGTGTGAATCCCTTATTGTTTCATTAAAAATAAGGACATTCTGTTACACAACCCAAATATCCTTATTGAAACAACAAAAATGACATTGATACTATATTATTGCCCGATCCAAGGTATATTCAGATTTCCTTAATTGTCTCTATAATGTTTTGGACAGTATTTTTTTATTTTGTTATGTTTCTAGTTCCTGAATATGAAACCGTTTCATAATCTTTGTCTTTTTGCATTTGCTGTTCTTTGGCATGGGATCACATAGATGGATTATTTTGTAGAACATTGCCTCAGTTTGTAACAGTGTTTCCTCATTATTAGATTAAGATTATGCATGTTTTAGGGTATTTGGCATTTCATGTTGGTGTACATGAGCTTAATATGCTGCTCTGGCTTCTGGTTCCAGCTTCCTGCTAATGCAGACCTCTGGGGGGCAATGGTAATGGCTCAAGTAGTTAGGTTCCTGCCACTCATGTGAGAGATGTATGCTGAGTTCCAGGCTTCAGTCTGGAGTGGCTGGGACTGGTACTGGCATACCAGTACACGATGTGGTTGTCCCAAGTGGCAAATTAACCTGCTCTGCCATAATGCCCATTCCAGCACAGTCAATTTAAATGTGACATTGTGAACCTACATCATTTCTAAGACATTTCATTTTTCTAATGTAGTCTATAGCCCTTTATAAGTATCCCTTACCCTGCCATTAAATGGCCTTTGTGATTTGATCCTTGTCTCTGGTATGTTCCCCACTCACAGCTTGTGATCCAAGAATGTAAATGTTTTTTAAAATTGTTAATATGTGATAAGCACTTTGTTGATGATTCATCTCTCCTTGCACCAGAAGTTTCTGATTACCTCTGTTTTGAACATCTTTGAATCCCGTTATGTACCTAGCAAGATCCTATTCCTCCTTTTAAATGCCCCAAATATTTCTTCTTGTAAGAAATCTTTTATTTACATTATACCAAACTGTCTTAAATCCTAGCATAAGTTTTCTGCTTAAAATTTTAAGCTAAAATAGAGGGATAATATATATATTCTATGTACCATATATATATACCATTATATATATATGTACCATACATATACCATTATATATATATGTACCATATATATATATTTATATATATATAGACACCATTTATCAGGTGAAGTTAAAAGTTGAATTATTTGCAAAATTTGTTATGTAATGTTTTTCATGTTCATAACTTCATTTACAGAGCTCTCAATGAAATGTGGAAGTGTCAGAACATGCTTCGGAGTCATGTACGTGAACTGTTAGATTTGCACAAGCAGCCTACAGTAAGTTCATTATTTGTTTAAATTCATAGTTTATTATAGTAATTGATAAGTTTTTGTGTAATGCTATATAATAAAGCAAGGATAATATCTCAGATATTTCCAGTGTGTGTTAAACATAATTTCTGGAGCCTGTACTGTGGCATACAGGGTAAAACTGCCGCCTCCAGCACTGGCATACCATATGAGCACTAGTTCGAGTCCCGACTGCTCCACTTCCTATCCAGCTCCCTGCCCATACACCTGGGAAAGCAGTGCAAGATGGCCTAAGTACCCATGTGACCCCTTCATTCACATGGGAGTACCAGGAGAAGCGCCTGGCTTTGGATCAGCTCAGCCCTGGCTGTTGTGGCCATTTGGGGAATGAATCAACAGATGGAGAATCTCTGTCTCTCTCTCTCTCTCTATATATATATAAAACTCTACCTTTCAAATTAATAAATAAAAATTAATTTTTATAGTTGCTCAAACTGAATATTTATAATTAACCTGACAAACTCTTTTCTAGCACAGGCAAAGAAATGGGGTGTTTTTGTATATTAAGATTTTAGATAAGAGTTTATACATATTTTATCAATTTTCAAATAATTAGAATTAGATCTCAAGATAAAATTATATTAAACATCATTTGTTTTTACTCCATGGTTCTTAATCTTTCACTATAGAGTCGATATCAGTATCAGTGTTATAAATCTGACAATGTGAAATTAACCAATAAATTCTACTAAAAGTTTTTTGGAAGTGGGAGAAAAATTCTTTTCATACACTTTTCCACTGTATTTATTTGAATAGATGTTCTTAACCAGGAAACTTAAATAGTCCAGTGAGACTGGCAATCTTTTCTTTTGTTAATGAGCAGATAGTAAAAATAAGAGATGTCTGCTACCTGTTTTTATAGTTTCACATATTCACTTATGCTTTTGCTTGTGTAAAAACAGTCATAGATAATGTATAAATGAAGAAACATGTCTGTATTGCCATAAAACTCTGTTAACAAGAACAGGGAAACCATGGAGCTATAACTTAGCAGTTTCTCATCCAAAATATTCAAACATGGTATAAGTGAAAACTATGAATAAAGTAATTATTCATTGTGAAAGATGAAAGGGAAGTACAATTGGAGGGGAATATAATTGAGGATATGTAAGTAATGAGCCACAAAAAAAGTAATAAAACTATATTCCAGAAGAAAAATTTCTTATTCACATTTTTTAGAGAATATTGTGTGGCATTTTACCTTCCTTGTAATTTTGATGTGATAATTGATCACTTCTCGGCCTTTTGGCTAAGATCAAGTGTTGATGTGATAATTTTATATTTGTTAATTGCTTATCTTTTAGTCAATCTTTTAGCAAAATAATGTTCCTATGAAAGTTTATGTACTCTTTTAATTTTTAATACTTTCCTGCTAACACTTACTTTCCTTTATTTGTCTTAACTTAATAGTTGTTGCTACTCCAGGTTCTTTGCTATCAACTTAAAATGTAGATGTGGTAAGCCATTTTCCTGTCGGTAGGTTTACTGTAATGGATTAATTTTAACTATGTAAAATAGGCAGTAATGAGTACTGATCATTCTTACAGAAATTTGTTGGTACATATGACTGATTGTTCTTTTGTTCCTGTTTTAAATTCTAGTCAGAAGCTAACTGTTCTGCTATGTTTGGAAAACTGATGACCATAGCAAGTAAGTTTGTTTATTCACTCATTAAGATGTAGTAAACATCACAATAGAAATTTAATTTGCCCAATAGAACTATCATTTATTGCTCAATAAGAGAAAATTCTTGTCTTAATTGTATTTCTAATAACCAACTAGGCAGATTTGCTTTTAATGGCTCAGCAATTTTTTAAAATAATTTGATTTTAGTATAGTAGGGTAGTTTTTCTTAACTGATATTGTTTCTTTTACAGAGAATTTGCCCGACCCTGGCAAAGCACAAGATTTTGTGAAGAAATTTAACCAGGTTCTTGGTGATGATGAGAAACTGAGGTCTCAGTTGGAGTTATTAATCAGCCCAACCTGTTCATGCAAACAGGCAGACGTTTGTGTGGTTAGTGAATTATACTTTTATATTCATTTTACTAGATTTACTTATAGAACTTTATATTTCGTTAAAAGCCTGTTTTACACAAAGTATTTTGTGTGAATTTAATAATATTGTGCACTCTGAATTACTTAGGTATGTGTCTGTGGATCAACTTAGTTCTCTTTACTTACCACTCACTCTCCAGCCACATCCCAGGAAAAATCTAGAGAAGTAACCCAGGGAGATTGGTCCTAAGAATTGAGCATTATAAAGTACTTTGTATTTAGTAGACATTCTTTGAGTAAATGGTAAGAATTTTCTAAATGGTTGTCTGTGCATGCATTTTCTTCTCCTTTGTATTAGTATGGACAAAGTCCTTGTCAGTAAATCAGCAATAGTAATATTGCCATATATGTGATTCCTTTTATAGATAAATTTCTATTTAGACTTTTGTCCTCATTCTATTCTTGGACTCCTTATTTTATGGAAAGGCACTATTCTTGAAACTATTGGTAAAGAACACTTCATTTATTTATTTACTCAGCATTTTATAAAACAGTCTTCCCAGCAGTTGAGAGAAAGCTGAGATTCAGGCCTGCTCAGTATTTATTAGCACATATTTATCTGCTGGGGGAGACAGAAGACATGCGGGAGAGGGAAGAGAGGTGCTAAAGTATGCCAGTTAGTAACAGTTATAGGATGTTCTGTTTTCTCTTATTCTATCTCATACTTTAATAAGTGATTACTTTGCACATGAAATAATTATTTTATGAGATTTATATTACTTATTTGAAAGTCATAGTTACAGAGAGAAAAGCAGGAAGAGAGAGATCCTCCATCCGTTGGTTCACTTCCCACATGATCACAATGGCTGGTGCCAGGCCAGGCTGAAGTCAGGAGACAGGAACTCCATCTGGGTCTATGTTGGTGGTAGGGTCCCAAGCTCTGGTGCCATCTTCTGCTGCTTTCCTGGAATACTAGGAGGGAATTGGGTTGAAGTGGCCCATTTGGAACTCTAACCACTGCTCATATGGAATGCCAGAGTTGGCTGCACAGGCTGTGGTTTAATTTGCTGTGCTACAGCACCCTCTCCAAATAATTTTTAAAATTAATTTATTAGAAAGCCAGAGAGACAGATACAGTGATCTGTCCTTTGCTGGTTTACTCCGAAAATGCCTGTAACAGCTGGGACTGGGCCAGGTTGGAGTCAGGAGCCAGGAACTGAATCTAGGTCTCCTCTGCAGGTAGCAAGGGACCCAGGTAGTTGAGCCATTTTCTAATGCCTCTCAGGGTGTGCATCAGCCGGATACTGGATGCAGACTGGGGCCAGGACCAAACACTCAGGCACTTTGATACCAGATGCAAGTGTCTCAAAACACTGCCTTAACAGCTATTCTAAATATCCACCCCTGAAAAAGTACTTTTTAAAAACCAAACACCCTTTTATTAATTGAAATAACAGTGAAAATTGTGCATAGAAAATTGTACAAAGAAGAGAGAGTATGGGGCTGGGGCTGTGGCTCACTTGGTTAATCCTCCGCCTGCGGCGCCGGCATCCCACATGGGCGCCAGGTTGTAGTTCCAGCTGCCCCTCTTCCAGTCCAGCTCTCTGCTGTGGCCCAGGAGAGCAGTGGAGGATTGCCCGGTGTTTGGGCTCCTGCACCCGCATGGGAGACCAGGAGGAAGCACCTGGCTCCTGGCTTCGGATCGGCGCAGCGCCAGCCATAGCGGCCATTTGGGGAGTGAATTAATGGAAGGAAGACCTTTCTCTCTGTCTCTCTCTCTCACTATCTATAACTCTACCTGTCAAATAAAAAACTAAATTAAGGCCGGCGCCGCGGCTCACTAGGCTAATCCTCCGCCTAGCGGTGCCAGCACACCGGGTTCTAGTCCCGGTCGGGGTGCCGGATTCTGTCCCGGTTGCCCCTCTTCCAGGCCAGCTCTCTGCTGTGGCCAGGGAGTGCAGTGGAGGATGGCCCAGGTGCTTGGGCCCTGCACCCCATGGGAGACCAGGAAAAAGCACCTGGCTCCTGGCTCCTGCCATTGGATCAGCGCGGTGCGCCGGCCGCAGCGCGCCGGCCGCGGCGGCCATTGGAGGGTGAACCAACGGCAAAGGAAGACCTTTCTCTCTGTCTCTCTCTCTCACTGTCCACTCTGCCTGTCGAGAAAAAAAAAAAAAAAAAAAACTAAATTAAAAAGAGATAGTATTTTTGAAGCTCTTGTTTTTTAGTTTGTATAATACTTGGATTTAATAAATTATAAGCTTATAGTAATAGAAGCTCTTTATTGCTTTTGTACTTCATAGCAGTGTTTAGTATACTAACCAACTTATGTAAATTAGTAAGTATGTATTATGAGTAGTAATTGTATGCAATGATAGCATAGATTTTATGAGAAATTGATGAAACATTATCAGGGATACAGAAAGAACTCTTAGAAACAAAAGCAAAATGGTCAATTGTCCTTCCTGAAAGGATTGCTTTGGTTGAAACTTTCTCAACTACTTTTCAGCTATAATACTTTACGTTGCTGGTACTGGCACTGTGGCATAACAGGTGAAGCTGCTGCCTGAAACACCAGCATCCCATACAAGTCCCTATTGCTCCACTACTGATCCAGTTCCCTGCCTAATGCGCCTGGGAAAGCAGTGCAGGATGGCCCAAGTCTTGGGCCCATGCACCCACATGGGAGACCCAGAGAGAGCTCTGGCTTCGGCCTGGCCCAACCCCTGCTGTGACAGCCATCTGGGGAATGAAGCAGCAGATTAAGATCTTTGTCTCTTCTCTCCCTCTGTAATTCTTGACTTCCAAATATAAATTTTTAAGAAGCCACACAATGGCATAGCACTTTAAGCCACTGTCTGCAGTTCCGGCATCTGATAATAAGTGCAGGTTTGAGTCCCAGCTGCTCCACTTCTGAGCCAGCTCCCTGCTACTGCACCTAGGAAGGCAGCAGAGGATGGCCCAAGTGGGAAACCCGGATAAAGGTAATGGCTTCAGCCTGGCCCAGCCTCCACCATTTGGGAAGTAAACCAGCAGATGGAAGAACTGTCTCTCCCTCTCTCTAATTCTGACTTTCAAATAAATATATAAATAAAAAAAAAGACTTCTTGTCAGTCTTAAATGTTTCCATTTATATTTTGGAGGTATGTATTGCTTTTTTCCCCTTGATTGTGTACAGAAAACTATTTGTTGCTACCTACCTGTCATAGATTGATGTGGCTTGCTCCTTATCTCAAATATCAGTTAAGATTATCACACAAATGTATTAATATAATTGTTATGAGAGTTTAAATCTTACATACACAAAGTACTTGTGTGGTGAGAAATTTCCTCAATGGAAAATTGTTATATAGGCATACCAAAACACGTTTCAAAAAGCTCTTTGTGTAGTATTCTGTTTATATATATAGGTAAATGTGTATTTAACATAGTTCTGTTGCTGTGTTTGAGTAATTATGCATTCTTTTTCCCTTAGAATTTGTTTCTTATTTCTATATCTATGTATAGTGCTTTCTTTCCTTAAACCTAGTTTTTCAATTTATTAGTAATTTATTTCAAGGTACTGATAATATACATTTGCTAGCAGTTTTTCAATAGTCATTTTTGTTGTTAGACAGCCTCTGATGTATTTATCTTATGTTAAAAAATTATGTTTGATACTATAGGAAAAAAATTTCCTTTTTTGAGATACCTCACAAAATAAGATTAATATTCTTTTTTTCAGGCCAGGGTATTAATCCACTGTGCCACAGCACTGGTCCCCAAGATTAATTTCAAGATAGTGAAATTCAGCATTTTTTTGTTTTTACTGCCTTACTTAAAGATTCAATTTATGTATTTGAAAGGCAAAGTTGGCAGGGGAATGTCTTCCATCTGCTGATTCATTCCCTAAATGGCCACAGCAGCTGGGACTGGGCTGATCCAGAGTCAGGAGCCAAGAGCTTCTTCCTGGTCTCCCACATGGGTGCAGGGGCCCAAGCATTTTGGCCATTTTCTGCTGCTTTTCCAGGCACATTAGCAGGGAGCTAGGTTGGAAGTGGAACAGCTAGGATATGAACTGTTGCCCATGTGGGATGCCATTGTCACTGAAACACCTTTAAAATATACTAATATGTTTCTGTATTATAGTTTGGAAAGCACATTTAATGTACATTATTTCCTCAGCCCAGATGCATATTTATTTAACAGAACTATTGAATTAAAAAACATGCTTTTACAATAAATTTTCTTAGTGCCCAACACATTATATACTCAATCATATTTTTGAGGAATCAGTCACAGTTGTTACCTTCTTTAGAAACTTCCTGCAATGATATCTTTGTTTGTAGGATCTGTTTAACATAATGCCATAATCTTTTTAAATTGAGAGAGTTTTTTTTAATCCATCAAACCGTATACAATAATTCTATGTCTAGGTTACAAATTGACAAGATTCTAAGAGATTGCATGGTTAAACCAAAACTGAAAAAGTTACAAATATACATTTATAAATATTCTCCCTTAAAATAGATTAAAGCAAAACAAAGTATTCTATCAAATTGTGAAATAATTAACACCAAGAATACATTCTCATGAAAGTGTAAATTTGTTTTTTCAACAGTTGAGTGTTAAAAACAGTTGTTACACTAAGTAATCATTTCATGGGGGGTGAGCATTAAGCCTAGCCACTAAGATACTCATTAAGATCCCCACATCCAATATCAGAGTATCTGAATTTGATTCCTGGTTCTTCCCCCTCACTCCAGCTTCCTCAATGGCCACAGAGACTTGGATTGAGTTCTTGGCTCCTGTATTCAGTTCCCCGACCTTTGCAGTTCAATGCCTGGGTTTGAGTCCTGGTTCCACTCTCCATTCCTACTAATGCACACCCTGGAAGGCTGCAAGTAATGGCTTAAATACTTGAGTTCCTGCCGCTTGCACAGAAGACATGGATTGAGTACCTGGCTTCTGGCTTTGGCCTAACCTAGCCTCAGCTGTTGTGGGCTTTTGAGGAGTGAACCAGTGGAACGAAAATCCCTGTCTCTCTTTTTCTCTCTTGTTTCCCTCTCCCCCCACCCTGCCCCACCTTTCAAACAAATTAACAGTTAACAGTCATATTTTTTAAAAAGAAAAATTTCATAGGAGTAATATCAGACAAAAGGTCAAAACCACAGAGAAACCACGTCATCTGCTTATGTTCTTCACTGTCCAGATTTTTCTAAGGTTGCTCAATGAATGTCTAAATTTTATTCAGGATCTAAAACAGAAAAACATTTTTTCGCTACTGTTGGTTTTACATCTTTGTGTTTTATTCCTGTAATCATTTTTATTTTTTATAGGCATGAGAGTAAATCATATTTATGATAAAACTCTTTACTTTTTGTAGAGAGAAATAGCTCGGAAACTTGCAAATCCTAAGCAGCCAACAAATCCTTTTCTAGAGATGGTCAAATTTCTGTTGGAAAGAATTGCACCTGTGCACATTGATTCAGAAGCCATAAGGTAAGATGTTGTAAATTTAAATTTGGGGACTGTAAAGAGATCTTTAAAAAAAATGTTTTTCCTGTATATTGTTTTGTATACTTCTTTTTAATAGCAGAAGAACACATGTTCCAACTATAAGAAGACCTGCTGATTTTATGATCTTTGGCTTTATTTATGGCTTTTTATTTTTAAAAATTTATTTTTTTATTTTTAACCTTTCTCCTGTTCATTGAAGAAAACTCAGAACAAAGTGTGGTTCAATATAGCTGTCAACCTCCCTCTGAGGGTTCTTAAACATTTATTGATCACATCATATTTTGTAGTTATATGGGTATTTTACACCATTGCTCACTTACCATGTGAAAACAGAATATTATGTTGAAAATAAAACAGTTGTCATTAAAGGTTTTTGGTTTGTAAAAGGTTTTTGGTTTGTAAACATTAATATTCTTTGTGGTTTTGGAAGAAGCTCTCTTAATTATCCAAATTTTCAACATTAATATTACATCTCTTTGGATGATTATGAGAATTAGAGATAGCATAAAAAGCAAGTGGCTTGGCATAATTGGTGTTAATTGACAGCTATTTTTTGTTAGTACTTCCAACAGTTTCAGACATTTGAGTTTGATTTTATGACTTTTCTGTTGTATCCTTCTGTGGGTGCCATTTTTCTTATACTAATTACTTTTCCAGTAAATAAGATGTGTATCTTTCTGTGTTGGGTTATTATTGTACTTATTGATTCTTTTTCCAGATGATACAGGAAATATTAAAACTCATGGTGCTTGGTTTTGATTTTTTACTGCCCTTAAAGATTCGATTTATGTATTTGAAAGGCAAAGTTAGAGAGAGAGAGAGAGAGAGAGAATCTTCCATCTGCTGGTTCACTCCCCAGATGGCTGCAACAACCGGAGCTTCTTCTGGAAGACCACATGTGCCATCCTCTGCTGCTTTCCCAGGCTCATTAGCCTGGAGCTGAATAGGAAGAGGACTGGAATTGGCACCCATATAGGAAGTCAGTATTGCAGGTGGAGGCTTTACTCACTACACCACAAGGCCAGCCCCCTTCCTCCACTTTCAATCCAATATGCACCGTGAGAGGCAATAGGTGATAGGTCACCTACTTGGGTCCCTGCCAACCATGTGGGAGACCTGGATGAAATTCCTGGCTCCTAAAATTTCCATCTGATCCAGCCCTGCTGTTTCTGGCATTTAGAGAGTCAAGTAACAGATGAAACATATCCCTGCTCTACTTTCTTCTCCTGTCCCCTGCACCCCTTTCTCTCCCTGTCTTTCTCCCTCTCTTTTTTTCTCTCCTTTCTTCCCCCTTCCCCCTCCCCAACACTTCTGTCACTCTGCCTTTCAAATAAATATAATAAAGAAATCTGCTTTTAAAAATAACTAATTTATTTGAGAATTTCTTTTGCTCAAGCATTTTTCCCTAAGATGTTTGCCTATGCAGATGAATACATATATGTTATAGTTAGTTAGTGGTATGAAGATGGTAATTGACAATTAGGTAGTTGTTGTAATGGTTATATTGGTTGAAACCCAGGAGAAAGAGAATAAAATTAACTGAAAAACTTTGAGGACTACATCATGAGAAAAATTGACAAGGGACTGGCAGAAGAAGATGAGGAGCTCATTTTAAGATGTTTTGAGAAGACAGTCAAAAGTCAGAATTCAGGGGCTGGTGTTGTAGCACAATGGATTAAGCCATCACTTACAAAAATAGCATCCTTTATCAGAGTGCTGGTTCAAGTCCTGACTGCTCTGCATCTGATCCAGATTCCTGCTAATGCACTTGGGAAAGAAACAGAATACGACTCGAGTACTTGGGCCCCTTCTACCCCTGGGACAAACCAGAAAGGAGTTCCAGGCCTTGGCCTCGTCCATTTCTGGCTGTTGTGGCCATTCAGAGAATTAAAGATTTACAAAGCATGTTTCTGAACCAGCAAATGGAAGATATCTCTTCTCTCTCTTCCGTTCCCTCGTTCCTGTCATTCTGCCTTTTGAATAAGTCTTTTTTAAAAGTCAAAAGTCAGAAAAGAGTGGTATCAGAGAGCCAGAGGTACTGAAAGATGTAGGGATCAATCATATGAAGAAGTGAAGTAAGTACCAAATAGCATTCATTGATTAGGAAGAGGAAATAAATCATAGTGTCCAGAACAGAATACCATTAAGTCAAAAAGACATAGAAGGGGCCTGCACTTGGCATAGTGGGTAAAGCTGTCCCCTGGAGTGCTGGCATTGTATATGGATGCCAGCTCAAGTCCTGGCTGCTCCATAACAATCCAGATCCCTGTTAATATTCCTGGGAAAGCAGCAGAAGATGGCCCAAGTGCTTGGTTCCCTGCACCCACGTGAAAAACCTGGAAAAAACTGGTTCCTGGTCATCTGGGAAGTAAACCAGCAGATGAAGACATCTCTGTCTCTGCCTTTCCCTCTCTCTCTGTAACTTGGCCTTTCAGTGAGTAAATCTTGAAAAAAAATTTAAAAAAAGACATAGTGGAGTCTTCCCTTTATAATATTTGGGCAGACAAGGCTGTTCAAGCCTGGAGTTAACTGACCTATCTCAACAGATGCCCACTAGGACACAATTGACTATACTTAGATCCAAGAAAATCAAAAGAATAAATAGTCTGTCATACTTCCAAGCTCTGTGGTATGAAATAAATTGGCTGTGGGGACAATCAATGTAAATACCCTTCAGCTATCAAAAGAAGACAGTTGAGATGATGGAAGGTGTGTAGGCTTGAAGAAATCTTGTGTTTTTTTGTTGTTGTTGTTTTTTGTTTTTGGTTTTTTTTTGTTTTTGTTTTTGTTTTTTTTTCCTGAAAGAATCTTAAATATGTGTGAACAGAGCTAATAGAAGATATGTTGAGATGGAGAAAGGGGAGTATTGATAATGATGGAGTATTCCTAAGGAAGCCGAGAAGGAAGAAGGGCAGCTGCTATGGCCTGGGAAAGCAGTAGAAGATGGCCCAGCAAAGAGCTGGATCAGAAGTAGAACAGCTGGGACTCATCCAGCGCCCATATGGGATGCTGGCACTATAGATGGCAAATTTACCCGCGATGCCATAGTACCGGACCCTTAAAAGTTTTAAAGAGAAGTTAATTAAAGTGCTAAAATTCCATTACATTTCAATATCCTCATCCAATTCAAACTTTAAAAGATTTTTTATTGGGGCTGACATTATGATGCAGATCACTTGCCTTTTGGGATGCCTGCATCCCATATTTGGGTGCCAGTTTGAGTCCTGGCTACACTGGACTTCTGATCCACCTTCCTACTAGTGTACCTGAGATGCAGCAGATGACCCAAATATTTGGGTTCCTGTCACCCATGTGGGAGACCCAGATGGAATTCCTGGCCCCTGTCTTTAGTCTAGACCTGACTGTTGGTAGGTATTTGGGAGGTAAACTAGCAGATGAAAGATCTGTTCTCCCTCTCTCTGTCTGTTCCTCTCTGTGTTACTCTTTCAAATAAATAACTCATTTTAAAAAATATTTTATTGGGGGCTGGTGCTGTGGCGCAGCAGGTTAACGCCCTGGCCTGAAGCGCCGGCATCCCATATGGGCACTGGTTCAATTCCCAGCTGCTCCACTTCCTATCCAGCTCTCTGCTATGGCCTGAAATAGCAGTAGAAGATGGCCCAAGTCCTTGGGCCCCTGCACCGCGTGGGAGACCTGGAAGAAGCTCCTGGCTCCTGGCTTCAGATCGGCACAATTCAGCCATTGCAGCCAATTGGGGAGTGAACCATCAGATGGAAGACCTCTCTCTCTTTCTCTCTCTATCTCTCTCTCTCTGCCTCTCCTCTCTCATGTATCTCTGACTTCAAGTAAAATTAAAAAATCTTTAAAAGATATATACATAACACCAAGGGGAAACAATTTAACCCAAATATGTTTTTTGAATATTTTTTATATACAAAGTCAGTTCAAATGATGTCCTCTTAGTTTAGTAAGTTAATGCACTTGGCCATCATCATCTGTGAGATCTGTATCAGTGGATTTAGCCAACTGCAGATTGAAAATATTTGGAAATATAAAACTGTACTAAACATGTATAGACTTTTGTTTAATGCCTTTTTAAAAAAATATTTACTTATTTGAGAGGCAGAGTTACAGAGGGAGACAAGAGAAAGAAGTCCTCCATCTGTTGATTCACTCCTCGAATGGCCGCATTGGCTGGAGCTGGGCTGATCCAAAGCCAGGAGCCAGGAGCCTCCTTCAGGTCTCCCACATGGTACAGGGGCCCATACACCCAGATCATCAGCTTAGAGCTGCATCATCATTGGAGCAGCTGGAACTCGAACTGGTACCCACATGGGGAGCCAACACTTCAGTCAGAAGCCTAACCTACTACGCCACAGTGCTGGCCCCTAATGTCATTTTCTAAATAATATAAGAGCTTTTTACATAGCATGTACATTGTATTAGATACAATGAATAATCTAGAATTGATTTAAGGGATGTGCATTGGTTATATGCAAAGGCTACCCCACTTTATAATATCTTTGAGTACTTGAACAACCAAGGGTTTTGTATTGGCTAGGGTGTTTGAACTATTTCCCTGTGAATGATGATTGCCCTCTATATCTTAAAATTGTAAACAACTTCCTTACATATAGAAATGAATTGTAAATTGCTTATATTGTATTATGTATTTCCAGTGTGTTTTGTCATTTAATTTTTGTTTTGTTATTATACTTTTTTTTTTTAATTTACTTATTTGAGATGCAGAGTTAGAGGGAGAGGGAGGGAGGGAGGGAGAGGTCTTATTATCTGCTGGATCACTCCCCAGATGGCCACAGCTGTAGACAGGTGCTTCATTCAGGTCTCCCACGTGGGTGCAGAGCTTTAAGTACTTGGGCCATCTGGTTTCCCAGGCATATTAGCAGGGAGCTGGATCAGAAGCTCAGAAGTGGAGCAGCTGGGACTGGAACCAACACCCAAATGGGATGTCAGCATTTCAGGCTGCAGCTTAGCCTGTGAACACTACATTGCCAGCCCTACATTAAGTATTTTCAAGGGATAAACCAAAAATATGCTGTTAAGTAGAGAAACTTGATTAAATCTGACTCATGTAGATTAGTTTAGATTACAGCTTTTAGTTTTGTGATATTTCTAATTTATATTTTCTTCTTTTAATAGTGCACTTGTAAAATTGATGAATAAATCCATAGAGGGGACAGCAGATGATGAAGAGGAGGGTGTAAGTCCCGATACTGCTATTCGTTCAGGACTTGAACTTCTTAAGGTACTTTTGGAATAATTTTGTCTCTTAGAATGCCCATAGTCATAATTTGTATTTCCTTTAAGATATGCAGAAGTTGGACTTCTTGCATTGGAAGCTATTTAAAAGATAAAAATGTATGATAGAAGTTATATTTTATAAAAATATGTTACATGATAGTATTTATAAGATAATGTTTTTTGATTTTGTTCGCTGCAATGCTTTTAACAATGTATGCTAAATTACCTAATATTTTCATTCAAAGAACCTACATCTAGTATAGTAGACTGCAAACAGGGATTATTATATGACAGCATCTGTCAAAAATTAGGGAATTTTTAAAAAGGATTTATTTATTTATTTGAAACTCAGAGTTATACAGAAAGAGAAGGAGAGGCAGAGAGAGAGCTCTTCCATATACTGGTTCACTGCCCAAATGGCCACCACTGGCAGAACTGCACCGATCCAAAGCCAGGAGCTTCTTCCAGGTCTCCCACGTGGGTGCAGGGGCCCAAGGACTTGGACCATCTTGTACTGCTTTCCCAGGCCAAAGCAGAGACCTGGATTGGAAGTGGCACAGTCAGGACACGAACTGGCCCCCATATGGGATGCTGGCACTGCAGGTAGCGGCTTTACCCGCCACGCCACAGCACCAACCCCAACCCCAGGAATTTTTAAATAACTGATAATCATAATATATGCCAAATAATTCAACAATTTGAGCAACTGATATGAGCCAGGTGACTCAAAATTTTCTGGACACCATGTAACTAGATTTACAGGAAGCATAATATCATTAAAGGGAATAATTGTTTGCATCCTTGGGGAATCTTGGAATACTAGTCTGAATGAAGAAAAAGATTGCTTTGGGGAGCAATAGACAAAAGTCTGGTTCCATATTGTGAGGCAGAGACATAGTGTTGAGGTTTTCAGTCTGGCTTTCAACCTATAACACTTGATAAAACTTTCATTGGATTGAGTAGAGAGAGTAAGAAGTTGGAAGAGATTTTGAGGACCCTGCAACACAAACTAAGCGAGAAAAGGTAATTCAGTAGGAAAGAAAGTAATATCATTGTACTGAGATGGTCATATATTATTTCATTGAAACAATCTATATGCTTCATGAATAAGATTTTAATTATATTTTTAATATTTGGGCTATATTTTCATAGTTTAAAAGTTAAATCATCATTAAGGCAAACATTTTTCAATGAGTTGCTTTTGATTTTGGTTTTCAAATTCTCAGTTTGTCTGTAAATAATTAAAAGCTTATAACTCATCCAAAGCTTACTAAATGAGACCATCTTTGTGCTACATGACACTTTAAACAAATGCTTACTGATGAAGTTAACAAAGACTGCTTGCTTTGTTGCTTCCACACTCTGCCTTTTCACTATTAACCCTTTTTCCTGATATTACAATAAATTATTTTCTACTTTATAGCAAGAAAATTTTATAAGCATGTCATATATAACTTGCTACAAATTCCTTAAGGACAGGGTGGGGCTGAAGTCATAATAAACGGGAATATATTTGCAATCCTAATTGGAAGTTTACGTTAATGGATTGTTTCTACATATGACGAACAAACTTTTTGTGATCCATTTCACTTAACATTTTAAAATAGATTATCATCTGGTCAAATAATGCCTGAATTAGCATTTTCTGTATATCTCACAAATATTGAGTTATTAAGTATGGATCTTTAATTTTCACTAGACATTCCTGCACATAAACAAAATACATTTATAAGCTGATCATTATAAAATTGGAATATCATTCCATAAAAAATGAGCAACATTTTTTACATTCCAAATATCAGAATAAGCAGAAAAGAAGAAAACAGGGCATCTCAGGCGTCAGAAGGAAGTAACTGGAAGCTAACACATAGTTTTTCTGTTAGTATCTCATTAGCTTTAACTAACTGCAAAGTAAAGGTAATATAATTTCTATTTTGTGTAGCTAGCATATGTACCTTAGAATTTTAACTTGTTTTTTTTTATAGGAAATAATTTTTTAAAGTAGATTAAAATCATTGTCTACACTTAAAGCTTTATCTATCCCTCCAGGTTCTGTCTTTCACACATCCTACCTCGTTCCACTCTGCAGAGACATATGAGTCCTTGTTACAGTGCCTGAGAATGGAGGATGATAAGGTAGCAGAAGCTGCTATACAAATTTTTAGAAATACAGGCCACAAAATAGAAACAGATCTTCCCCAGATTCGATCGTGAGTATATTTTTTCTCATGCTAAACAAAAAAAGTTTGTGTCTGTTCTAAGGAGAGAAAATCAAGTTTCATTTAGATGGAACTTTTCTGTATCTTTTTTTTTTCTTTTGTCCTCTGCTTCAGTGCTCCCTTGACTATTGAATGCAGGTAGAAAAATAAAGTATAACTGTTTATAACAAAATTATTTTGGAACCATTAATAGGCATGGTTGGTGTTGTGGCCTAGAGGGTAAAGCCACCACCTGCAACATGGATGCCAGTTTGAGTCCCAGCTCCACCACTTCCAATCCATCTCCTTGCTAATGGCCAGAGAAAGCAGCAGATGGCCTAAGTGCTTGGGCTCCTGTACTCGCATATGGGAGACTTGGCAGAAGCTCCAGGCTCTTAGTTTTGGCCTGGCAAATCTCCAGCCATTGCAGCCATTTGGGGAGTAAACCAACAGATGGAAGATCTCTGTGTCTCTCTGTAACTCTGCCTTTCAAATAAATAAAAATGAATCTTTTTTAAAAATTAAGTTATTTAAAAAATTAGTATTTTATTTTTGATTAGTACATGTGTACTTCAAAAGGTTCATGAAAAATGGAATTAAACATATGTGTAGTTTGTAAACCTTCAACCATAAAATAATGTCAAAGATGGGGAAATGTTGATTACCCTCTTTAGATCAGTACACATGGTATACATGTATTGAGATAATACACTGTAGTCCATAAATATGCATAATTATTGCTAATATTTTGGTGCAAAACTTTTTGTGTATATATATATATTTGGAGGATCTTCAAAACCTTCATACAAAAATGTGTATTATAAAAGAAAACCATGGGTGGGGGCTGGCACTGTGGCTTAGTGGATAAAGCCACTGCATACAGTGTCAGCATCCCATATGGGCTGCTGTTCATGTCCTGGCTGCTCCACTGCCAATCCAGCTCTCTGATATGGCATGGGGAAACAGTAGAAGATGGCCTAAGTGTTTGGTCCCCTATACTTGTGTGGGAGACCTGGAAGACGCTCCCAGCTCCTACCTTCATATTGGCCCAGCTCCGACTGTTACAGCCATCAGAGAGTGAACCAGCAGATGGAAGACCTCTTTCACTCTCTCTTTGCCTCTGTATCTGCCTCTCTGTAACTCTCTGCTTTTCAAGTAAATAATAAATAAATCTTAGAAAAAGAACTATGAGTGGATTTCAAAATTTTGGCACCAACATTTGTCCAGCTTGCATGAACTTTTTGAAGTGTCCTTAGATATTTGTATTCTATGTATGCCCATTTTTCTCCTCAACTCTGCTATAAATTCAGTAGCTGCCCCTTCTTTACCCAGCTAAAGAATGGGTCAGTCAAATAGTGAGCTTAATAGACTATTTCTTTGTTGCATTGTTGTTGGCAGTGATGCTTCTGTTACTTTGATCTCTCCCTCTAGATCAGTTCCCCTGTCCAAGTAAGAATGAAGTACACTTTGAAATTTTCACTTTGGCATCTTAAAGAGGCTGCCTATGGTAAAATTTATCCTTGGAAAGAAGACATATTGTTGACAGCTATTGAATCAGGTGTTCAGAGTATAGCTAAATACAAAGTAGTTTTTCCTCACAGGATAAGTGTACTTCTGAACTGTTAATTACATTTTTGAGCTAATAGTTTAATTTGTGAAATCATTACATATAAATTGTATGTTTTCCTTATTCTTAGCACTGTGGTAGATAATACAAGAGTTACCACAGTCCCTGCACTCAAGGAGTTTATAGTCTAGAGATGATGATCTTTGTATCATCATGTACATTATATAAAGATCACTGACATGATAGGTTAACATTACTGGTGAATTTTTTTTGGTTAAAGATTGGAAGAGTTAGAAAAAAAGTCTGGAGCCAGGAGCTTCATTCATGTCTCCCACAGAATGGCAGGAGTCCAAGTACTTGGACCATCTTATGTGTTTTTCAGGCCATTAGCAGAGAGTTGGATCAGAAGTGGACCAGCTAGGACACAATCCAACACCCATATGGGATGCCAATGTTGCAATCGGCAACTTTATGTACTATGACACATGTTGGCACTTGCAGAGTTTTTCAAGTTGGGAAAACTTGTACATTTTTTAAAGTGAAGGAAGGAGAATTAACTTTGGACACAGCTTTTGTTCTTAAGACTGATAGGGAATTAGATAATCACTGAGAAGCACAATGAAGATTTCGGTAACAACCCTGATAGTCTTGTGGGATTGTCAGTCTTTAAAAAAACAAAACAAAACAAAAAAACAGAAATAAAGGACAAAAGTAACTTTATTCTTAAAGATTATTTATTTATTTACTTATTTGAAAGTCAGTTAAGGGAGAGAGAGAAATCTTCCATCTGCTGGTTCACTCTCTGAATGGCTGCAATGACTGGGGCTGTCCCAGGCCACAGCTAGGAGCCAGGAGCTTCTTCCAGGGCTTCCACGTGGGTGCAGTGGCCCAGGGAACCAGGCCATCTTCCTCTGCTTTCCTAGGCCATTTCCTGGAGCTGGATTTTAAATAAAGCTCCTGGGACACAAACTGGCATCCATATGGAATGTTGGCATCATGGGTGGAGGTTTTACCTACAACACTACAGCACTGGTCCCTTGTTTATCATCTATAAAACAGGATATTTTCAAATTAAGTGTATAACAATGTATCTTCAGAATTTTTAATTTTACTTTATAAATTTTCTTCTGATCATAAAAATGCTTATATATTGACTATAATAAAGCCAGAACTAAAGAAATATCAATATTAACATATTAATATGTATAATATTATGAATGTCATGCTTTTGATGTGTATTCCTATTTTTATAGGTTTATGTGGTTTTGTTCTACCTAGTGTTTTTGTATGATACCAACATTTAATTCTTTAAGACTGGATGTGTGTTTTTTTAAGATCTAATTTATTTATTTGGGAGGTAGAGTTAGAGAAAAAGGTCTTTGATCCACTGGTTCACTCCCCAAAAGGCTACAAAGGATGGAGCTGGACTGATCCGAAGCCAGGAGCCAGGAGCTTCCTCTGGGTCTCCCATGTAGGTACAAGGGTCTAAGCACTTGCGCCATCTTCTGCTTTCCCAGGCTATACGCAGGGAGCTGGATTTGAAGTGGAGTAGCCAGGACTCAAACCGATGCCCATATGGGATACCAGTGCCCCAGGCAGAGTTTTAAAGTGAAAATTGTCTCCTGATGTAGCCTTTTTTTTGTAAAGTATCATCATTCTTAATTTTGTATTTTGGGGAAAAGAGGTAGAGGTCCCCTGCCAATATATATCCCAAAAGGGAACAGGAGACAAGCAAAAGAATACTTTTGGCTTCACAAAAAGAAAAAAACTATGATGTTATTTTTTGCAGGACCTTAATACCCATCTTACATCAAAAAGCAAAGAGGGGTACTCCACACCAAGCAAAACAGGCTGTGCACTGTATACATGCCATATTCACAAATAAAGAAGTCCAGCTTGCGCAGATTTTTGAGGTATATATAGTACATAGGTTTTGTGTTTATGTTGGTCTTTATTATTTTTAAAGCTTTGTGGTTTGATAAAGTGGAAGCTAAGTTTTTTTCTTAGCTCTTTTTATGTATTCCTACCCTAGAATATAAAATTCTTGGGAGCAGGGATTCTAACTGTTTTATTCAGCACTATACTCCTAGTCTGTAGAACAGGTTATATTGTGCAAATACTTCACATTGAAAGATGTTTTGTGTGTTTGTGTTAGAATACTTCACTTCATTTTAGTGCTATTGGCTTAATAGTCCTTTATCCTTGAAGTATTGGATGACTTTGAGCTATTTCATTTAAAGTACCTAATGACCCTACTGGAAAATTAATCTTGTTTCTCTTCTTTTACCTTATTCTTGGCCTAAATATGCCACTTGAAAGATATTTCTGTTATCTTAAATTGGAAATAGTGTAGGCAGAACCCAACAGACTCTTAATTTTTTATGATTCAAGATAAATTAAAAAGTTCCTACAGGACAGGAAGTTTACCGACCTGTCACATGTGTTGTTGATGGGTTGAAAATAATGCTAATTTGATGAAGCAGATAAGTTTTTGTTTTAACTTCTGTCTTTTTCTTGGGATTGATTTCTTCCTTGTAGTTGTCAATCTTAATTTCCAATATGGTGTTTTAAGAACCAGTGTCTAACATAGTTAAAATTAGTTATGATCACACCATTAAAACAGACTGGTTTAGAAACCATAAATTCAGAAGGACTCAGGAAAAGTTACTGTAGCCATACAACACGTAGATAATTATAAACCAATTTGATAATTTTGTTCTGTTTTGTTTTTATAGCCACTCAGTAGGAGTCTGAATGCTGATGTACCAGAACAACTTATAACTCCGTTAGTTTCTTTGGGCCACATTTCTATGTTAGCACCAGATCAGTTTGCTTCCCCAATGAAATCCGTAGTAGCAAATTTTATTGTGAAAGATCTGCTAATGAATGACAGGGTAAGTTTCTCATTTAATTAAATTTAGAATCATGCGATAAGACTGCTTACACCTTTATCATGAAAACACCATTTTTGTTTTTCTCTGTAGATATGATTATCTTTTCCTTTGCATTTGGCCCTCATTATTTACAAAATTTCATATGTCTTTTGATTTCAGGATAGCCATTACTTAACTTTTTTTTTTATTAAGATTTATTTATTTGAAAGTCAAAGCTACACAGAGAGAAGAAGAAACAGAGATTCCCCCATCTGCTGGTTCACTCCCCAAATGGCCACAACCACCAGGGCTGGGCCAGGCAGAAGCCAGGTGTCAAGAGCCTCCTCTGGATCTTCCATGTGGGTAGAGGGGTCCAAGGATTTGGGCCGTCCTCACTGCACATTAGCAGGGAGCTAGATCAGAAGTGGAGAAGCCAGGCCTTGAACTAGTACCCAATGGTCCCCATTATTTACTTAACATTTAAAAAGGAAAAAAAAAATGAGAACATGAGATGGATAAATCATAACATTAAGTCAAATGGTATTATTCTGACCTTTGAAAAATCACTCACTCTGTACCTCTTTAGCAGTAGCTCCCCATTCTCCCCTATGGCAACTCTTTGTTCTACATTTTAGTTTTACGGAGATACCTTTTTTTTTTTTTTTTTTTTTTAAAGATTCATTTATTTATTTGAGAGGCAGAGTTACAGACAGAGGGAGAGACAAAGAGAGAGGTCTTCATCTGCTGGTTCACTCCCTAAATAGCTCTTAATGGCAGGGCTGGACCAGGCCAAAGCCAGGAGTCGGGAGTTTTTTCTGGATCTCCCACATGGTGCAGGGACCCAAGCACTCTTCCATTGCTTTCCCAGGTACATCATCAGGGATCTGGATCAGAAGTGGAGCAGCCAGGGCTTGAACTGACACCTATATGGGATGCTGGCTCCACAGGCAGAGGTTTAACCTACTATGAAACAGCACCAGCCCTGTACATAAACATCCTAAATGGCATTTTAATTGCTACACTATATATCAATCCCTTGAGGAACTTTTTCATGTGTTATTGGCAGTCTGTGTATCTTTGGAGAACTGCCTATTCATGTCTTTTACCCACTTTTGATTGGGTTGTTTGTATTTCTGTTCTAAGAGTCTTTCTTTTTTTTTTTCTCAATGTATCCTATACATTAAACCTTTGCCAGATGTTTGCTAAATTTATGATTAAGAAGATTTTCTCCTATGTCATTTTAAGACCTTGGTAGTTTTAGCTATTAAATCAATATCTTTGATCCATTTTTATTTGTTTGTATATTTAATGGTCTAGCTTTTGTGTTTTTTTTTAAAGATTTATTTATATTATATATTATATAATATATATTATATATTTATTTATATTATATTCTATAATATTATTTATATAATATAATATATTTATTTATATTGAGAGGTAGAGTTACAGAGAGAGGTCTTCCATCCACTGATTGACTCTCCAAATGGCCATAACAGCTGGAGCTGGGCTGATCTGAAGCCAGGAACCAGAAGATTATTTCAGGTCTCCCATGTGGTTGCAGGGTCCCAAGTACTTGGGCCATCTTCTACTGGTTTTCCAGGCCATAGTAGAGAGCTGGATTGGAAGTGGAATAGCTGGGACTCTAACCAGCACCCATATGAGATGCCGACACTGCAGGCGGCAGCTAGACCTACTACCCAGCAGCACCAGTCCCTAGCTTTTGCTTTTGTATATCCAGTTTTTTAGCACCATTTGCTTTCCTTAAAAGGTGCTTTTCTTGAAAATCTCAAGACTTTTCTTTCCCCAGAGATTGGTCTTAGCAAAATCACTTGTCAAAATTCAGTTGGCCATAAATGCAAGGGTTTTCTGGATTCTTCATTTTATTCTTCTGGTTTATGTGTCTATCTTTGTGTGAGTCATACTGTATTGATTACTTTGGTTATAGTAAGTTTTGAAATTGTGAAGTCTGAGTCTTCTTTGTTCTTTTCTAAGCTCTACTTGATGACTTTCCCATAGATTTTCCAGAGCCTACATTGCTCAGTACGTAAAACTGAGCATGGGCCACTGTTGTGGCACAGTGGGTTTAGCCTCTGCTTCTGACACTGGCATCCCATATTGGAATACTGGCTTGAGTCCCAGCTGTTTCAGTTCTAATCCAGCTCTCTGCTAATGCACTTGGGAAGGTAGTAGAAGATACCCAAGTATTTAGGTCCTTGCCACGCATCCACAAAACCCAGATGAAGTTCCTTCCTGGTTCCTGGCTTCAGCCTGCCCCAGTCCCAGCTATGGTGGCCATTTGGAGAGTGAACCAGCAAATGAAATATTTCTCTCCCTGTCATTCTGCCTATCAAACAAATAAAGTTTCCAGAATAATTAGAAAACTTCTAATAGCTACCTTAAATTTAAAGAAAATGTTTACAGTAATTTAAAAAAAAATTATGAGGAAAAACCTAAAATTTTTTTGTTTCTAGAAGCTAAGTTTCTTCAATTGTCTGTAGTCAACAGGTGAGAAGAATGGTAAATTATGGTCTCCAGATGAAGAGGTTTCCCCTGAAGTACTAGCAAAGGTAAATTCACATAGATCCTGTTAACATTTGTATTGAAAAACAAACATTACAGGTATCCTTTTTATTAACCTAACAGTTAATAAGTACTTTTAAATGAGGTGCTTTATTTTAAAATCTATAGTAAGAAGTTGTTTGGTTCTCAAAGTAATTGTAGTCATCATTGTTTCTTATATATGTCATTGTCTTCTGCCAGCTAAAACAATCTCAATGAGGCTGTTTTATACAGAGATTGTAGAGTATTGCTGGTGCCCAGAGGCATCTCAAGTCTAACTTCACCACTACTGTCTGCAAGCATATGAATATTAACTTGGCAAAGACAGATGGTTTTCACCAAATTGATGACTTTTGTTAGATGTAAGTTAATCCTAAATAAAGCTAATTTTTAAGTCATGGGTTTGGGATTTAAAATAGGATTTTTAACATCATCATTAATGAATTTTCTATTTCATGGTCATCATATAGTCTATCAAATTATTTTCTGTGTTGCCAGTGCATATAGTAAAAAAATACCTAACCTTTTGTTAATTTTTTCACATATATTGGTAATGGTGCTTTGAGTGGACAACTCAAAGTAATTGTGACTACTAATAATGATGGAAACTTATTTTTTGTGTGTGGGGTGGAGTCATAATGTTCAGAGAGACTTAACCAAACTTGATTTCTTCAGAGTAGTTTTTCAGTAATAGTGAAATCCTATCTAAATAGTTATTTTGATCAAAATAATCTATAGTTTAATTATTTTTAAAATATTATCAAGTAATTAAAAATTTTGGATAAATGTATGTGAGTGAAAAGCTGAGTTCTAGAGTCAGTCCTTAAGTCTGTCATAACATATCATTAGGTGCCTTTTCTGTTGGAAAATAGAATTTTTCTCTTAAGGTTGTTTGGGAGGTAAAGAAGTTAATACATGCATAGCTGTAGAAAGAGTAGTATTGGTACAGATTTAAAAACAGAATAAATAGTAGTTCTTGTTAATACTGTGATCTCATGGACACATTTAATAAAACATGTCTCATGTCTGGTGACAAGGTTATTTGACCATAATTATTAATCTGATTAATATATGCTTCCCTTGAGTTGGAATTTTGAGTTGCTTTCTTTTTTAGCATGTTAATATTTTATAGGTACAGGCAATTAAACTTCTAGTAAGGTGGCTGTTGGGTATGAAAAACAACCAGTCTAAATCTGCCAATTCAACTCTTCGGTTATTATCAGCAATGTTGGTTAGTGAGGGTGACCTGACAGAGCAAAAGAGGATCAGGTAAGATTTTTCCTTCCTAATTTTCCTAGCTCAAAAATTTTGTTAGAGTTTACATAGGAATTATTTACCTAATGTTAATATGTTTTCTTTGCTTCTAAAGACTATAAACTTTTCTGGTAACTTTGTCATAATTACTATGGTTTAATTTTTACAGTTAGTATCCATATTTGCTGCAACCAAATGAGTTATTTGTTGACTTTGTACTCTTTGAAAAACACTTTGAAAGCCATAATACCAAAAACTTGTAAGATCGGTATCTTCCCTCCAGAAATTTACCCTGTAGTAAGGTGATGGAACGACTGGAGTGACTTAGTTCCATGAAAGGAATAAAATTGTCAGTGTGGGCCAGCGCCATGGCTCACTTGGCTAATCCTCCGCCTGCAGCGCCATCACCCCAGGTTCTAGTCCCAGTTGGGGCACTGGATTCTGTCCCAGTTGTTCCTCTTCCAGTCCAGCTCTCTGCTGTGGCCCTGGAAGGCAGTGGAGGATGGCCCAAGTGTTTGGGCCCTGCGCCTGCATGGGAAACCAGGAGGAAGCACCTGGCTCCTGGCTTCGGATCGGCGCAGTGCACTGGCCATAGCAGCCATTTGGGGGGTGAACCAACAGAAGGAACACCTTTCTCTCTGTCTCTCTCTCTCGCTGTCTAACTCTGCCTGTTAAAAAAAAAAAAAAATGTCAGTGTGTTCAGAGGAGAGTTAAAGTCTTCCAATAGTATACAGAAGAGACTATGTGGTTCTACTAATGCAAAAATAATTTTTCCCACTTCTATACCTTTTCATTCTTCAAAGCTGTAACAATGCGTCTCCTTTCTGTTCATTTTCAAATGCAATTGAAAGACCAATTTTTCATGATCCTTGTTTCTTTAAGTCCTTATTTACTAGGGACCAGGAGCACCAACTGAGATAACTAAGGAATTTTACTTGTGATGCATTCTACCTAAAAATTTGTTAGAGGACAAAGGTTTATTCATTCATGTATGCTTTCAAGTACTCCTGGGCCTATTAAGATTTATAATAAAATCCTTGACTCCAAAGAATGTGGAATTATTTTTGATAAATTGACAGAAACCTTGTTATTTTTATCACAGAATAAGCCAAAGGTATCCTTGAATTACCAGTCATGATCAGAGCACAATTGATGATAATGAAATATTTAAATTTTGTTTATTCTCAGTGTATGGCAAAGGCATAGTAATAAGCTCTCTTTTTAAAAGATTTTTTTGAAAATATTTATTTTTTATTTATTTGTAACACATTTATAGAGAGAAAGCTCTTCCACCTACTGGTTCACTCCCCAGGTGGCTGCAATAGCAGAGCTGGGCTGATCCAAAGCCAAGGAGCCATGAGCTTCTTCTGGGTGTCCCACATGGGTCCAGGGGCCCAAGGACTTGGGCCATCCTCCACTGCTTTCCCAGGCCACAGCAGAGAGCTGGACTGTAAGAGGAGCAACCGGTACTAGAACCGTTGCCCATATGGGGTGCGGGCACCACAGGTGGAGGATTAACCTAGTGCGTCACGGCGCCAGCCCCCATACATGTTCTTTTAAGCCATGTTTATCTTCACAGCAAATGGGAAAATGATTAATTTTGGTGCACATTGCAAGAACAAATAGATCCTAATTAAATATTGTAAATGCTACTTGAAGTAGTGGAAAATGGAATTAAAAGGTTATTTTGGTGCCAAAAACACCCTTGAAATCTTTTTATTTAAAAAATTGATTGTATTTATTTGAGAAGTAGAGTTAACAGAGAGGGAAAGACAGAGAGACAAGTCTTCCATCCACTGGTTCACTCCCCAGATGACCACAATGGCTAGCGCTGAGTTGATCCAGAGGCAGGAGCTTCTTCCAGGTCTCCCACGCAGGTGCAGGGGCCCAAGGACACACAACACACAAATGGGATTTAGAGTTTTTAAACTGTACCCTTAGAAGTAATTCCTTAGGAATGTATGCAGAATTATACAGCTTTATAGTTACAAACTTCCTCTTCCCTCTCATTCCCACTCTTATTTTTTTACTGACTTTCGAGGAACAGTTTTTTTCTTCTTCTTCATACTATTTGAACTCTTTACTTAACGTAGAGTTAATCGTATGTTATAAAGTCAATTGAAAATAGATTTTTAAATTTATTTATTAATTTGAAAGATAAAATGACAGCGGGAAAGGGATCTCCATCCATTAGTTTATTGACCAGGGTTGGGTCAGGCTAAAACCAGGAGTCTAAAATACCATCCAGGTCTCCCACGTGAGTGACAGGGGACCAACTATTTAGGCCATCTTCTGCTTTCTCAGGCACATGAGCAGGATGTTGGATCAGAAGCAGAGTATCAGCCAGCGCCGCGGCTCACTAGGCTAATCCTCTGCCTTGTGGCACCAGCACACCAGGTTCTAGTCCCGGTCGGGGTGCCAGATTCTGTCCCGGTTACCCCTCTTCCAGGCCAGCTCTCTGCTGTGGCCAGGGAGTGCAGTGGAGGATGGCCCAAGTGCTTGGGCCCTGCACCCCATGGGAGACCAGGATAAGTACCTGGCTCCTGCCTTCGGATCAGCGCCGTGCGCCGGCTGCAGCGCGCGGGCCGAGGCAGCCATTGGAGGGTGAACTAATGGCAAAAAAGGAAGACCTTTCTTTCTGTCTCTCTCTCTCACTGTCCACTCTGCCTGTCAAAAAAAAAAAAAAAAAAAAAAAATTAAAAAAAAAAAGAAAAGTATCCAGGACTTGGATTGGCGCTCTGTTACAGGATACTGAATATGTACACATATTCAAAAACATATGTTCCTTTGTGTACCATGATGTTAGCTTGGGCTACAGAATGAGAAACTGAACTCTGCACTTCATTTATTAGCTATATGATCTTGTATAAAGCACCTACCTTTTCTGAGCTTCAATTTCTTCATCTTAGAGTGAAAATAAATGCAATAAATCCTATAAAGTTGCCCTGACACTGCCTGGCACAGTATAAGCACTCAAATAATAGATACTATTTTTATTACTGGACTCAAAGGTCATTTGAAAAATGCTGTATTTTCTCCTTTTGTAAACTTAAAAATAGTCCTAAGCCAAATTTTCCCGTTTCTTAAAGTCCTTAAAATAATAGTCCTTGCCGAGTTACACATAGAAGTTGACATAGGGGATCAGTGTTGAGGTATAGCAGATAAAGCTGCCACCTGCAATACCAGCATCCCATATGATTGCCAGTTTGTTTCCTGGTTGCTCTTCCAATCCAACTGTTTGCTAATGACCTGAGGAAAGCACCAGAGGATGGTCCAAGTGCTTGTGACCCTGCCACCTATGTGGGAGACCGGGCTGAAACTCCTGGCTTCAGTCTGGCTCAGGCATAGCCATTGCGGCCATCTGGGAGTGACTCTGTGGATGTAAGTTCTCTCTGTCTTTCCCTCTGTATGTAACTGACTTTGAAATAAATAAATCTTTTATTTTTTTTTAATAGGAAGACTGTCCTACATTCACTGTCACATTTCACCATTTAGGTAATAAAAATCCACAAATGAGAGTGGGCATGCCAAGATCTTCTGTGTCCCTTTGAAAACTTCATTCTGCAATAGGAAATCAGCTCCACAAATTTGTACAGTACCTAATACAATATCTGACTTTCACCTTCATATCCTTTACTTTTAGATTTTCATCTGATACCTCTTCCCCTCTAAGTGTGACCCTACCTCTTCATTGAATGTAAAGGATTAAGCTAGGTTCCTAATACATATACATGTACACATGGATTTCAAAATGTTTACACCAAACTAAACATCTTTTAATTCCACTTTCCATGAATGTTTTGAAGTACCTTGTATGTATATGCGTAAAAATATGTAATAATTAGATTTTAAATGATAGATGGCTTTTAATTATTTAGATTTAAAAGATCATTTTTCTGCAACTGTATGTCTCTTCAAATGAGGGATATTGTTCTTGCTATAAATGGCTCTTCCCAATGTTGCAATTCATTTATTGCAAAAGTAAGCAGAGCTTTTTTACTGCTGTGGAAGATTTATTCAAGAGCAGACTAGAAATGAAGGGAGATGAATTTGTTTTCACAATGTCATGATTTGATCCTTTTTTCCCTATGTTAAGTTAGTTAATTCAAAGTTGGTTTTCTGTATTTGTACATTATACTGTGCGTAAAATATTCCTAAGAATTTTACACTCAAAAGGGGTCAAAACATTCTTATGAATGATAATGGTTATAGAAAATGTTTATTTCTTTTTTGTTTGTTTATAGTAAATCTGATATGTCTCGCTTGCGATTAGCTGCTGGTAGTGCCATAATGAAGCTTGCTCAGGAACCTTGTTACCATGAAATTATTACCCCAGAACAGTTTCAGCTCTGTGCACTTGTTATTAATGTAAGTATCAAGTTTATGTTTGTCAATTACTTTTCAATTAAATCTTTCTGTGGATACAAGTCTACTTAATTTATATATGCACATAAGAGATTACTAGTATTACCTATTTAATTATATCCCATTATTTATTATTTCCTCAATATAATTATCATTTTAAGTTAAACGTTAATGTTTCTGTGCCGCTATAGGATGAATGTTACCAAGTAAGGCAGATTTTTGCTCAGAAGCTACATAAGGCACTTGTGAAGTTACTGCTCCCATTGGAGTATATGGCGATCTTTGCCTTGTGTGCCAAAGATCCTGTGAAGGAGAGACGAGCACATGCACGACAGTGTTTGCTAAAAAATATCAGTATACGCAGGGAGTACATTAAACAGAACCCTATGGCTACTGGTAAGTAACTTCAGAGGTTCTGAGTATACAGATATATCTTGTCAGTGTTTCAGTTGGGGAAGGGTCATATATTTCTATTATAGTTCATAATAAAACTGGGAGTTTTATAAAATGCTGATGCTGTACTTAAGATGTACTTAACTGAAATCCTAGTTTCTGATTACTCTTTATACTTCATAAAACTGGTATAGGTTACTGTGTGTAGGAGCAGTAGTGAAGATATTGCGAAGATGTCAGAGTAAATAGTTTTTTCCTGGCTTTGCTAGGGACCCTCTAGGTAATCAGTTCATTTTTTTTGGCCTTAATATGTTTGAAAATTAAAATGAAAGTCTTAGTGTCATCTACTTATCATGTGGACATTAATTTAGAAGTAACTATGGGAAAAATATAATCTAAAGTGCTTCCTCTTATTAATAATAATGTTTTTGTTTTAGAGAAATTATTATCACTGTTGCCTGAGTATGTAGTTCCATACATGATTCACCTGCTAGCCCACGATCCAGATTTTACAAGATCACAAGATGTTGATCAGCTTCGTGATATCAAAGAGTAAGTTACATTGTTTGTCAAGAATTTTAAAGATTACTTTAATTTTTTATAATGTGCCAAATTTTTTTCTTGTTATTCCCATTAGAATAAAAAACTTCTTGTGGCTTATTCATTTGTTGTAAATTTTAAGTTTTATCTTTTAGTGCTGTTCCCATCTGATGAGCTCCTGCTAATGGTTTTTCTCCTTGTCTGTTTGCAGTTACTTAGCTGAGTCTTTCTAATAGGTTAGTGTGGTTATTTTAGTTTTTATATTGTGATTTTTATTGCATATATTAATATGGGTTTCAGTTACTTCAGTTTGGTTTAGAAAGCCATGCAATAAAAATTTATTAACTTAATCTAAGCTTCCCTTGTTACCTCAAAATATAGTATCTTTAAAAACAACATGTCTACTAATGAAATATTCTGTGACAAGACTGTAGTAATAAAAATAAGATTTGTTGCACTGATCAGAGGGATTTGCTGCTAGTGGAAAGGCAATTAAAAACGCTTGTTTAAGTGTTTTACTTATGTAAAATAGAACTTTGTGTATGATGCAGGATCAAGAAATGAAAGAAAGCCAAGGATTATCTACAAATGACCTTTAAGAAATTTTAAAGGGGTATTGCACTATTTCTTCATTGATAGATTTTTTTCCTTCATGGTCTCAAATTGATGCCTTCAGCTTATACTTAAAGTACTGTAATTTGTTACAGTTTTTCTGTTTGTAAGACAGTAAGAATTATTTCTGATCTGACTTAAGGTTTCAACATTTATCTTTCCCCCTTTAGCTTTGGTAACCAAAATGGTGTCAATCTCAATAGTTTCAGACTTCAGACACTATATCTTATCTACCTTTTTTTTTTTTTTTTTTTTTAAGATTTTTGTTTATTTATTTGTGAGTCAGAGTTACAGATAGAGAAAGGTCTTCCATCCGCTGACTCACTCCTCAAATGGCCGCAACAGTTGGAGCTGGGCCAATCCAAAGCCAAGATCCTAAAGGATCTTTGGGGTCTCCATGGCCCAAGTAGTTGGGCCATCTGCTGCTGCTTTTCCAGGCCATAAGCAGAGAGCTAGATCAGAAGAGGAGGATCCAGTACACGAGCGGCACCAATACGCCACAGCACCAGCCCCCCAATATAATTCTTAAGCATCCAGATTATGAGCTTCTTCCACAGGAAGGCGGCTTGTGATTCTAATGTTGTTTTTCCAGCACATCATTCTGATATACTACCTTTAAATTTCAAATGCTTGAAAATAAATCTATATACCAGTGGAAATTTCAAAAAATGAATAATAGAATGGAAAAATACAAGGTTTTATAAAATCTTTTGGTAAGCATTCCTTCTCTTCTGTCTTATGGAATATACTGAGAAGAAATTGGTCGTATTTTTATTCTTTAAATATTTATAATATTTCTGCAGTGAAGCCATCTGAGGCATAATTTGTATGATTGGAGGTTTGTGGATGTAAACTGTGCACAGCTATTTTGGTAAAGATACTGTAATAAAAATGTTCTTTTTAAGGATTTGCTTATTTATTTGAAAGGCAGAGTACAGAGAGGGAAAGAAAGAGAGATGTTCCTCAAATGGCTATTAACAGCCAATGCTGGGTCTGTAGAAAGCAAGGAACTTCATCCAAGTCTCCCACATGGGGGACATGTACCTAAACACTTGAGCCATTTTCCACTGCTTTTCCAGGTGTATTATCAGGGAACTGGATCAGAAGCAGTGCAACCAAGATACGAACTGGCACCCATATAGGATGCCAGCATTACAGACTGTGTCTTAACCCACTATACCACAGTGCCAGCCTGATTAGCTGTTTTAAAAAGCTGTGAAATTAGGTTACAGAAGGGTTTAGTCCCAGCTGTATGACTAAAACACTTTGCTTTGCTTATCTGTAACCTGAAGGATTTGAAATAGAATTTTCTGAAAGGGTCTTCCAATTTTTTATATTTGTATTCTATTTGAAAATTCTGTTGCTTTGTAACAATTTATTTGGTGATTTCCCAGAAAGTACTTTCATAAAGTGAAACAGTGATATATATTTGCCTAAAATACAAGATCTATGTTAGAGGACCTTTTAAATGCATTTTGTTTTTCTTTTTATACTTGAAAGGTAGAAAAAGATTTTTCATCTACTTGTTCATTTTTCCAATGCCTGCGACAGTCAGGGCTTGGGCAAGCTGAAGCCAGGATCCCAGTACTCAATCCAGGTCTCCCTCATGGGTAGTAGAGACCCAAGTACTTGAGTAATCATCTTCTAACTCCTAAGATATACATTAGCAGGAAGTTGAACTGGAAGTGGAGGAGCCAGAATTCAAACCAGGCACCCCAGTATGGGATGTGTGCATCCCCATTAGTATCTTAGCTGCTGCACCAAATGTCCACCCTAGTATAGCTGTATTTAAATTGCAAGGCAGTCATGTGGAAGACAGATCAGACTTATGGGAGTTGGCTATGATGTGGGAAGATAAGTATTGAAGTATGCAAAATAATTGGAGCTAGAATTGAAATCATTGACACATTTTTTGTTCTACCTAACATGTAACACTTTTGAGTATCTTTGAACATTAAATTTTTCATATAATTTAAAGTGCTAAATAATATGTTTTACAAAGTGTGGTTATTTACCTTTGTGGAAATTAGTAACTTAGTATGTTTAAAACCCCTTATGATTACTTTTTTTAGTTGTGTTAAAATGTATTTAACAGAATTGGAAATTTTTACCATTTTAAATATACCATTGAGTGGAGAAATGTGTGCTTAAATATTTTTACCAATTGGTAAAATTACTAATTGGTTTGTCTGTTGTTGAGTTTATTTTGGTATTAATCTCTTATCTGACATTTTGACAGATATCTTAATGCACAAAAGCTTTTACTACATAGATATAAGAGGATATTTTTCCCTTGTCCTATAAATTGCTTTCAGAAACCACAGCCAAATTCATAAAGATTCTCTTTCTTCTAAGATATTTAACTCTTAAATTAAGATCTTTGATCCATTTTGGATTAGTTTTTGTATAAGCTATGAGGTAAAGGTTCAGAATCATTGCTTATCCTGTGGATATCCAGTTTTTCCAGCACCATCTCATGAAGCATCTATTCTTTCCCACAAAGACTTGACACCCCTTGATGTGGATCATGCATGCCAGGGTTTATTTCCAGGCTTTTTTTTTTTTCAGTTTGTGTCTATCCCTGTGACGTATGACATTGATTAGTATAGCTTAGTAGTTACTTTGAAAATTTAGAAGTGAGATTCATATTTTATTATTGATGGTATTAAAAATATCACATCTTCCTATCTTAACACTGGATATTCTTTCACTTATATACATCTTTTAAATTTGGATTTTTTGGCACTGTTTTCAGTGTACAAAGCTTACACCTACTTGGTTGTTTTTATTCCTAAATATTTTATTCTTTGAGATCCTTCTATGTAAATGAAATTGTGTTTTTAATATCCTTTTTGGATTATTCATTGCTAGTGTACAACTTTTTTATTATACAAAATTTTGTAGAATTCATTTATTGAGGGGTGGCTATTTCATGCCACAGTGAAAACATTGCTTGGCATTCCTGTATCTCTTATCAGAACACCTAGGGTCTGGTCCTCACTCAGATTCCCCTTTGAGCTTACTGATAAGGGGCTCCCCGGGAGATGGCAACAGTGGCTCCATTCTTGAGTCCCTGGCGCTCACAAATAGGACCCATATTGCATCAGCTTACTTAAGGGATAATGGGCTATGATGTTGTTTTTCAGTCTTGATATGTTTTGTGTACTAGGAATTTGCTTCCTCTAAGTTATCCAGTTTTTATACTGTTGTTCATAGTATATCATCTTTTTTATTTGTATTTTGGTAGTAACGTCCACATTTTCATTTCTGGGTTTTGTAATTTGAGTCTTCTTTGTAGTTAGTCTAACTGAAAGTTTGTCAGTTTTATTGATCTTTTCAAAAGCAACCTTTGGGTTTGTTGATTTTCTCTGTTGTATGTATCACTTATCTTTGCTGCATCTTTATTACTGCCTTCCTTCTGCTAGTTTTGGGCTTACTTTGCTCACCTTTTTTTAGAATTGTAAGATGTGCTCTGCTATGGTGGGAGTACCTAGAACAGGCACATAACCCACACATTGGAAAAGCAGAATTAATAGGAAGAAGGAAATAATCAGTACAAGAATTCTAAGAGTGTAGACTTCAGATGTATCACAAGGGGCACCAAGATTTGCTAGAAAGAACAGAGAATCATATAAGGACCTGGAGGAGGAATATCGGAGGAGTCAGTGGAAAAGCAGTATCATGTTATGGTTAGGTTATATGCCAGGTATTCTACACATTTTATTTAATTCTCACAACAGTTTCTGGGATAGTTTTTGTTGTTTCCATTTTACCGATGAAGAAACCAGCAATGATAAGGTCAGGTGGTTATTCCCTTTTGAATTGAGCTTCAAAGCATTCACTGATAACCTTGGCAGTAAAGTAATCCAGCCTAAGGATAAGGAATAGAAATAAGATAAACAAGGCCCTAAAGCAATTGGATATGAATTGTTTGGGAAGAAAAACAGTAGTACATCTCTAGAAAGGTGGACTTTGGTTGCAGATAAAGAAAAACTGGTTCTGGTGCAGGCACTGTGGCGCAGCGGGTTAGATCCTTAGCCTGCAGTGCCAGAATCTCATACAGGCACCAGTTCGAGTCATGGCTGCTCCACATTCAATCCAGCTCCCTGCTAATGTGGCTGGGAAAGTAGCAGAGGATGGCCCAATGTCCTTGGACCCCAGTACCCAACATGGGAAACCCAGAAGAAGCTCCTGGCTCCTGGCTGCTGGCTCCAGACTGGCTTAGCTCCAGCCATTGCTGCCATATGGGGAGTGAACCTGCAGATGGAAGACCTCTGTCTCTGTCTTTACCTCTTTCTTTAACTCTGTCTTTCATATAAATAAAATAATTTTTTTTTTTTTTTGACAGGCAGAGTGGACAGTGAGAGAGAGAGACAGAGAGAAAGGTCTTCCTTTGCTGTTGGTTCACCCTCCAATGGCCACCGTGGCCGGCGCGCTGCAGCCGGCGCATCGCGCTGATCCGAAGGCAGGAGCCAGGTGCTTCTCCTGGTCTCCCATGGGGTGCAGGGCCCAAGCACTTGGGCCATCCTCCACTGCACTCCCTGGCCACAGCAGAAAGCTGGCCTGGAAGAGGGGCAACTGGGACAGAATCCGGCACCCCGACCGGGACTAGAACCCGGAGTGCCAGCGCTGCAAGGCGGAGGATTAGCCTATTGAGCCGCAGCGCCGACTCTAAAATAAATCTTAAAGAAAAAGATTGGTTCTAATAAATTGAGGAGAAATGTCCAAAACAAAGAGTGGATGGGATCCTAGGGATCAATAAAGGGAAAGGAGGGGAATATAATCTTCCAGGACTGGGGTTAAGAAGTTGAGGAATTCCCATTGGAAGAATTGTTTCTGTATGAGATAGGAACAGAAGATGGTTGGTGAGGATGGTAGAGTCATAGATTTGAGGAGAATAAAAGATTTAAAACAGCCACTATGAAGAACTGGACAAAAATTCTGACTGGGAACTCAGGATAGCTGGTTAGTAATAAGTACAAAAATAATCTTATATTTACATCAAGTTTCTGAGCTGCATGATTTTTCTCTAGCAGTAAACATTCTGGATAATAGCTGCCAAGAAGCCAAACACTTGGAATGTTCCAGATTTTTAATTTTTCAAAGCAAATTATCAGAAGGAAAATTGGTCAGAGAGTAGAGACTATTTTCAAAAGGGTGATTAAAATTTTGACTCACAGAGTATAAACTAGAAACAACTGAAGTAAAAGTGGTGGAGTTGAGAGCAAGGAGAGAGGGGCTGGAAAATTAGCAGGCTGGTGGCCCAGAGGGCCCCATGAGATCAGAGGACACATCTGTATGCCACAAGTATCTGAAGAAAAGCTGAAAGAAAAGGAGATGTGCACTAAGTGGAATATTTGAATTTATGATTTCACAGATAGACGAGATTCCTAGGAATAATTGATATACACTTATGGGACAATAACTAGAATTGGCACTAGGGAAGATAGACTCTGAACCTACTCTCCAATCCTAAGCATGCAGCATCTAATTGAATGAACAGCTGTAGCTTTAGGAGGCTACAAGGCAAGTGTTTTTGAGAGAGGAGATGAGGAGCTTAGTTTCAACTGTGGCAACAAGATGAAAGGAACACTCATAAAAGACTGTTTTTATGGAAAGTGTGTTCCAAAGAGCTCAGGGGAAAGTTTGGAAGAAAGGAGGTAGCTCTGTTAGATGAAACATGAAGTTCAGCATTTTGTATTACAGAGCATAGGCGAGCACTGGACATGATGTTTATTGGGTACTGTTGAGGATAAAGATGATAGGCATGGCCTAGAGTTTTCAGTATAACTCTGATTTCCCAAAAATGCAATGTTAATATGTGTGTGTACTGTTTGATAAAAGATGCATGCATTGTTTTATATCCTGCTGTTTTAAAGGTAACAGTGTAACAATATATTGAACAATATTCCAAGTGACAGAATTAATTGAACCAATCTCTTATTGTTAGCACATAGGCAACCTACTTAAAATTAAGGTTAAATTTGTATTCTTATCACAAGACTATCATACTTTTCTCCAGTTGCTAGAAGACATTAAGTATACATTATTTTGGTGTACATTTATATATATATTTAAACAAAACCTTATATATATATTTAAACAAAACCTAGAACCGGGTTCTAGTCCCGGTTGGGGTGCCGGATTCTGTCCCGGTTGCCCCTCTTCCAGGCCAGCTTGATTGTCTAAGATTTGAGCAGTCATCTAGATCTAACTAGAGTTAACTCTTTTTCATAGTTAATAAATATTATTGAAATTAGCAACTTTGATTTAAACTGTTAGGTTAAACACCTGATACTGCCTTACTGTAGTCACTTAAAACATGTATGTGGAATATAGGATTTAAGATTTATTTATTTATTTGAAATGCAGAGTTACAGAGAGAAGCCGAGAGAGTCTTCCATCTGCTGGTTCACTCTCCAAGTGACCACATTGGCTGGAGCTGGGCCTCTCCAAAGCCAGGAGCCAGGAGCTTCTTCTAGGTCTCCAACGTGGGCCATCTTCCACTGCTTCTCAGGCCATAGCAGAGAGCTGAATTTGAAGTGGAGCAGCTGGGACTTGATCTGGCATCCATATGGGATGATGGCACTGCAGACGGCTGCTTTACCAGCTATGCCACAGGGCCGGTTCCTCAGTTTTATTTTAAAAATCCTCATGCCCCTTTCATACATTTATGTGTTAAATGAGTTTACAGTGACAAATGGAAAAGAGCATTGCTGGTGCCGTGGTGTAGCGGGTAAAGCCACCGCTTGCAGTGCCAGCATCCCATATGGACCTTGGTTCAAGTCCCAGTTGCTCCACTTTCAATCCAGCTCTCTGTTATGGCCTAGGAAAGCACTGAAAGATGGCCCAAGTCCTTGGCCCCTGCACCTGTGTGGGAGACCCAGAGGAAGCTCCTGGTTCCTGGCTTTGGATCAGCACAGCTCTGGCCATTGTGGCCAATTGGGGTGTGAACCAGCAGATGGAAGACCTGGCTCTGTCTCTGCCTCTTTTTCTCTCTGTAACTTTTTCAAATAAATCTTTTTAAAAAAAAAGTGGAAAAGAGCAAAATGCCTTTAGGTGTCACTACCTAGCTTAGCCTTGTATTACACACAGTTCAGAGTTTTATCCCAGCAGAACTACATATTAATCATAGACAATTTGCATAAATTACAAATATTCCAAATGCTAAGACTTTTCTGGTTTGTTCATCATTGCCAGGTGTTAAGTCACATCAAATCACCTAAACATTTATTTTGAATACCTATAGTGTGAGTCTTTTTGTGCCTCATGAACCTATTAGAATTTGTTAAGCTGTGTTTTCATATTTTAATATATTGTTTGTGATTTTATTTTTTCCATTTGAATGAATATTGTTAACAGGAAGATAACAATTAAGGTTTTTCTTTACACTCAAACAACAACTTCCGGTGAGATAATCCATTAAACAAAAGCTCCTACATCTGTTTTTTTTAATGTTTACCATTTAGGTGCCTATGGTTCATGCTTGAAGTTTTAATGACAAAGAATGAAAATAATAGCCATGCCTTTATGAAGAAGATGGCAGAGAATATCAAGTTAACCAGAGATGCCCAGTCTCCAGATGAATCCAAGACAAATGAAGTAAGATGAGTATTAAGCCAGTGGATATTACGATATTATAGAAAAACATATAATTACCGTTGTTTTTCCTCACCATTACATATTAATTTAAGTTGTAGAATATTTATAAAAATATACTTACAGTTAGTGTCTTGCATTTCATTAAAATGAATTTTAATACTTATGGAATTTTTAATATTTAAAAGACATTAAAACTTCTGTAGAACAAGAGGATAAGAATAAAATTTTTAAGTGTGCCATATTTTGAAGTTTTATTAAAAGTTACAGACAAGCACCCTGTCTTTGATTTGACATTTCTGTTGCATGGTTGACTTGCATATTAACTTATGGTAAAGAGTTTTTCTTGACTGGGAGACTACAAAAGTAGCAATGCTAAACAGTAATATGAGATGCTTAAGGAATAAATAACCACATACCCTTCCTTTCCTTTAAGCCTAATTTATTGATTATGTGGAATTGGTAGTACTTGTGATTATTTTGCAATAATGAGACTTATAGCGTCTTTGTTTTTTTCCTCCCTAGAAACTTTATACAGTATGTGATGTGGCTCTGTGTGTTATAAATAGTAAAAGTGCTTTGTGCAATGCAGATTCACCAAAGGACCCAGTCCTCCCAATGAAATTTTTTACACAGCCTGAAAAGGTAATTTTTTTCTCTTAGCATTTTTTTTTAGCCACACTAAACTGATTTAAATTTCAGTTACCATCAATCCTAGTGGCAAATTTTGGATTATCTTTGCTACAAGTGAAAAAAACATACCTCTGAGTTTATTGAGGGATGGAAAATTTCCTTCAAAGCTTTAAGAATCATTCTTACCTGACTAGTAAAAAAAATCAAGCTTCTGTTATTCTTAATCTTCCTTCTCAATCCTTTTCATTTGAAGAGGAATTTTCAGGTTTTTTAAAAAGCTAATTTGATAGGCCAAAAGGTGTAGGGGGGCCGGCACCATGGCTCACTAGGCTAAGCCTCCGCCTGCAGTGTCGGCACCCCGGGTTCTATTCCTGGTTGAGGCGCCGGTTCTGTCCCGGTTGCCCCTCTTCCAGTCCAGCTCTCTGCTGTGGCCAGGGAGTGCAGTGGAGGATGGCCCAAGTGCTTGGGCCCTGTACCCCATGGGAGACCAAGAGAAACACCTGGCTCCTGGCTTTGGATTGATGTAGTTCTGGCTGTGATAGCCATTTGGGGTGTGAACCAACAGAAGGAAGACCTTTCTCTCTCTCTCTCTCTCTCACTGTCAAAAAAATAAAATAAATAAATAAATAAATAAAGGTATAGGGAGACAGAAATCCCTTCTGCTGGTTTACTCTCCATACAGATGAATCAAGGCTGAACCTAAAAGCCAGGAACTTAGTCTAGGTCATTCTCCTGGGTAATAGGAAACCATTTACTTGGGTTATCCCTGTTGCCTCCCAGGGTCTGCATTAATACAAAGCTGGAGTCTGGTGCCAGTGGGAAGGGTATCCAACTCAGGCACTCTGACGTGGAATGTGGGCATCTTAACTGCCAGGCCAAATTGCCCTCCCCTCAGATTCTAAAAATATTTTAATCTCATTTTACTAAAACCATTGTTATTTCTGTAAAGAAAATGTTAAATTTTAATACAGTATAAATATACTTATAAATGAAATAAAACATTAGAGTTAATGCAGTTGATTCTGGCACTTGTTAGGCCTAGATTCTCTTCAACCACTTGTAGCTTGAGAGAAAAACTTGCTCCTATAAGCGACATCTTTCTAGTATGAGTGAACAATTACTTGTCTAGTGGTTTTATGAAGAATTTATCATATAGTAACCATTCATTACATGAGATTAATAACTAACAGGCATAGTGCATTTACTTTGCGATCAGCAAATTATATTTTCCATGTAAATAATTTCTTAGTTACCCAAACTGTTTTGATTTTTTTCAGCTAATTTGGATTTTGAAAAAACTTCTTTTTAAATTGTTTTTATTTGCTGCTTTTTAGATGTCATTTTGAAGTTTATCTTTCCTGTGATTTGTTTTAGAAACTAAGTTACAAATATTTTTAGTTTGAAAATACAGCACTTAACAAGTTTTTGTACACCATGATCATGTAGATCTGCCTTAGTCATAACCCCCTGATTTATTCTTACTATCACAGTCCTGGAAATGGACCTTAAATTCCACTTTAAATTGCCAAACTTTGGTAAAAATGTTTTACCTCATTTACTTAGTATTCAACATTTAATATGCCTTGCTTTTCACAGGAATAAGAATAGCAAAGGCATTTGCCCTCTGATTGAACCACTGGTCTTTATGAATATTCTGAAGTGGCCCTTGACTTGCCCTTTGTCTCTGTGGCTCTGCCTCTCAAATTTAAAAAAAAAAAAAAAGTAGGGAACAAGGCATTTAGCCTAATAGTTAAGATGCCCATCTCGCATAATGGAATACCTGAGTTCTATTCCCAAATCTGGCTCCTAAGTTCCACTTTCTACCAGTGTAGACCATGGCAGGTAGCATGATGGCTCAAGTAATTGGGTTTCTGTAACCTGCTTGGGAGACCTGACCATGAGTTCTGGCCGGGGGGCATATAAGAGGTGAACTAGTGAAGGAGAACTCTATCCTGTTGAATCATGGCCATCAGAAATGAAATCATTATGAATTTGTCACCACACCTTAAATACTGGTTTTTGTTTTGATGTTTGTAACTTGGGCTACTTACAATCTTTATAAGTTAGAGTTTTTGTTTGTTTTAAAAACTTTGTTTTCCTCACTCCTTTCTCTAATGCATTTATTTTAATTTAGTATAAATTCAAACACAAGAGCACTAAGCTTGTTAAGGTAGTGAATCTAGAGAGGCTATACTGTTTGTTCATAACTAGTGAGTACACATTGATGCCCAGGCTTGGCAACGTTTATTTTAGCCACATAAAAGCCTTTGTACAAAAAAAATACAACTTTGCATATCATACATGACAAAAGTATGATTTTCTCACAGGTACACTGAAGCCCTTTGTCCAGTCCTGTGATACCTTCGTGAAAGTAAATTTAATAATAAAATATTTTAATGAGATTATTTAAAATGTAATTTTTTTTAAGATTTATTTAGTTATTGCAAAGGCAGAGTTACAGAGAGGGAACGGCAGAGAGAAAGGAGAGGTCTTCTATCCGCTAGTTCACTCCCCAGGTGGCCCTTATAGCCAGAGCTGGGCCGATCCAAAGCCAGGAGCCCAGAGCTTCTTCCAGTTACAGGGTCCTGAGGACTTGGGCCATCCTCTACTGCTTTCCCTGGCCATAGCAAAGAGCTGGATCAGAAGTGGAACACCTGGGACTCAAACTGGCGCCTATATGGTATACTGCTGCTGCAGACTGCAGTTTTACCCGCTATGCTACAGCACCAGCCTCCAAGATGTCTTGATTGTAGTATAGTAAATGTGTTATTCCAGTGACATACCATTGTGGTTTATTTGTTTGTAATTAAGATAACAGGGAGAGGAATCACAAGATATAACTTTTTTTTAAAAAAAAAAGGATTTCTTTGTTTATTTGAAAGCCAGAGTAGAGAGAGAAGAAAAAAGAGAGATCTGCTATCTGTTTCTTCACTCCCCAAATGGCTGCAACAGTTGGAGCTGGCCCAAGAGTCAAGAGCTTCATTTGGGTCTTGCGTATGGATGCAGGGGCCCAAGCATTTGGATCATCTGCTGCTGCTTTCCCAGGCACATGAGCAGGGAGCTGCATCAGAAGTGCAACAGCTGAGACTCAAACTAGTACCCATGTGGGATGTCGGCACTATAGGTGGCATTTTAACCTGCTAAGCCAAAGCACCAGCCCCTAAGTTACAACTTTCATAAAGATAACATCAGTATTGATATTCAATTTAATTCATTTATTGACATAGCTAATGGTAGTATATTTACCTTTATGATTTGGACAATTAGTCTACTTTTGATTCTAAAAATTTTTATTAAAATAATGGATTTTTTTTCAGTAAGGATAATTTTCTTGAGATCTAGTTTGGAGTTTCTTTAGTTAATATTAAATGCCTGAAATTTTCATATTATCATATTGGATATTTTGAAAAGCCCAGAAATAGATTTTATGATACAGTGGAGAAGGTGAAGATGGTTTCATGAATAACTGTTTGCATTGAACCATAAAAATGAAAAAATATGAATGTACTTTATGTAACAGTAAACTTAGGACATTTGACTAAATTTTATGTGCCGATAAAACGTAAAGCTTGACATGATATGGCTCATTAAATATGTTTTGATTATTTGATGAGCTGATGTACATTAGTATATACATAATTGAGTTTTAAGCTTTTGTTGAAACTTATTAATTTGGTGCCTTTGCTGTGACATAGTGTGCTAAACCTCCACCTATGGTGCCAGCATCCCACATGGGTTCTGGTTCATATCCTAGCTGCTCCTCTTCCGATCCAGCTCTCTGCTATGGCTTGGGAAAGAAGTAGGAGATGGCCGAAGTGCTTGGGCCCCTGCACCCAGATGGGAGATCTGGAAGATGCTCCTGGCTTCATATCAGCCTAACTCTGGCCTTTGCGGCCACTTGGGAATGAACCAGCAGATGGAAGACTTTTCTCTCTGTCTCTCCCTCTCTCTGTCTGTGATTCTATCTCTCAGATAAATAGTACTACTAATAATAAACTTTTTTTAAATTTTTTTATTTTATTTTATTATTATTTTTTGACAGGCAGAGTGGACAGTGAGAGAGAGAGAGAGACAGAGAGAAAGGTCTTCCTTTGCCATTGGTTCAGCCTCCAATGGCCGCCGGGGCCGGCGCACCATGCTGATCCGATGGCAGGAGCCAGGTACTTATCCTGGTCTCCCATGGGGTGCAGGGCCCAAGCACCTGGGCCATCCTCCACTGTACTCCCTGGCCACAGCAGAGAGCTGGCCTGGAAGAGGGGCAACCGGGACAGAATCCGACGCCCCGACCGGGACTAGAACCCGGTGTGCCGGTGCTGCAAGGCGGAGGATTAGCCTAGTGAGCCACGGCGCCGGCAATAATAAACTTTTAAAAAAATATTAATTTGCTTGAAAGGTGGAGAGATTGATCCTCCAACTGCTGGTTCTCTCTCCAAATGGCCACAACAGACAGGGCTGCTCCAGGTCAAAGCCAGGGATCTGGACTCCATCCAGGTATTCCATTTGGGTGGCAGGGGCCCAAGTGCCTAGGCCATCTTCCACTGCTTTCCCATGCTCATAAACAGGGAGCTGTATTGGAAGTGGAGTAGCCAAGACTGATCCTGTACCTCTGTGGCATGCTAGTGTTTCAGGCAGCAACTTAATTTTATTTATTTATTTTTTTAACTTGTATTTGTTTATTTGAAAGGTAGAGGGAGAGGGAGGTTGGGGGAGAGAGAGAGAGAGAGAGAGAGAGAAAATCTTCTATCTTCTGGTTCATGGTTCATTTCCCAAAAAGCTGCAGCAGCTTGTGCTGGGTCAGGCCAAGACCAAGAATCAGGAACCTAATCCAGGACTCCCACAGGTGTGGTAGGGACGCACGTCCTTCTGCCATCACCTACTGCCTCTCAGAGTGTGCATTAGCAGAAGACTAGAGTTTGTTAGGCATCCCATTATGGGATGCAGGTAGCATCCTTACTGCTGTGCCAATTCCCCACTCCCATAATTGTTGTTAGAAGAAACAATGCCCCTTTCTCTCCTCCTCCTCCTCTTCCTGCTCTCTAACTCCGCCTTTTAAATAAATAAAAAATAAAAATCTTAAAAAAAAATATGACAGGCATTATGGTATAGCAGGCTAAGCTTCTGCCTGCAATGCCAGCATCCCATATCGGCACTGGTTGGAGACCCAACTGCTCCACTTCCAATCCAGCTCCCTGCTAAGGCACCTGGGAAAGCAGTGGAAGATAGCCCAAGTTCTAGTCCCTTGAACACACTTGGGAGACCTGGAAGAAGCTCCTGGTTTCCGACTGGCCCAACCCCAGCTGTTGCAGACAGATATCTCTCTTTCTCTTTTCTCTCTTTGTCTCTCTCTCCCACTCCCTCCCTCTCTCCCTCCCTAACCCCCTCTGTAACTCTGCCTTTCAAATAAAAGGAACAATGCCTCCAAAGTCTTACTTGGACAATAAAAGTATGCCTGTTCACCTTGATGTTTCTTTCTGTTTTATATAGGATTTCTGTAATGACAAGAGTTATATTTCAGAAGAGACAAGAGTACTTCTATTAACAGGAAAGGTATTATGGACATGAGAATTTTGTGATCTTTATTTCACATATATAATCTCCTACTCTAGATTTTATACTTTCTGATTCCTAGGGGTCACCTTGTAGATTTGTTGTATCTACATCTCAAGTTTTTTTCAGTCTTCTGAATTGCCATCATTTATTCTTCTCACTAAATCAAACTTAGGTGTTTTTTTTTTTTTTTTTTTTTTGTAATCCACAAAATCTACCATGCAGGTTTTCCTGTAAGATAAAATATTATTTTTAAAATATTAATGAGTTGTAATTTATTCCATAGAGGTATTGTGATGAGGTCTAAAATAAAAAAACAAACCAATTTTTATATAATTTCTAAACTTTATATATTTACTAGTTTGTTTCTAAGTCATTTTATTATGTATTTCACTCTTGTTTAGGGTCACTTTATTTTGATTGAGCAATAAGGAATAATAAATATTGCTGTAGTTATTACTAGGTAGAAGTAATGCTTATGACTTTTAATTGTATTTATGCAACTAATTTTATAAAGCCTCATTTCTAATAAATTTAACTTTCCAAGTCAACAACAATTTTTTTTAACTCAAACTAATTAACATCTTGTACATGTGTCTAAGTTTATATGTATTCCTTTCAGTAATAAAATAATATGTGTGTGTAATTTTTAGCCAAAGCCTACTGGAGTACTAGGTGCGGTAAACAAGCCTTTATCAGCAACGGGAAGGAAACCCTATGTTAGAAGCACTGGCACTGAAACTGGAAGCAATATTAATGTAAATTCAGAGCTGAATGCTGCAACCGGAAATCGATCAAGGCAATTTTTTTCTCTAATTGTTTCTTATTACAATCACTCACTACTTGGCTTATCTTTCAATTTATTCCTAAAAGCACTGTATCGTAAATGAACTTCTTGATGAATTTTAGTATTTTAATGATCAGAATCCAGAGTGTGATGTAAATTTTGAAACTATATAGCATTCTAAGTGTATAGAAAAGGTAATGGAAGAAACATAAGAATTTCTGGTATTATAACTAATTTATGTGGGAATGCTTATTGTGTATATTCAAGAAAATTCAGTGTAGGAAAACTGAAAATACAATTCTTTCAAATAGTTTGGAATTCTTTTTCATTTTTAACTCACAGAAGTTAGTATAGTATTAGTTAAGATAACATTGTTACATTTTCCACTTACATATCCCATGTTTATTTTAACATGTCAAGTGTTTTCTGTCTTAGCCACACCATAACAATTTCCAACTGACCCTACTCTTATCAGCAATAAATTTCAAGGCTTTTAATTACTTCATTCTCATTCATGAAATCCGAAGAGCAAATTCAACCAGGAGTGTCAGTCATTTTTACAGTAGAATCCTGAGACACAGGGTAAATAAAAATGCAGCAGCCGAGGGTTAAGGAGATGGTGGAGGCTCAAATGACTCCCGGGTGACTTTTTGCTGTACTGCCCTCTCCCTTGCAGAACATTAAGACCACTGGGAATGACTCTACCATAATCTCCAGTTTTATTTTTGTTTTAGGATTTCCTGCCCCCAAGAGATAAGGTTTAGAATAGTTTTCAACAATCTATTTATTAGGTGGTTTTTCTAGGCAATGATTTCCGTCATTATGGTTAAATGGAAATCAATAACATGATATTAAGAAGCAGAGATCTATAAACATAGTTGATCTGAATCTTGCTGTCATTGCATCCTTTGGCAAGATTTCTATACCAACCTTAAGACGTCCCTCACTTGTGTATTAAGAGAATTAACTTTCTATTCGTGTGTAAAATTCAAAGCCATGATTTATTTTTCTTCAACAGGGAGCAGAGTTCAGAGTCAGGAGAAACTGGAGTTAGTGAAAATGAGGAGAACCCTGTGAGAATTATTTCTGTTACTCCTGTAAAGAATATTGACCCGGTAAAGAATAAGGTAAATGTACAATTTAACAAGTGGGTATTTGCCAAGGAGTTTCTTATTACAATTTCAATGTAGGAGGAAGAAACTCTAGGGCCGGCATTGTGGTGCAGCAGGTTAAGCTGCATGCAGCAACCCATAAGGGCACCAATTCGATTCCTGGCTGCTTTACTTCTGATCCAGCTCCCTGCTAATGAGCCTGGGAAAGCAGCAGAATATAGCCCAAGTGCTTAGACCCTGCACCTGCAAGAGAGACCCAAATGAAGCTCCTTGCTGCACACTGGCCCACCCCTGGCCGTTGTGGCCATTTGGAGGAGTGGATGGAAGATCTTTCTCTTTTTTCCCTCTTTCTTTAACTCTGGCTTTCAAATAAACAAATAAATAGATCTTTAAAACAAAAAAAGCTGCTGCCTCTGATGTTGGCATTACATGTGGGTGCTGATTAGAGTCACATCTGCTCCACTTCTGATCCAGCTCCCTGCTGATGTGCCTGGGAAAGCAGCAGAAGATGGCTGAAACACCCATGTAGGAAACACAGAGGAAGCTGCTGGTTCCTGTTTTCAGTCTGTGGCAGCCCTGGCCGTTGCTGCCATTTAGGGAGTGAACCAGGGGATGTAAGATTTCTCTCTATCTCTCCCTCTTTATAACCCTGACTTTCAAATACATGACTAAATCTTAAAAAATAAAAAAGTCACCATACTGAATTTTATACATGTGTGTATACTGCTGCCTACAATACTTAATGTGCATCTGTTCTCCAAATACAGTTCCTCTATATCCACCTACTTCATTTTATAACAATTTATGTGGTCACTCCTGGTGGTATCCTCTTCTCACATTACCTCTCCCAACTACTTTAAAGAATACGAACTGCAAGTTTTTGAGATTTTACTTTGAAATTTACAGATTACTGCTTGAGATCATCAAGAATTCTGTTTTGTTTCTATTATATTCATAAATTTTTTTTTATTTATTTGAAAGAGACACATATTCCATCTGCTGGTTTACTCCCTAAATGCCTACATCAGCTAGCACAGGACCAGGCTGAATTATAGAGCCACAGCACAATCTGGGAAGTACTTCTGGTTTCCCCAGCTGCCTCCCAGGGTGTGCATTAGCAGGAAGCTAGAAGCAAATGCAGTTGGTACTCAAACCAAGGCACTCCAGTTTGTAATGCAGGCATCCCAAGCAGCATCTTAACCACTGCACCAAATACCTGCCCCTCTACTACTTTTTTAAATTTTGTGATTTAGCCTTCTAAAGCATTTTGAGTATTTAACAGCTGTACTACTTCTTCTTCTTCTTCTTCTTTTTTTTTTTTTTTAATTTGGGAAAGATGGAGAGGGATCTTCACCATCCACAACGCCCACAACAGCTGCGGCTGGGGCAGGTCAAAGCCAAGAGCCAAAAATTCAATATAGATTTCTCATGTGGGTGGTGCTGCCTCTCAGGGTGCACAAGAGCAGGAAGCTGGAATTGGAAGCACTGACGTGATGTGCACCCAGGCACTCCAGTAAGGGAAACAGGCATCCCAATGGTATCTTCACTGTTTTGACAAATGCCCCCCCCAAACAGTTGCATTCTTTACTGTTAACTTTTAAATTATGTCATCTGAATTTTTTTTTTTTAGATTTATTTACTTATTTGAAAGAGTTTCACAGAGAAAGACGGAGAGGCAGAGAGAGAGTCTTCCATCCAATGGTTCACTCCCCAATCTCCGCAACATCTAGAGCTGCACCAATCCGAAGCCAGGAACCAGGAGCTTCTTTCAGGTCTCCCATGCAGGTGCAGGGACCCAAGGACTTGGGCCATCTTGTACTGCTTTCCCAGGCCATAACAGAGAGCTGGATCGGAAGTGGAGCAGCTGGGTCTCAAACAATACAGGCAGCAGCTTGAACTGCTGCGCCACAGCACTGGGCCCTGTCATCTGAATTTTTTTTTAACACTTTTCAGTTATAAAAGAAAGGAAAATAAGAGCAGCTTGATAACTTATCTCAGTAGGAATGGCCTGAAGATAACAATTAAGTATATTTTTTCCATAGAATATTCTTGACATGCTTTTTATTGCCCATCATATATTTATGGTGAGCATCAAATGCTTTAGTATTACTATCAGATAAGTAAAATACAGTCTTTTCATTACAGCTTAACTTTGCCTGTTCAGATGCAGTATTTGAACTCGAACTGATAGAGTTGGGTGTGTGGTTAGTCTCTTACTACTCAAACTCTGTTATTTGCTTTCTGAAACACAACAAGTGAATGGATTCGGGGTTACAGGGTATGTCTTTCTCTCAAAACTCTTTGTGAGTTGGGACGATGCAGGCATGAAGCTTAGCAGTTAAGCCACAGGTTAAAACATCTGCATCGCACATCAGATTACCTGAGTTGTAGTCCTGGTTCTAACTTCTGACTCCAGCTTCCTGGCAGTGTAGATCTTGGGGGATACTGTTGATGACTCAAGTAATTTGGTTCCTGCCACCCATGTGCCATATGTGGATTAAGTTTCCTGTTTCTAATTTCGGCGCCAGTTGGGACCTGTTGCAGACATTTGGAGAGTGAACTAGCAGATGGAGGAATGTGTTCTCTCTTTATTTTTCTCAAATAAAATGAGTTTGGAATGTAGAAACCAATACCTTGAAGTATTGTTGGATCCTTGCATGAATTAAGCACCCCGGGGGCTGGCACTGGTTGAGGTCCCGGATGCTGTATTTCCAGTACAGCTCCCTGTTAATTGCCTGGGAAAACAGTGGAAAATGGCCCAATCTTTGGGCACCTGCACTCATGGGAGACCTGGATGAAGCTCTTGGCTGCAACCTGGCCCAGCCATGACCATTACAGCCATTTGGCAAATGAACCAGTGGATTGAAGACACTCTCGCACACATACACTCACTCTCTCTCTCTCTCTCTCTCTCTCTCTCTCTGTGTGTGTGTGTGTGTGTGTGTGTGTGTGTGTCTCTGTCTCTAACTTTCAACTAAATTAATACATAAATCTTTAAAAAATTAATTAAGCACTCTTGGGCCAAGCATCCCTATTTTGGAGAAGCCAAATCTTACTGTCTGAATAATCTATAGTATTATGTTCACACTTCCAAAGAATTTTTTTCCTCTTCAAAATAAATAAATAACTCTTTAAAAAAGAGTTACAGAGAGAGAGAGAGGGATCTTGCATCTGCTATATCACTGCCCAGATGGCCCCAACAACCAGAGCTCGGCAATTCCAAAGCCAGGTATGAGAGGGTTCTTCAAGTACTCCCATGTGGGTGGCACCTGGTCCATCTGCCACTGCTTTCCCCAGGCCATTAGCAGGGAGTTGGAAACTCACTGTAACCTAAAGAGACATGGGTTATATATTGTCAAAGGCGTAAAGGCTTCCCAGTCATGCTCCTGTAAGTTGAGATGGTCATTTTGCCCCAATGTCTGACACTATGCCCTGTAGGCTTTTATTAAGAAATTGTCTTGTCAGTATACTAAAAACAGTATAGAGACCTAAGGGAAAGGACATTTGGCCTAGCAGTTAAGATGCCCATATTCAGTATTGTTGTCTGAGTTTTGATATAAATACACACACACACACATCACATTTCATGAGTGTGTAAATGTGATCATGTGCATGATTTTCAGTCCCATCTTATGTCCCTCTATTTTCTACCACTACAAGCAATATTTCAATAAATATTCCTTTATAAACATACAACTTACTGATAATTTTATTGCTATCAGCTAAATTCCTTGCTCCCAGATTACTAAGTCAAAGAATACAGTGAGTGAAAGAACATAGATATTTAGATATATAGATATTTAGAACATTAGATATTTCCATGTTGATCTTCTAAAAGATTGGAACATTTGACATTTCTACCAGCAGTATGTAAGCATACTGTTTTTTTTCTATATATACCTGACAACAACAGGTTTTACAATTCTTTTGAATTTTGGTTCAGTCTCAATTATCAAAAATACTGTTTTAATTTGCATTTCTCTGACTGACATTTTGTTTGTTGATTCTTTGGCTGTATTCTATAAATTTCCTGTTCCTATATTGTCCATTTTCAGGGCATCTTCCACTGCTTTCCCAGGCAGAAAGCTAGATTGGAAGTGGAGTAGCCAGGACTTAAAATGGCACTCCAGTATGGGATATTGGTGTTACAGTCAGCAGTTCAACCCACTGTGCCATAATGCTGGACCTCTCACACTTTATTTTATGTGCTCTTCCCATATTTTTTAAGGTCTAAGTTCCTTACATCTACCAACCTGTTTTCTTTTATGGATTCTTTTTGCTATTTCCTCTGTACTCCAGTCTTCATATGACAGAATCCTACTTTGACATTGCTTGCCTAATAATTCCCAAAAGGACTCATTAGAAATTGACAATTCCTCTAATTTTTTCCCCAAAAACACTCCATTCTTTAATCTCATAGCCCTTGGAGTGATTTCTACTTGAAATGTATTCACTTTTAAGAAATTAGTTATGTGTCATACTAAATGAAGACAGGAAGCAGTGTGGTTTCACAGTCTATTCCCAATAGTCATCACACCTAATTAGGCATTCAGTTGAACAAATGGTCCTTACTCCATGTTTAATAATACTTGATATATTGTTGATCCATTTTGTTTGCCTACAAGTCAACATCTTTTTTCAGGATGACATTCTGTATGTCTTCTCATGATTCATCTTAGTTGCTTCAGTTTAATTCTTGTGGGCCATATTATTCTCATCCTTTCATGTATTACGCATTCTCTTACAGTTAGGCTTAACATTAGGTTAAAACCCAATTTGTGGATTTTTTCACTTAAATTACTACTCTTTGGATTTTTTAATAAATTTTCTTATCATTATGGAAACACTGGGGAAAATGCAAATTATTAAGATATGGTATAGCTTTTTGAATGACAATAATGTATCAGTTAAATTTTAATGTATTCCTTTTTTTTTTTTTTTTTTACTTATTTTTTAAGATTTATTTATTTAATTGAGAGGCAGAGAGAGAGAGACAGAGAGATCTTCCATGTGCTAGTTCACTTTCCAGATGGCTGCAATGGACGGAGTCAGGGGCTCAGGAGCCCAAGCACTTGGACCATCTCCCACTGCTTTCCCAGGCCCTCATCAGGGAGCTGGATTGGAAATGGATCTGCCAGGACTTGAACCAGTGCCTATATACAGGGTGCTGGCGCCACAGGTGGAGGCATAACCTCCTAGGCCACAGTGCCAGCCTCAATGTATTCCTTAATATCTTCCATATAAAGGTCACAAAAAAAATGTATAGAATACAAGTTAGTGATTGTTATAGTAAAAAGAGACAAAAGTTTGAATGAATGAATGTAATGAGAAGTTAAAGATCTTCATGTCACAGCACTACAAAGATTATTATACTTAGATCCATCAGGGAGAAAGAAAATAGCACTTTGAATTAAGAAAAATACTTCTCCTTTGAAAAGTGATAAATTTAGAATAGCTTTAATAAAAAGGAATTTTTCTTTTGGCATGGGATTATAATAGCAAAACCTAGTAAATTTTCTTTATTTTAAATGTACTACCTTTGATGATAATCAGTATATATTGAACATAGTATACGTACCACTGCTGAGGCCCCAGACACAGGCTCTTCCCTCAAGCAGTTTACTTTCCTAATGGAATGAAAGCAATCAACCGTAAGTCCTGAAATCCCAAGTCCTTTAAAATACTTACAGAATGTTTTTTTCTAGTAGAGATTGTTGATATTTAAGGAATTTGTGTTTATGGAGTTGTTTTGTGCTATTTTAGGAAATTAATTCCGATCAGGCTACCCAGGGCAACATCAGCAGTGACCGGGGAAAGAAAAGAGCGGTACCAGCAGCCGGTGCTGAGAACATCCAGCAAAAACCAGATGAGAAAGAAGATGAATCAGGGCCACCTGCCCCGGCCAAACCCAGGAGAGGACGTCGACCCAAGTCTGAATCTCAGGGCAACGCAACCAAAAATGATGATGTAAATAAACCTGCTAGCAAAGGAAGGAAGAGAGCCGCAGGCAGTCAGGAGAGCCCTGGGGGCTTGGAAGCAGGTAATGCCAAAGCACCCAAACTGCAAGATGTAGCCAAAAAGGCAGTACCAGCAGAGAGACAAATTGATTTACAAAGGTAATGTACACCATTTTTCCTAACGTTTGAATTTATGCATTTTCTCTTATAAGTCAGTCACTGCCTCCCAACACTTAGGTATTTGGGAGTGAAAGTGAGCTTGGTATCCCTTGCAAAGATTATAAAGTATTTATCTCATTAGCTCCATTTTATGTATTTAGTTGAAAGGCAGAGTGACAGAGAAAGGAAGAGAGTTTCCAGCTGCTGGTTGATCTCTGTGCCTCTGCCCTACTACCCCCTCCACCAATGCCTGCAATAGCTATGGCTAGGCCAGGTCTGAGCCATGAATTCTTGGGGTCTCCTATGTGGGTGGCCATAACCCAAGCATCCCGGCCATCATCCACTGCCAGCCCGGCACGTCATCAGGAAGCTGGGCTGGCGGCGCAGAGTACTTGGTCTGGGAGTAGGCATCGCAAGCAGTGACTTAACCCACTGGGCCACAACACGTGCCCCTCATAACCTCCACTTTTAAGGCATCAAAAGAATCCCCTTTTTCCTTTGGCTAAGTTTTATTTAAGAGGTAGTATTGTGGTGTTTCTGTGTATTAGTAAGGAGAATATTATCTTTTGTTTGGATTTTACATAATGCAAAGAGCTATCATTTGGATACAGAATCTTGGAATGTAGAAGGTATTCATGAAACCAGAATAAGTAGATTTTGCTCTTTAATTCTTGTTAAATTTTTAAAGATTCATTTATTTTTACTGGGAAGGCAGAGTGAGAGAGGGAAAAGGAGATCTTTAGTCTGCTGGTTCACTTCTAAAATGGCCACAACAGCTGGGACTGGGCCAGTCTGAAGCCAGGTACCTGAAATTCTACTCAGGTCTTCCATGTGGATGGCAGGGGCCACTTTCCACGGCTTTCCCAGGTGCTTTAGCAGGTAGCTGGAATGGAAGTGATGTAGCCAGGACTCCAGCTGGCAATGCAGGATGGTATACCAGTGTCACATGCAGCAGCTTACCCTGCTGCATTACAGCACCAGCCCCTTGTTGTAGTTCATTCTAATATAGATCAAGAAGGTATCCACTTCCACCCTTCCCAGTGAAACAGCATTGTAGCTGCTCATCTCTGATCAGTCTTGGTTGGATTTTCCACAGTGTGGAGATCTGTACTTGGCCAGAAGGAGTCACTTTATAGATTTTTTTTTTTTAATTTATTTGACAGAGAGAGAGAGACAAAGGTCTTCCTTCCATTGGTTCATCCCCACAAATGGCTGCCATGGCCGGCACGCTGCACCGATCTGAAGCCAGAAGCCAGGTGCTTCCTCCTAGTCTCCCATGTGGGTGCAGGGGTCCAAGCACTCGGGCCATCCTCCACTGCCTTCCCAGACCACAGCAGAGAGCTGGACTGGAAGAGGAGCAACCGGGACAGAATCCGGCAGCCCAATCGGGACTAGAACCCAGAGTGCCGGCGCCACAGATGGAGGATTAGCCAAGTGAGCCGCGATGCCGGCCCCACTTTATAGATCTTACCTGTGTGCCCTTATTGTTTCCTTATATACCTAACTTATCTGCTGAATTAGACTGTAAGCATCTGAGCTGCTTCTAGAAATGAGTCCTGGCTTTGATCAGCTCAGTTTACCCCCTCTGACTTGCTTCAGGATTTTTATAAAGTACAGAGTCACACAAGCATGTGTAGGTAGATTTAAAATATTACCACGGGAGCCCACACTGTGGCATAGTGGGTAAAGCCGCTGCCTACAGTGCAGGCATCTCATGTGGGTGCTGCTTTGAGTCCTGGCTGCTCCACTTCCAATCCAGCTCTCTGCTAAGGCCTTGGAAAGCAGTGGAAGATGGCCTGGGTGCTTGGGCACTGCACCCGTGTGGGAGACCCGGAAGAAGCTCTGGCTCCTGGCTTCAGATTGACCCAGCTCCGACCACTGCAGCCATTTGGGGAGTGAACCAGCCTATGGAAGACCTCTGTTTGTCTATCTTTCTCTCTCTCTCTTTCTCTCTCTCTGCCTCTAGCTGTCTGTAACTCTGCCTGTCAAATAAATAAATCTTAAAAAATAAAATATACCACTTATGAAATTCAGAAATCTAAGACTATTAAATTTCTTTATGTAAATACTTCTGATTCTCTTTCTACAGCATCTTGTAGAATTAGGTCCAAGAAATCAAAACCTGCTTTGAGTACTGATGTGTTGTTCTTATTTGTTTCTATTTCTACTGATAGGTATAGTAATGAAAGCCAAAATTTGGTCAAACCTGACATGACTTTTTTCCTCAATCCTAGACCTTTGCCCTGAACAATATATTCATCCTTTGCTTCCTTTTCTTCATTAACAGTAATGGCCCCGTATTGTGGCTCAGGGGGTTAACAACCTCCTGCAGCTCCACATCCCATATCAGAACACCAGTTCAAGTCCTGGCTGTTCTGCTTTCTATCCAGCTTCCTGCTAATACAACTGACAAAAGCAGCGAAAAATGGCCCGATGACTTGGGTCCCTGCCACCCATGTAGAAAACTAAGGTGAAGTTTCAAGAAAGTCCCTGACTTGAGCCTACTCCAGCCTGAGCCATTGTGACCATGTGGGGAGTGAACCAGCGGATAGAAGATATCTTTGTTTTTCTGTCTGTCACTTTGCCTTCCAAACAAACAAAATAAATAATTTTTAAAGATTGAATATTCTAAGAATTAAATGAATCAATAACTATAAAACATTTTAGCAACATGCTTCTTATACAGAAAGTGCTCAGTAATTATTATTATTTTAAATTCTAGTGGCCTTTACAGCCTAATATATGTTTTCAAATATATAAAAATTGAATATTTTCCTGGAGATTGCCAAAACTCTCTAAAGGTTTTTTCTTTCTATTTTTATTTGAGAGGGGGAGCAGAGAGAGCTTTCTTCTATCGGTTCATTGCCCCAAATGCTCATAGTGATAAGGGAACTTAAAAGTAGGAAGCTACAAATTCAATCTGACTCCCATGTTGGTAACAGGAACCCAATTACTAGAGCCATCACTTCTCCTCCTATAGTCTGCATTGGTAGGAAGCTGGGGTCAGGAGACAGAGCCCTATGCTCCAATGCAGGATTCAGCCATCTTAACTGCTAAACTAAACACCTGCCTATTTTTTTTATTATTTTATACTTTATTTTTATTTTTTTATTTGACAGATACAGTTAGACAGTGAGAGAGAGAGACAAAGGTCTTCCTTCTGTTGGTTCACCCCCCAAATGACCGCTATGGCCGGAGCTATGCCGATCCGAAGCCAGGAGCCAGGTGCTTTTTCCTGGTCTCCCATGTGGGTACAGGTGCCCAAGCACTTGGGCCCTCCTCCACTGCACTCCCGGGCCACAGCAGAGAGCTGGCCTGGAAGAGGAGCAACCGGGACTAGAACCCAGTGCCCATATGGGATGCTGGCGCTGCAGGCGGAGGATTAACCAAGTGAGCCACAGTGCCGGCCCCAACACCTGCCTATTTTTAAAGTTTTATCTCTGCTATGGTCTGCAAAAGCAGTAGAGGATGGCCCAAGTCCTTGGGCCCCTGTACCTACATGGGAGACCTGGAAGAAGCTCCTGGCTTCAGATCGGGTTGTGGCCAATTGGGGAGTGAACCAGTGGATGGAAGACCATTCTCTCTTTCTCTCTGCCTCTCTTTCTCTCTCTGTGTAACTCTGACTTTCAAGTAAATAAATTAATCTTTAAAATTAAAAAAAAAAAAATTTCCTATAAAGTCTCTTTTTAAGAGCTAAAGGCAGGGGTCCAGCACTGTGGCATAGTGGGTTAAGCCAACACCTATAACACTGCCATTCCATGCGGATGCCGGTTTGAGTCCTGGCTAATCAGCTTCCCATCCAGCTCCCTGCTAAAGTGCCTGGGGAGGCAGCAGAGGATGCCCTAAGTTCTTAGGACCCTGCACCCAAGTGGGAGACCCAGAAGAGGTTCCTGGCTCTGCCCTAGCAAATGGAGGATTCTCTCTTTCTCTCTCTCTCTGACTTTGAAATAAATAAATCTTTGGGGAAAAATAAAAGGGGGGGCCGGGGCTGTTGGCATAATGGATAAAGCCACTGCCTGCAGTTCCAGCATCCCATATGGGCGCTGGTTTGAGTCTCAGCTGCTCTACTTCCGATCCAGCTCTCTGCTGTGGCCTAGGAAAGTAGTAGAAAATGGCCCATCGCTTGGGCCCCTGCATCCACATGGGAGACCCCGAAGAAGCTCTTGGCTTCAGATCGACCCAGCTCCCACCATTGGCGGCCATTTGGCATTTGGGGAGTAAACCAGCAGATGAAAGACCTTTTTCTCTCTCCCTCTCTCAGTGTCTCTCTCTCTCTCTCTCTCTGCCTCTTCCTTTCAAATAAATAAATCTTTTAACAACAACAACAACAAAAAAGAGCTAAAGGCACCTCACCTTATATGTCTTAAGTATGCCAGTTAGTACATCAATAAGTAGTTTGTTATTCAAAATACCTAATTCTGTGATGCTCTTACTCTCAGTGAAGATGGATGGTAAGATTTTTATGTGTGTGATAATGTTATACTGTGTGAATTTAGAATATATCAAACATTTTGCACAGGTATTTCAGAAACTTGTGATTGAGTTGTTGAGTACCAATTCATGACTAACAAAACCTAAAAGTGCATCCTACAACTTTTTCCCAAGTTTCCTCTTGTCTTTCCTTTTTTCATGGACCTATGTACAACTCTGCCCTCACACTCCGGTGTTATGACTGTGGCTTGCAATCTGGATAAGCTCTTCAGAAAAATTGACTTACTCCAGAAAATCAGCATTGTAGTATTGCTTACAAAAAAGTATTATAGCTCATATTTGCTCCTTTTACTACTTTTTCATGATTTTGACAAAAGGACTTACTGGTCCTAGCACCCTGCTGGGTATTGACAATCCTAAAGTATCCAAAATGCATAGGTTCTTGCCTTCAAAGAGTATGCTTCCTCAGCTTGTCAAGTTTGCTGATTGATAGGATAAAATAATAAAGCATTATTTTGAAAATTACTTATAAAGCAAATAAAATTCTGAAATACTACAACATGGAGGAATCTTAACGACAGACATTATACTAAGTGGTCCCAAAAGGGACCACTACTAGATAATTCCATTTAGGTAACGTACCTGGAATAGTCAAAATCATGGAGACAGGAAATAAAATGGTGATTGACAGGAACTTGATCACTTGGAGTTTCGAGGAATGGGCCTTGATTTCCAGTGGGTGTACGGTTTCAGTTGGGAAGACGAAAAAGCTAAGGATGGATGGATGGATGGATGGTGCTAATGATTATATCACAGTGCTCCTGAGCTATGATGTTTAACATGTAAAGATACACACTTTGGGGTTAATTTAATTCTAAGATGAAAACAAAACCTTGTTCAATGTTTTGTTTTTATATAAATTATTTCTTAAACCAAGTCAAGTTCCAGTTGAAAAAATGAAAACAATAAGATTTTAGATAACAACTGTAGGAATAAAATAATTCTGGTTTGGTTTTTATCCTGTCTACATCTTTTTAACTTTGCATTATACTTCTGTCCCTAAGGTAAAAAGAAAACTCATATGCAAAGGGAGAAAATGAAGGCCAAACTGAAGCATGCCCCAGCTTCTGCAAAAACTTGGATTCTACATGTCTGAATAGAGAATGAAGTTCACTTAATACACACTTTCTGCCTTGAAAACTGAAAGAAACTATGACTTCCTTTTCACATGACCACAAATCCTTTGATGGAAATGTACAGCAGAAACTCTTGAAAGAGAGGCTAAAAGCAACTCTATTCTACCCTGTCCCCTGGACTTTTCTTATGAAAAGTCAATAATTAAGCAAATTGCTTAACATTTGGTTCCAGTTCCTGCATATCTGGAGTTTAAACGCATAATGCACCATTAATTTCCATGCTGCAGTTTTTATTTTAAAGAAAGTAACAAGATATCCTTACACTGACACTGAAAATTCATCCATTTTAGAGCCAGGAATTCCCATGTTACACAAGAAAAAAAAAGAAGTCTACTGAATTAATTTTTTAGAAGAAGAGAGATCAGATGAAATATTTCTTTGTTTTTCCTTTTGGAAACTTTATGTATAATTCTTTCTGCCTGCCTACTTTTCTGCAAAAATGAGATGTACAGATTTCAGTTCCCTGCTATGAAAAGTGATGTGGTGGCAATTTTATAAATGTTGCTTTCTGATTTTTATCAGAGTGAGAAAATAATTAAAATTATTATTGATTTGCAAGTAGTAAACACTTCATATTTTGATTTCTCCTCCAATTTAGGTTAATATAATTTTCAATAAGTGTACATATTTGTTTGTTTCCTGAAGCGTATCACTTTAAAACAGTTTTTACTCCTGTGGTTATGTTGGAATACTTGGAATTTTTAAGGAGTAAAGACTGCCCAGCATTTGGTTTTATAATGTTTGTCACCAGATTTTTATTACTGATATTAAAAAAAGTCAATTTTTTAAATAGTTGGACTTTGGCAGCTTTGTAAAGGGAAGTTGGAGGTGTTCAGGCTCCCTGTCAATTTTCAGCATTGTGTTATTGGGAAATAAGTGTTTTGTTTTTGGTTTTTGTCTGCTGGTCTGGGCTCAGTTTTAATGTTTTTTATTTTAGAAGACAACTGTTGCATCACTATATTATGTTTCTCGGCATTGTTCAGCATAGGTAATGTGTACATTTTGGTGTACACAATCATATTTAAGTTTTTTGCATAAAATAAATGCTTCTAGATGTCATATGGCAGTCTTTTAATCTTTTTATCATATTTTCTTGTGAAGTTTTTCATGTGAAAGGGCTAAAGTCATAAACATGATTACAGTCAACTCTCAATTATCTATATAAAACAGTGACTGCCTCAGGTTTTCAATTTTGTGATAATCATGAACTCAAAGAACATAATCAAGGCACTCTGCAAGGTCTGCTGCCCGAGGAGCTTAAAATGTTTCCCTCCTCGTACTCAAAATGACATCTGTTCCCAGAGTACATGGGGCTCATCTCCAAGCCCCAGCAGAGTTTGCTCACTTCTCCAGTGTGGGTTAAAGAAAGTAAACAACAGTGGCATTATAACTTGATCTTGATTGGCTATAGTTTACATAGGATGTACAAGAATGAAATCAGTCTGAAAAAGGTGATTATTTATGTTAGGGTGAAATTTGCTGATAGTGAATGTCACTTATGTTCTCATAGATAATCAAGAGTTGGCTGTATATTGATTCTGAGAGATGGATAATTCTTTTAAATATGCATATAAATATATATACACACACAATTAAATATCAGAAAATGGTTAGTCAAAAATGAATGCCAGTGATAGAAAACAATCTTTTAAAAGTGCAGAAAACTTCCTGTTTGCCTTTTCATGACCCTTTAGAAAGAAGATATAAAATATTGCCTCCAACTTGCTGACAAAAGAGTATCTATGCACAAATATCAGAGAAGTCCCTCAGGCAGTTAGTGGGCAGGTTCTATTTTGAAGAGTTTAAAGTTCTCTTAGCATCAGACAGCTTGATCTTAAGGCCCCTAATTTGTCACCAACCAAATGTGCTTTTTCAGAGACTTTCTCTCTCACTCCTTTTAACAAATTGCCCAATGGTTGTTAGATTACCAGGTGTTAAATCATGTTAAATGAAATTCAGTGGAAGCATTTGCATCAGCTTATGACTGTTTAGAGTTTTGCAGGAGAGGAGTTAGCTAAAACTAAAAGTGGCCCACTCCTGACTTTATAAAATGATGCAAGTGTCTGGCACTAAGGGAAGGACAATAGAATGGTAAAAAGATTAAACTGATGGGGAGGGACTTGTTTTTGGGAAATTTGTCAGTTTTCCCTCAAAAAGGAAAACATAAAATCTCTTAGGAATTTGGTATTCACATCTCAGAGAAATACAACACAAAAGTGCAGACTTAATATTTGAAAATTAATGTTAACCCTTTGTGTCTAGTTTGAAGCTTCTTGTATTTGTCTAAAACTACAAGCCAGAATTTTGTATCTCCTTTGATAAAAAGTGTGTATAATGTAAAGTAGTTTTGCATATTCTTGTGCTGCACATGGGCTGAATTTTTAGAATTTTTTTAAAGACTTGAAGCAGAACCTTGTAATTTGTGTAAATGACAAGTGTAAAATCCTACCATAAAATGCTAAAAATATGCACTGTTTCGAATAAAATCAAGAAATGCAGCATTATATAGTAGTGTGGAGCCCTGAATATTCATGTATCCCTGGTATGTCACAAGTTGACTTACTGTCTTTGCATATTTTCTGTTTAGATTCTGGAGTCTGCGTATCCAATAAGAAATCAAATGCCTCCTTCAAACTTCCTCGCTAGGTACTCTGATTTGAGAAAGAGCATAATGGATGATAAATTCTGATGGACATTTGGAAAACTTCAGTTGTTCTTTAACCTCAGAACTTAAAAGCAACTTTTAATTTTTACTGCCCTATGACACATCTATTTATTACAAATTTTGGACTTAGTTTAGTTCATGGAGAATAAGCAGATTTACACGAATATATCTGGAATCAGAAGTGAACAGAATTAAGAGGTAAGAGAAGCTATTATATTTAGTTTTGTATTTTACCCTTCATGGGTTTATCGTCCCACACCGGATGTTTGCACAAACAGCCCTTCATTATCCACTAGTTCTACATCCATAGATTCAACCAACTGTGGATCGAAAATATTTGGGAATAATGTACATCTGTATTGAACATGTAAAAACTTTTCTTTGTGTCATCGTGCCGTAAACAATGGAGCATAGCAATTTTACATAACACTAATATTGTGTTAGGAATTAGAAATAATCTCGAGATGGATTTTAGTATCCAAAGTGTTCCTTGAACTTATTTTGTGTAGATAGCAAGGGACACCTACATTGCAGGATTTTTATGTTCCCCTGGATGTACATAAACTGTCAGTAGAAATGCTACACCAGTACTCTCCAGCAGTAGTGACAAGCTTGCAACACTGCCAAGGTAGTAATCATGTCATTGTCTAGAAGAAAAGTTTACCACAATTCAGTGGCAGCTTATGGGATACAGAGTGCAAAATCGTCAAATACCTTTTCTACCTGTAAACTGAGGCTCCAATTTCTCACTCCCATATGACTAATGACCTCCATTTCTTTCATTTTATATCTTATTTCAAAGTCTAAAAGGAATGTGTACAGTTTCCGCTTCTGTGGAACACTGGCTGGCAATTAGAACTTTGTTATAGAGGTGTTTCTCAAATAGTGTTTATGGATAGAGTGCTACCTTTAGGCCCCTTTCTTCCTTCATTCTCTAGTTACTGTTCTCTCACAGACACCATTTCATTCTGAATGTCCATTCTCTTTAGTAAACAGCTGAAGAAGCATGAAAAGCAACCACCTGGAGGTCAATTACAATGTAAGGAGCATTGCCAAATATATGGAATCCAGTAAGAAAATTGGGAGGTAGGGAATAGCCATTTTCTTCATTGCAGAAATTTATTGAAACTGTACAGATACAATGCCAGGGGCTAACATTAAAACACTTAACAATGCGCTAGGTGTTGTGGTGCAGCAGGTTAAGCCATTGCTTGCAACACCCACATCCTGTATCAGAGTACTTGGGGTCAAGTTTCATCTCCTCTTCAGCTTTCTGCTACTGTGCACCCTTGGAGGCAGCAGATGATGGCTCAAGTACTTGGGTCCTGCCACCTATGTAAAAAACTGGATATAGAGTTCCTGGCTTTGGCCTGGCTCATCCTGACTATTGTGGCCATTTTGGGAGTGAACCAGCAGATGGATAATCTCTGTCTGTTGCTCTTCCTTTCAAATAAAATTAGCAAACTTAAAAAAAAAAAAAAAAAGACTAGTAGTATTGTTACCTTAGCAGGACCCGCAGTGCACTGCAGATTCCACAGCACTGGCAGTCATGACTACTCAGGCCATGCATATGTGAACTCCAGAGCTCTGACAGGAGCAGTAGGAGCAGAATGTCCTTCTCTGCCCTTTCTCAAGAGAGAGGTGCAATTCTGAGAGCTAGCATGAGCTTATAGGTTCCTAATAGAGAGACTGAACTAAGTAACCTGCCTGCCTGACAACCAGGAGCTGAGCCTGATGAGGCAGCTCTTTACTTTTATGGTCCCTGAGAGGTGGTGACCACAGGTAAGGAAGTGCCAGGTGATAAATATTTAAGCAGTCTGAGTTCTGTGTAAGCCATTGCTTTGGTAAGGACCTGGTCCCAACCCCCAAATCTGTTGTCCAACATCCCAATCCCCAAGCCCAGCTCTAGGTTCTTTGAGAGTATCTCCAAAGCCAAGTTCGGTGGGAGCTCAGGTGGTGTCCCTGTAAAGCACCCAGTTTAGTTTGTTCTGAGACTTTCTTTGAGGAAGAGGTCCACCACAGTAGCCACCTACCACCTGCCTCACCAGAAGAAATCGGAAAGCCTTCCTCTTGGGAAAGGGATTTGGCAGTTCTGCTGTCTGGTGCACCTCGCTTGTGAGTGTGTGTCCCTTCAAAGTGAAATGTCAGCCACAGAGACAAGGGGAGTTCCTTTGCAACCACCCCAAGCTAAGAGCTGAACAGCCAACACTGGTTCCCAAAACTCCCGTACTGTGACTCTTATGGAGGCCCTTTTGTTTCTTTTTAAAGGTTTGTTTATTTGACAGAGACAGACCTCTCTGCTGGTTCACTTCCTAAGTATCTGTAACACCTGGGGCTGGGCCAGACCTCTCTCTGAGTCTCTCACATAGAAGGCATATTAGAAGAAAAGTAGGTATTTGTTGTCCAAAGCTCTCATCTTCATTGACGCATGATTTCTACTTCATTGATAATTTCAGTATTCTGTCTTTAGAGTTAAAGTTACCTTAATTTTAGGCTAGTGTTGTGATGCAGTGAGTTGACCTGCCATTTTAGATGCCCACACCTCATAGCAGAGTACCTGGTTTGCGTACCACCTGCACTGCTTCTGATCCAGTGTCCTGCCAATGCACCTGGCAAGACACTGGATGTTGTCCTAAGCACTTGGGCCCTTACCACCCACATGGGAGACCCAGAAGGAGATCCAGGCTCATGGGCTTGGCCTGGCTTAGACCTGGCTATTGGAGTCATTTGGAGAGTGAAACACCAAATGGACATCTTTCTTTGTCATTCTGCCTTTCAAGTAAATAAATAAATCTTAAAAAAAAAAAATAAAGGTACATAAGTTTTACAGTTGCAATGGAAGGATGGATGAAATTGCAATTATCCCATAACAGTCAAGTCGTGGTGGGGATGCAAATACATATGGCCTTCTCTGCCTTTTGGCTTTGGGGAGAACAGGACTCTGAAAAAAAGGGAGGAACAAATTAGAAAGATTTCTGCTTGATTTGACTTCCATTTTAGAGTCCTTGCTTATGATTAGTATTTGACAACAATAATTGAGCAGAAAGGCACAGAAAGGGCTGACATTGCATAGATAGATAGACATACACACACACATATATTTGTTATGTATATAAATTTGTTTCACAAGGCAGAGCAACAAAAGAAAAGGGAGAGAGCTTCTATCTGCTGATTGATTCCCCACATGGCCGCAACAGCCCTGTCTGGGCCAGGCCAAAGCCAGGATCCTGGAACTCTATCTGGGGCTCCGAAATGGGTGCAGAAGCCCAAGTACTTGGACCATATTCCACTGATTTCCCAGGCAGTCAGCAGGGAGTTGGATCAGAAGTGAAGCAACTAGGACAGGAGCCAGCACTCATGGGGATGCCAGCATCATGAGGGGCAGCTTAACCACTGTACCACAACACCAGCTCCTTTCAGCTAGATTCTGACACGGCAGGAAGAGTGAGTCATGAAAGCTTGGATTGCTTAGATGCAACTCCTGTAAGGCCGGGTTTCTGGGTTTTTTGTTTTTTTGTTTTGTTGTTGTTGTTGTTGTTTTTATTTACAGACTTATTTATTTGTTTGAAAGGCAAAGTTACAGAGAGGGAAGGAGATACAGAAAGATCTTCATCTGTTGATTCACTCACCAAATAGCTGCAATGATTGGAGCTGGGCCGGGCCAAAGCTAGGAGCCAGGAACAACTTCTTGCTCTCCCACATGAGTGCAGAGACCCAAGCACTTGGGCCATCAGCTGCTGCTTTCCCAGGTGCATCAGAATAGAGCGTAATCAGAAGTGGAACATTTAGGACACAAACCAGTGCACATATGGAATGCTGGCACAGTGTATGGTGGCTTTACCTACTATGCCATAGCACCTGCCCCAAGACTGGGATTTAATATCTTAGTTTCTATGCAGAGGCACCGACCAGGTGGTGGTGGTGGGAATATTCCTTCAACGTAGCAGGGTCTAGAATGCCAGACCTGGGTCTATCAGAGAACAAGGTTCCTAAGAAGTCTTAGCCACTTTCTCCTGGGTAGTACCCAAAGGGAAGCCCAGTAAAGAGGCTGCAAAGAGGCCCCACACTGTAGTTAGTGAGCCTGCCACTTAGGCCTTCTGAGTGGTGGAACTGGTTGATTATATGGAAACAAACAAACAAAAAAATTTCCTGTCTAGGAATTTAAGAGTTGCTTTCTGGGGTTTCATAATGTTCGACCCTACCAAGATGCTTTTGTTTTTCTCAGTCCACAGACTCCCCTCCCCTCATGGAGAAAAAGCCAACTAGGCCCCTTGAAAACAGCCAGTCAGGACCTTTGAATACACCATCAGTTCAAGATTGCTGGTCTCAGGTTTCCTTATCTGTCCTGGCCATTTTATTATAGAGAAAATGAGACACAGGAGGGCATTTGTTCTGGTCAAGATTGAGGTTCTCATCCTACACCCAAACCTGATAAAAATGAGTTAAAGCCCAGTCCACCCAGCAAGAGTAAGGCAGAGCAGGAGTTGAACCTGAGACACCTGACCATGTAACTCTGCTGCTTGCTTGACCAGGTTACTGAGAGGCTCACAACCTCTTTTTTTCTTTCTGTTTTGGTTAAGATGTATTTATTTGAGAGGCAGAGAGGTCTTTCATCCACTGGTTCACTCCTCAAATGACCACGACTGAAGCTGGGCCGATTGGAAGCCAGTTTATTCTGGGTCTCCCGCATGAGTGCAGGGCCCAAAGACTTGAGCCATCTTCCACTGCTTTCCCAGGCAGTTAGCAGAGAGCTGGTTCAGAAGTGGAGCAGTACCCAGAAGGGATGCTGCTGCCATGAGTGGAGGCCACAGCACTGGCCCCTCACAACCTCTCTTTTTTTTTTTTTAAGATTTTGTTTATTTGAGAAGTAGAGTTACAGACGAGAGAGGGAGAGACAGAGAGAGAGGTCTTCCATCTGCTGGTTCACTCCCCAAATGGCCGCAATGGCTGGAGATGAGCCAATCCAAAATGAGGATCCAGGAGCTTCTTCAGGATCTCCCACATGGTTGCAGGGGCCCAAAGACTTGAGCCATCTTCCACTGCTTTCCCAGGCCATAGCAGAGAGCTGGATAGGAAGAGGAGCAGCCAGGACTGGAATCTGATGGCCATATGGGTTGTGGGTGCCACAGGCGGAGGATTAATCTATTGCACCACAGCACTGGCCTCTCAGACTTGATGGTCATTGAAATATTTTGGAAGGAAATGAATCATAGGAATGAGAAGATGTAAAGCGTTGTTATAACACCATTATTGGTTACCGTTGCCTACATGCAGGCATTCATTAAATGAGATCTTGAGGAAATGAAGAAGATGGAATTAAATGAGACCCCATTAACTGGTGAATGTGAAATACTACTTAGCAATAAAAAAAATCCGGTACCTGTTGCGACATAGATGAATCTCAAACATTATGCTAACTGAAAAAAAACCAGATACAAACTACAGGTTTGTTTTTATGAAATTTGCAGAGGTAAAATCTATAGCAACAGAGAGTAAATTTGTAGTTACCTGATCAGCTATAAATGAGCTCACAAATATTGGAGTGATAGAAATGTTCTAAAACTGGATTTTGGGACTGGCATGGTGGCACAGCAGGTTAAACCGTGACCTGCAGTGCCACCATCCCATGTGGGGGCCAGTTTGAGTCCTGGTTGCTCTACTTCTAGTCCAGCTCCTTGTTAATGCACTTGGAAAAGCAGCAACAGATGGTCCAAGTCCCTGGTCCTCTGCCATCCATGTAGGAAACCCAGAAGAAGCTCCTGGGGCCTGTGCTGTGGCAATGGGTTAAATCCCCGGCCTGTAGGGCCGGCATCCCATATGGGCACCAGTTCAAGTCCCTGCTGCCCTACTTCAGATCCAGCTCTCTGCTAAGGCCTGGGAAAGCAGTAGAAGATGGCTCAAGATTTTGGGTCCCTGCACCTACATGGGAGACCTGAAAGAAGCTCCTGGTTTCAGATCAGTTCAACTCTGGCCATTTGTGTTCATTTGGGGAGTGAACCAGCAGATGGAGGACCTTTCTCTCTCTGGCTTTACATCTTTCTGTAACTCTGTCTTTCAAATAAATATTTTTTTGAAAAAATGGATTTTAATGATGGTTTCCCAACTCAGAAAATTTAATATAGATCATTACATATATACATACTTTTTTCTTTTTTAAAAAAAGAATTATTTATTTGAAAGAGAGCTTCCATCCAGTTGTTCACTCCCCAAATGACTGCAACAGCTGAGGCTGGAACTAAATCCAAGTCTCCCATATCCTCTTCTGCCTTCTCAGGCACATTAGCAGGAAGTTGGATCAGAAACATCAGACAGAATCAAATTGGTGCTCATATGGGATGCTGGCATCATGGGCAGCTGTTTAACCTACTGTACCACAATGCCAGCCCCATATGTATACTTAAAGTGGGTGGCTTTTACAATATGTAGATAACTCCTCAATAAATGTTTATTCAGTATCACACACACACCCTCCCAATTCAGCTTTACAAAGCAAAATAGCATTAGCTAAGTTTCTTTTTTTTTTTTTTTTTTGACAGGCAGAGTGGACAGTGAGAGAGAGAGAGAGAGAGAAAGGTCTTCCTTTGCCGTTGGTTCACCCTCCAATGGCCGCCGCGGCCAGCGTGCTGCAGCCAGCGCACCGCGCTGATCCGATGGCAGGAGCCAGGAGCCAGGTGCTTTTCCTGGTCTCCCATGGGGTGCAGGGCCCAAGCACCTGGGCCATCCTCCACTGCACTCCCTGGCCACAGCAGAGGGCTGGCCTGGAAGAGGGGCAACCGGGACAGAATCCGGCGCCCCGACCGGGACTAGAACCTGGTGTGCCGGCGCCGCTAGGCGGAGGATTAGCCTAGTGAGCCGCGGCGCCGGCCGCTAAGTTTCATTTTGTTAAATAATTGACATGCCCTTTCCAAAGCACTATAATGAATGATATTTGAGTTCATGGATAGCGCACCCTCCCCATCCATTGGTGAGCTCCCTTCCTCACAGGGTTACTCTCTGGGTCAGTCTAGTTCTTAGCTGTGAGGTCTGGAAACAGTTTTCTCCAAATGGCTATGGCTCCTGGATGTCTCCCAAAAGCCATAGACCAAAAGGCCCAGAGGCCAACACGCTCCTGGCAGCAGATCAGTTCGTTCTCTCTGCTTGGGAAGTCTTTGTGGTCGGCTGAGTTCAAATGAGGTCTGGGAATGCTGGACTCTGCTGGGAGAGTAATAGGGCGTCTTCCTGGTCGGCCTTTGATGGCTACCACTGCTTGTGCCATCCTTCTGTATCCTGATGAGCCTGGCACTGAGATCATGGAAATATTGGCCCTTACTCGACTTGATTTCTCACCTGAAAACTAATAACTACTTCAAAGATTGGAGAATAAAATGAGCTAAGATCCAGAAAATATCTACCTCAATGCCTGGCCAGTAATAACTGTTGACCTGCTCAGATCAGTTAGCACTATTTGAACAGACTGAGAAGCCCTACCTGGGATATCCTTGGGCAACCAGGATATCCTTGGGCAACAAGTGAAGAAAGGCAGACTTACGGATATGATTGTGATTCTTGCATCTGTTTTCCAGACTCTAAGCCAACCATTCCACTCTCTTACTATCTTTCTTAAGCCAGGGTACTATAACATTCTACTTTCTCTTGTATTCCCACACAGTTCATCCTCAAGGAAGCCATCTCCATAGCAAAACTTCATTATTTATTTTTGCCCAGTTCATAACTGAACCACCCCCCCATTTTGGGTTTTTGAGAACCTGCCCCAAGATTCTATTAATAAAGTACAAACTGTTTCGCTGTAGAAACTGAGAAATCCATACACTCACTTTCCCAACCTCCTTTGTAGCTAGGGCCCAGACGTATGACTTGGTCTCTGCCAGACACACACACCTTATTTTGGGTGTGATTGGAATACCATACATTAGAGAGCACTCCCTAGTGGATCTTGGGCAGCAGTGCCCAGTGTCCAGGAGTGATAGTGGTGGTGGTGCAGGCTGCTTAGGGTGCTCCAGGCATTGGCCCAGAGGCTGGATCATTACAGGACCAGTTCTGTGACTTGGGATCTCTCCTGGCTCTAAAACCTCCAAGGCTAGTTTTCTGGCCTACCCTGAGAGTCTGAGCTTCTTAACCAACATCAGTGAATGTCTTTTATTCTTAAGTTAGCCAGAGTTGATTGCTGACTGGTAATTGGTACTTGAAGTAGTCACAGCCAGCAGGTGCTCAGGGAGAGGGGGGAATCTGATTAGTTCTGTAGGGGGCTGTGCAGAAGGTAGTGAAAATCTAGCCTGTGCTTCAGCAATTGAACAGTGATGAAATAATTTGTCAAGTTATTACCTGCTGTGAACTGTGCTGAGGCACTAATACCTAATATGAATATTTTTGGAGATAATTAAGTTTTAAAAAGTCATAGACTGAAGCTCTGATCCAATAGGACCAGCATCCTTATATTGTGTGTGTCTGTCATGTACACACACACACACACACACACATACACAATTTCTAGACTATAGAACGGTGAGAAAGTAACTTTGTTGAAGTTACCTGGTGCGTGGTATTATTTTATGGCAGCCTGAGGTGATGGAGATATCCCTTGAGGCCATATGCAATGAGGTGTCCATGGAAGGTAAGCTCTCTGGGAACTAAGTGCCAGTTGCCATAGCTTACTAGGAGAATGCAGAAGGAATTCAGGGACTAAGCATTTTGGATGATTGGCCATGAACCTCTTACTCATTACATTTTTAGGACTAAGATAGTCAAAATCAAATCCAAAGTTTTGTCCTTGGCGTTGCTAACCTGCAGTGTGCTGAACTCCCAGCTTCCCTGGATTTGTCTTGTGAGCACTAAGGCACTGACCGGCATCATCTGAACTCCAGCAGCCCCAGCCCTCCTTCCCAGCACACTCTGACACAGTGACACAGGGCCAGCTGGGGGCACGGGAGGTTGTCCTCGCGCCATCAGGCCTCCCCTGCGAGGCCAGCAGTGGAGGAATGAGTCCTGCTGCTCCGAATTTGAGCCTGTTGCTGTGCTTGCCTTCTGTACAACCCTGGTTCCAAGTGCCCTCGGTGGGGTGCAGGATTCCAACCTCACCCTCAGCTTTCAACCTTATCTGGGTAGCTCAATCTTCACCCAACTTGTTGCCCTCTGCTTCACCTGTAAGGTGTTTTCTGCTGTTCTGGGCCAATTCAGACGTAGGCAGGCTTTGGATTCCTAGGTCTTAAGGATGTTTCCTGGATGATTCTGACTCCCAGCAGTCGAACCATCTAATGGCCTGGCCCAGGTTCAGGAGGCTTTCTGCCTCTTACCTAAGGGACTGGGAGTTTTCTTCTTCCCCACCCTTGACTGGTGTGTGCCCAAAGAATATATGTTTGGGTCACTTTACTGTAAACAACATCATCTCTTCAGGTGTTGGCTAAATGCAAGGTGAGTTTGGAATGGATATAGGTAAATAAAATGGTAATACTCATCTATTTCATGATCAGATGCAGTAACAAGGACTGTAACCATGAAATATAGCTTCTTGCTTAAGTAACACATATGTTAGTTTATTTAAATTTTGAGATAATTTATAGATTTCTAAACTAGTTAGCTTTCTCTACATTTTAGTACATTTTGCAGTTAATTTTTCATTTTAGTCCACAGGATCTGACTGTAAACAAAAAGATGTTGTCCAGAAATCCTAGATGTGGGGCCAGACGCAGCACTGACTGCTTGGTTTGGTCCCTGAGAGTGATCAAGCATTTAGCACTGTGGGATGAAGATTACACAATTCCATGGGCGTTGCCTGGTTCTTTGGTCTTGCCTCTATTGTCTTCTCCCTGGTCCTACTACAATTAGTTTACCGTTAATTTAGTTCCTTTTTTAAAGAATTTCATTTATGGGGCTGGCACTGTGGGGTACCGGGTAAAGCTGCTGCCTACAGCACCAGCATCCCACGTGGGCATTGGTGTGAGTCCTAACTGCTTCACTTAAAATCCAGCTCCCTGCTAATGCACCTGGGAAAGCAGCAGAGGATGGCCCAAGTCTTTGGGTCCCTTCACCCATGTGGGAGACCTGGAAGGAGCTCCTGGCTCCTGATTCCTAGCTTTGGCCTGGCCCAGCCCTCACCATTGTGGTCTTTTGAGGAGTGAACCAGTAGATGGAAAACTCTGCCTAACTGTGCCATCTTTCAAATAAGTGATCAATCTTTTTTTAAAAAACTTTCCATATTTTTACTTAAATATTAATTTTTAAAGATATTTTTATTTATTTGACAGGTAGAGTTACAGACAGTGAGAGAGTGGTTCACCCCCCCAAATGGCCGCTACAGCTGGCGCTGTGCCAATCCGAAGCCAGGAGCCAGGCACTTCCTCCTGGTCTCCCATGCAGGTGCAGGGTCCAAGCACTTGGGCCATCCTCCACTGCCTTTCTGGGCCACAGCAGAGAGCTGGACTGGAAGAGGAGCAACCCGGACTAGAATCCAGTGCCCATATGGGATGCTGGCGCTGCAGGTGGAGGATTAGCCTAGTGAGCCACGGCACCGGGCCCCTAAAGATTTATTTATTTAAAGTCAGAGTTACACAGAGAGAGGAGAGGCAGAGAGAGAGAGAGGTCTTCCATCTGCTGGTTCACTCCCCAATTGGACACACAGCCAGAACTGCGCTGATCCGAAGCCAGGAGCTTCCTCTGGGTCTCCCACGTGGGTGCAGGGCCCCAAGGACCTGGGCCATCTTCTTTCTCAGGCCACAGCAGAGAGCTGGATCAGAAGTGGAGCACCCGGGACTTGAACCAGCGCCCATATGGGATGCTGGCACTGGAGGTGGCGGCTTTACCCACTACACCACAGCACCAGCCTGCTTAAATATTAATTTATAAATTGTGGGTCTGTTCTGCAACCTGCTCAGATGAAAATCTGTAGAGTTTTGTCACTGCATTTAGTTGTCAATTATCAGTATTTATTACTTTCCAAAAGTGTTTTATGAAGAGCTACATTGTTACAGTTTTTGATAAAAATAATTATTTTCAGTGTTTAAACTTTTCCATATAGTTTCCAAGAAACCAGATATTCTTGATCCTTGTTCTTCTCTTTCACGGGCCTTTAGGATCTTCTTGTGCCAGTGGATAATGACATGGGGACTTTGGGGCTGGCAGTGTGGTATGGCATGTTAAGCTGTCACCTGCAGCGCCAGCATCCCATATGGTCCTGGTTTGAGTCTCGGCTGCTCCACTTAAGATCTATCTTCCTGCTAATGGCCTGGGAAGCAGCAGCAGATCTTCAGTCTCCTTGGGCCCCTGCACTCATGGGGGGGACTGGATGCAGTTCCTAACGCCTGACTTCTGCTTAGCCAGCCCTGGCTGCTGCGGCCATTTGGGGTGTGAACCAGTGGATGGATGGAAAATCTCTGTGTAATTCTACCTTTTGTATAAATAAACCAATCTTTGGTGGAAAAAAGATATGAAAGCCTTTTTCATTGATTGCCTGGAGCTGGGAGTCTGAAGTTTTGTGACCTCTAGTTCTGAAGAGGTTCTGTGGCAGTTTCGGCCCCCACTGCCTCTGTTCTCTTTTGGTGGAACTTACTTGTCTCTGGCCCCTCCCTGGGGGCAGTGATGTGTTCTGGGTTGATCTATTTGTTATGTTCTTGCTCTTATTTTTTTCCCCCCATTGAAGCTTCCTTTATATTTACTTCTATTCATTTACTCAAATATTTACTTATAACTACATGCTGTGTTATCTGTGTTCCAGGCAAATGGAAATACAGCCAATAAAGACAAGTGTCAGTCTTCATGTTGGGCAAAGTGTCAACATGGGCTAATGGTAAGTGCTCTAGAGGGGAGCTAAGCAGGGAAAGGGAACGGAGGTGAGGAAGCTGCTTGCAGTAGGGTGGCATAGAAGGCAGACCTGACATAGGGACCACATAGTACTGACATGTTTGAGCAAGACCTGACAGTCTTGGGGGAGGACATTCCAGGCAGGAGGAAGTGGAAAGCTTGTGCATTTGACAGCCAGCCAGAGGCTCCTGTGGCTGGTGTAACCATCAAAAGAGAGAGAAGGCAGAGGACAACCAGGAGCACAGGAAGGCTAGTTAAGAGCTCTGCAACTGTGGTTTAACTGCCTCTTTAAGATAATCATAGGGGCCAGCGCTGTGGTGCAGCGGGTTAAAGCCCTGGCCTGGAATGCCCGCATTTCATTTGGGCGTCGGTTCCAGTCCCGGCTGCTCTTCTGACCCAGCTCTCTGCTACGGCCTGGGAAAGCAGAAGATGGATGGCCCAAGTCCTTGGGCCCCTGCACCCACAAAGGAGACACGAAGCTCCTGGCTTCGGATCGGCGCAGCTGCAACCATTGTAACCATCGTATGGAAGAACCCTCTCTGTATCTGTGTCTTTCAAATAAAAATAAATCTTTTTTTAAAGATTTATTTATTTATATTATTTGAAAGTCAGAGTTATACAGAGAGGAGGAGAGGCAGAGAGAGAGAGAGAGGTCTTCCATCTGCTGGTTCACTCTCCAGTTGGCTGCAACAGCCGGAGCTGCACCAATCCAAAGCCAGGAGCCAGAAGCTTCTTCCGGATCTCCCACGTGGGTGCAGGGGCCCAAGGACTTGGCCCATCTTGTACTGCTTTCCCAGGCCATAGCAGAGAGCTGGATCAGAAGTGGAGCAGCCGAAACTCAAACTGGCGCCCGTGTGGGATAGCAGCACTACAGGCAGCGGCCTTAGCCATTACACCACAGCGCCGACCCCACTCATTTTGAGTTCTCATGTTTAGTCTCATAATAAATTAATTTAGATTTTTCCCACATTTTCTGGTTACTTTAAGGCCTATATGCCTCCATGGTTCAAGCAGCTGAATTCTTAGCTGTGTTTTTTCTCCTTGTGTAGCTTTAGTTTAGACCTGTTTGATTGCTACTCTTCAGATTTTTGCTGTTTTAACACTGTTGAGTCTGTCATGGCTTCTTCATTGCTGTCACTTTATATTTCATTTCCTTCTGTTAACTGTGGCCTTGGGAAACTGGGGATGTGGATATGCCAACCCATTTTAGTTGTAATCAGTTTACATTGAATTACTAATAGAGGGAAAATGTTAAAAGTAGTTTTGAAAATAACAGGATGGTAACATAGCACAACATGAGTTTTAGCTTTGAATTAGAGGGAGATAGAGATCTTCCATCCACTGATTTACTGCCCAAATGGCACCCAAGCTGGAAGTGGGAACTTGATTAGGGCCTCCCAAGTGTGTGGTAGGGGCCCAAACATGTGGGTCATTTTCTGCTGCTTTCCCAGGCACATTAGCAAGGAGTTAGGCTCAGCTTGCTCCATTGCACTAAAAAAGTGTCTCCTCTTCTCTCCATCGTCTTTGCCCTCAAGATTTCTACCTGTAACTATCATTTCTGTGGAGTTTGAAGTAAGTTTGAAGCTAACGTAAAGCACGTAACTGGAAACCATCTACATAGCTAATGGGTCAATAAAGAAAATATGGCATCTCTACTCACGGTCTGTGTGCAGCCATCCACACGTTTAGGTAGAGACTCTAAAGAACTATGATTATGATGTCTAATTATATTTCAGTTGTGTAGTAATAGCTCAAAACAAGTTATACTGAAAGAATATTCCAGGGCTGGCGCTGTGGTGCAGCAGGTTAATGCCCTGGCCTGATGCGCTGGCATCCCATATGGGTGCCAGTTCAAGTCCCAGCTGCTCCTCTTCCGATCCTGCTCTCTGCTATGGCCTGGGAAGGCAGTACAAGATGGCCCAAATCCTTGAGCCCCTGCACCCACTTGGGAGACCCGGAAGAAGCCCCTGGCTCCTGATCGGCCCAGCTCTGGCCGTTGCAGCCAATTGGGGAGTGAACCAGCAGATGGAAGACCACTCTCTGTCTCTCTCTGCCTCTCCTTCTCTCTGTGTGTAACTCTTTCAGATAAATAAATAAATCTTAAAAAAAAAAAAAAAAAGAATATTCCAAAATACTAAGTAGGTTCTAGGCAGTGTGACTTGATTTTTTTTTTAATATAAGTCTTTTTAAGTTTTTTTTTAATTTACTTATTTGAGAGGTATAGTTACAGAAAGAGGGACAGAGAGAAAGGTCTTCCTTCCGTTGGTTCACTCCCCAAATGTCCGCAACGGCCAGAGCTGTGCCAATCCAAAGCCAGAAGCCAGGTGCTTCTCCGGGGTCTCCCATGCAGGTACAGGGGGCCAAGGACTTGGGCCATCTTCTACTGCCCTCCCGGGCACAGCAGAGAGCTGAATCGGAAGAGGGGCAGCCGGGACTAGAACCAGCGCCCATATGGGATGCTGGCGCCATAGGAGGAGGATTAACCTATTGCGCCAGCCCCCTGATCTTACTTTTTAAAAAACTGCTTAAATGAGCACTTGTGATTAAAACTGCCTAGAAAATGAAAGTTAAGTAAGCAGTACAGTGGATGGAAAACCCAGATTCTCCGTGCCAGTTGTATTAGTACATGTTGTGTTGCTGTAACAAAATACTGGAGGCTGGCTGGTTTATCAGGAAAACAGGTTTATTTGGCTGCCGAGTCCAGTGGCCGGGAAGTCCAAACAGCATGGTGTTGGCCTCAGGTGAGGGCCCCTGACTGCAGGAAGGGAAACAGCCGTATGCAGAAGAGGGCAAGTGTGTGTCTGAGAACTCAGCAAGTTGTGGGAGGACTCCACTTACCTCGTTGAAGGCCTCACCACTTCAATACCATTACCTTGCACAGGAACCTTTAGGGGACAAACCACAGCACCAGTCATCATGTTACCTCCAAGCAACTCAATGCCTTGTGTTTATGATCTGAAACTTGAAGGGCTGCAGGATTTTCAAGCCAATTTGAATTAAACATAATGGAGGCCAGGCTGAAATAGTGAATGTTCAAAAATAAAAACTATCACAAGTAAGGCACTGGTGTAGTGGCTAAGATACCTGCATCCCTTATGAGTGCCTCCTATGAATCCTGGCTACTCTGTTTCTGCTCCAGCTTCCTGCGAACGCATCTCCTGGGAAAAGCAGATGGCTCAAGTGCTTCGTTCCCTGCCACCCAGGGAACTCCAGGCGCTTGGCTTCCAAACTGGCACAGCTCTCTCTTCTTGCAGTGTTGGGGAATAAAACAGTGCACGAAAAGATCTGTTTCTCAAATGAAAATGAAAATTTAAATAGGCTAAGGAAGCAATCAGGAAGCAACTTTCTCAAATTTAGTGGGAAGCAGAAAGTGAAAATATAAGCATATTTAATTAGTTTCCAGGAAAGAGATACCGGAGGAAAGAGCTAGAAAAATCTAAGCCCACTGGAAAGTAGTCATGAGTGTGACTTCTCTTGGGAAGCCAGGAAACACCAGTGAGCATTTCAGTCAGCTGAAGCAAGAGATGGAGAGGAGGCAGGATCGGCATCCTTTAACCAATTTAACTTTTAGCAAATAAACAGTTTTAACAGGATCACCAAAGGATTTATGGGCATTTTACACAGGTAAATTTTATCCTTTCCACTTGGCCCTTAATAGGTTCACAACCCTCATGTTCTTTTAGCATACTCAGACTTCCTTCCTTCCTTTCCCAATCTCTTAACCTTATAAATAATCGTCCAATGATGACCCTCAGCCAGGTGCCATAATCCTGTTCCCATTAACTCATTTTCTTTTCCTCTACCTAAATTCAAATCAATTTTATTTCAGGGAGTCAGTGCCCCCAGAGTTTTCTCAATACTTCTGCACAATGCAACATCTTTCTCTCAACCTAAACTCCATTACGGAGTGAAGATACAGACTGGGGATGAAAACTGGCAATCAAGAGAGACAAACTTACAAAGCAAGCCTAAAATTACATAAAGCGGGATAAAATATTATTTAGTGACTGAAAACTAAAATTCAGTATCTTAGGGAAAAAAACCTATGGAATAGAGCTGGAGATGCAGTCAGTCACTTTCAATGCTCCCCTACTACTGACTTCATTAAACAAACACCTGGAAAGATCATTATTTGAAACAAAGAAAACCAGCCATGCTAATAAACCCTTCAGTGACTATTATCTTGACCTGGAGTCATTGTTTTAAAAAACAATAAACCTGGAAGAGAGGGCCAAGCCTTTATTTGGCCTAGTGGATGACACCACTTGGGATGTCTGCCTCCTCTATCAGTCCCAGCATGGCTCAGGATTCCAGCTTCCTGCTTGCCTGTGTGCTGAGGCAGCATGTACTTGGATCCCTGCCACCCATGTGGAACACTTGGACTGAATTTCTGACTCCCACATTTCGCCTAGCCCAGCCCCAAGCCACTGCAGGCATTTGAGAAGTAATCAGTATCAACTCTGCCTCTCAAAACAAAATTTGTCTTTTGGTTTAATTTCCTTGTGATGATACTATAAGATTTCCCTTTTTGAGAACTTGTTATTTACCCCCAAAGAACTCACTGCTAAACCATTTTCCAGATTTTTACTGAACTTTTTTATCTGGCCAGCCACTGCCCAGGTATGACAGCTCACTGGAATGCCATTTGTTAGCTGTGACTTGACATTTAAAGCTCCAGCTCCATGAAGAGTTCACACAGGCATTCCACATGAGAGCCGTTCCATCTCTGTAATGCAGACTTTGAATTGGTTGTAAATACTGTATTGACAAAATCAGTTTTGCCATTTGAAATCATCAGTGCAAACCCTGGCAAATACAGCCTCTTCCAATTCTAATGTAATTGGGTAATTCTCAATTATTAGACTTTGGTACAGATTAGCAAAATAATGGCACCTCTGCCAAAGCAGAACAAGTTTTAAGCAAGTCATCCTGTTGGTGGTTCAAGCTGCATGTAAGTTCAGCCAAAATTCACTAGATTTATATTAAATTCTATACAGACATATTGCATAGTGGGCAAATGTTGGACCTAGATGAAGAAACTGAAGATCAGCAAAGTCCAGGCTAGAATTAATACTTGGGATTGACCCATTCCAGAGCCCGTCCCACAGTCCCATGCAGACCACAAAGACTGCCTGCCTATCTGGAAGCAGAATGAACAGTCCCAGCTCTCCAGATTACTCTGTATTTGGGATTAGAGCCTAACCAAGGTTGTTCTTTCAAATACATAGATTAAGCAATGCGAAGACCCTACAGTTTACTGCATTTATCATCATATGCCCATCCCTCTAAAATTTGTCAGATAGTTACCTCATTTTTCTTGTTAATGTGAAGCCTTAACTGCTTGTCCAGAGAAGAATATCCAGAAATAAGATGTAAACCATTTCAGGGGAAAACATGCATGCATTTATTTTTAAGAATTCCCAATAAGGGGGGAAAAGTTCAACATCTTTAAAAATGTGTTTATTTTTTTTAAAAATCAGTTGTGTACAAAAGTGTTTCGTAGTTTTTAAGTCTCAAGACAAATACCCCCAACCCTCCACCCACAGCCCACCCTGCTGTGATGGTATTTCTGGTAACCCACCCATTTTTCCCTTACAGGAAGTTAACGGCTCAGAATAGACCTCCTACAGAAAGTATCATCACTAACAGACTGTTTAGGATAGAGACCGAGAGAAGCTAACAAGCACGGTTCTTTCTCAGTGAGGTTAATGAAAATCCCTACAACGGCAGTAGACTTCCAGCAGACACCACAACAAAGCACCATCAATTGCTGAAAGCTAAAAAATAGATATTATTTTCAATAGTATTTCATTTTCTATTGGAAAAGTCTTTAAATTACATTAAATAAGTCTCTTCCCCCCCCCCCCACCAAAGAAATAGTCTAGCTTTTATGCTGATGCCTATCAACAGTAGGTGATGGCAAGCAGCCAAGGACGGGAGCAGCACAGTGCAATGATTGCTATCCTAGAACTCAGTGTAGCGCTGAAGTTGTCCACTGCGCCCCACGTGATTATATACAGCAGCATGGTTGAAATAACCGAGTAGAGGGTGACACATCCACCACTTCCACTTAGGTGATGAAAGCAGGTTTATGAGGGTAGATCAGTCCAACAAAGCAGTAGCTACCACCAGGACAAAGGAGACATTGATGCTCCCCTATCCCTATGCTGCAAGACTGTTGATTGTTGATCTATATTGCCACAGTGCAAACAGAACGCGTGACAGAATATGCTGACACTACAGAAAAGTCACACTGGGGAAGAAGACTATCAGGAAACACTTCAGGTTGCCTTCTTCCCAGTGGAATCAGTTGGCTGATGATATTTATTTTAAAACAAGTACTAAAAGAATGGAAATGCAAAATTTTTAAAATCAAACAACCTGTACCCTGGAATTGAAATTCCTTGAACTAGGAAATAATTAATACATCATCATTTTGTAAAAGTCCAAGAAATAAGGTTAACTGTATATAGACATCTGCCTTTTTCAGTTCTAAACATTGGTTCCACCTATGTACAAGAAGGTAGACCTGGCTCCAGCCCCATATTAATCTTTAAAATAATTTTTAAAAAATCTTAAGTTTTCTGAGTTGCTACATAGGATTGTGAAGACATTTACCATATCCCTACAGCAGCATTTTAAAAGCTCAAATCAAGCATACACTTATAGCTAAGATCTGCTTTCACATTGTTAAATTCAGTAACAGTAATAAACATGCTGCATTCTGTAGTGCATGAGCAAGCAAAAGCGACTGGAATTGCCAATTCTTTCTTATACTTGAAAACAATCATTTTGCATAGTTTTATGTGTCACCAAAGAAACCAGTCTTAGTTTCACTTCACAGATCACTGTCCCCAAAAGCAAAATACTCAGACTCCAAACAGTTATATATTCTTGAACATGTCATGTATTTAGGTAAACCACAGTCAAAATTCTAAACATTTCAGGGAGCCAACTCAGAGCATTAATTTTAGTACCAAGTTCCTCAGATATTTATATACTACTGTATACAGATCTGGATCACAAACTGCCCTTCATTCTCATTCAGTAATCTGCACTGCAATACTACAGAGCTCATTATTTCTTCTTTTAAATGTTAGGCACATACTTAGGAAACAGACCTGATTATAATGAAAGCCAACTGGACTATCAGTGACTTCTAGCAAATCTGCCTGTGCTAAAGGGGATCTCGCTGTATTTTCCTTTGAACCTGTAGTTTCAGAGGCTTTTAAAATTGACACACCCTAAAACACTGAGAATTACAAAAATAATTTCGCCGAGGGCACTTTTTCCCTAGGTCTGAACTTCTAGTGCCCCTCTGCAAACCTTTAAGAGCAGAAGAAAAAAAGCACTGGGGGCCTTTGTTTCTCTGTTTGGAAAAGTGAATTCACCAGAAGAGACAGGAAAGTGGACAAAAATAAAGGCAAGGCAGTAGAAAGTCTACTAGGGAAAAAAAAGAAAGATATCATTAACTATAAATGAGAAAAATCTTTATAATTCACAATATAGAGTTTCTCAAATCAAATATTATACTTTCCAATTTCCTGGGTACTGGGGATGTTGAAGTGTGGTTAGACAAGTAGCTACTTTATGGGACTGCCATACAAACACAAACCAAAAGCTAGACAGAGCTGCCTCCAAGAGTGAAGTAGGTCATGCTTCCCCTGAAGTCATTTCTGAGTTTTCTTCTTCCTTTGTCTAACCACAGGACAATTAGAAACACCCTGACAATACAGGCAAACAGTAAACTGGGTATTTGTAAAAATCCAAACATTACTAATATTAAGAGGCCACTCTCTGATTATAAAAAATTAATTCTAACCAACAATGGAGCAGAACTATCAACATTTCCACGCAACCCACCTTACTTCAAAATAGAAAGTACAGATTTTAGCTATCTAAAATAAAGAAAAATCTTGTTTCCTTTGGCATCTTTAGAAAATAAACTACAATATTAAAAGAATGTGACTGCATAAAGAAATTTAGCTTAATCAAATACATGGGGGGAACATAGCAACTTGTGTTTAGTATGCAATAATATCAACACTAAGGGTTAATTAGGAAAGCCTGATGGGATTTTGGAAGAACCTTCACATTTTAACATTACAATATATTTAAGAATGGTTCTTTTATTGCTTCTAGTATCAAGATTATTGAGAAGTCAAATGAAGGTAGGCTGACTTTGTAGCTCAAAAATTATTTTTCAAACACTTAATGATTATAATTTAATATCAGTAACACAAGAAGAAAGCAAAACTTTTATAATATGTCCTTCATTGTACAGCCTAAATTGAGTCTAAATCCATTACGTTTTTATTTACCATTGGTCCTGAAAATCTGATAAGAACTGTATTTCGATACACAGAACTGCCTGCATAAATCCACTCAGCCTTCATAAATGGTCACATTACTGTTTGAGCTTTCACAACTAGTAACTGTCAAACTTTTGAACTTAGAATGAAATGTAACTTTAATATGAATAGGAAGTGTGACTATGTACAAGAAGAGAAGGTCAAGTTTTCAGTTCTCACATAATCAGAAACATCATAAAGCAAGCTAGATCTGTAACACGCCTCTAGTCCTATGTGTGTCTCAAGTATGTACAGTGCAACAGCAGCACAGCTCTCAGGTGTGAACAGGGGGAAGCGCAGGCCAGAACGACAGCACAGGATCCCACAGGGCCATCTGCAAAGCCCACAATAGGGCTAAAAGCTAGAAACAGCTGACTGCATCTTTGCAAGTCCTCAGAGATTTCATCGGTTTAGGAATAACAGTCAAATTCTGTGACAAACTAAGCAGGGTCCTTCCTTTCTCTGGGAATACTGCAACGTCAAGTAGTTACTGGTTTTGCAAGGAAACAAAACTGGCAGCTCCATTTGTACATTATTACTTACAGAGGAAAATTTTAAGAGTGTGGGAAGAACTATGAAAATATTTCAAACCTACAACCTAAAAGTGGGGTAAGGGGCCCTGTTGCTCAGCACACTTCCCCATCAAATAGAGGAATTTCCGTCAGCACGCTAGCTGTGAGTGATAAGAGGGAAAACAGACGTGGTGTCCCAGTTTGAGGACAGGGACAAAAGGCTCTGAACAGGTCACCATCTTCAAATCTGGATGACTCTTGTATCTAAGAATTCTCCAATGTGTAAAACGGTGGTCTTTTCAGCTACCCATCCTAAGAAGTCAAGTACAAGCATGCAAATAAATGCACAGGCACAGAGGGTCCATGTTGAACACAGTTACGGCAGCTGTGATGCAACACCGACAACGTGAATGGCCCCGACACACTCAAAATAGAATCTTAATTATTCAACAAAATCCTGAAGCGAACTCTTGCTAGTCTTGGTACACCACTAAATACTAAAGTAGCAAGTTTTTTCATGGTTTTAGCTTAGCTCAAAGAATTTTTACACTATTAAGGAAAAAAAATTAAAGTATTTCCCCTTTTTTAAATTTACACAGACGTTTAATCAGCTTTATTTACAGAGCAGGGATTTTTTTTTCAGTCTCCAATGGTGCCTAGATAACATCATTAGGCAAGAATGCCAGTTTAAAAGAAATCTATGCAGAATCCTAAAAATAGCGATGCCGGAGCTCCCGGAGAGGAGGCCGCCTGACTGGGCTGCAGCTCGCCAGGCCTCAGTTACTCAGGAGCAGCTCCGTTGCCGTCTCTACATCCCATGATTTTGAAGACAAGGCCACAATTACCGCGTTCTGTGGAGACAAAGGGACAAAACAAACTCTCAAGACAATGTTTTTAAATTGTTTTGAATTGCTGTCTTTATATTGACATATCAAACATTTCTTTCTTCCCTTTCAGTAAGTACTTGTAGCACATAAAAAGCTTCCCAAATCAGTAAGCGGAATCAATAAAAGGAAAACAAAAATCATTGGCTATAGTAACAGAACATTTACCAAAACTGCATTTTCTGGTGTTTTTTTATTTGTTTGTTTTGGACAGACAGAGGGGACAGAGAGAGAGAGAGAGAGAGAGAGAGACAGAGAGAAAGGTCTTCCTTTGATGTTGGTTCACCCTCCAATGGCCACCGCGGCCAGCGCACCGTGCTGATCCAAAGCCAGGAGCCAGGTGCTTCTCCTGGTCTCCCATGGGATGCAGGGCCCAAGCACTTGGGCCATCCTCCACTGCACTCCCTGGCCACAGCAGAGAGCTGGCCCGGAAGAGGGGCAACCGGGAAAGAATCCAGCGCCCCAACCGGGACTAGAACCCGGTGTGCCGGCGCTGGCCCTGGTGTTTTTTAAAAGGTAGAGTTAATTACACAGAGAGATCTTCCATGTGCTGGTTCACTTCCCAAATGGCTGCAGCTGGGCTTATCTGAAGAAAGAAGCCAGGCGCTTCTTCCGGATCTCCCACATGGGTGGCAGGGGCCCAAGCACTTCAGTCATCCTCTGCTGCTTTCCCAGGTGCATCAGCAGGGAACTGGATCTGAAGTGGAGCACCCTTGACTTGAACCGGTGCCCATACATGCCAGAGCCACAGGCAGGTAGCTTTACCTGCTACACCACAGCGCCGGCCCACAAAACTGCATTTTCTAAACTACTTGTCAGCCAAGGATTTATAGAGATAATTTTAAATCAGTGTATCAAAATCAAAACACCGTTAGGTACTTACCCTATCAAAGCCCATAGCACATAGGTTTTCTATTTTTTTGGTGTATTCTGGACTAGACACTGGTGCTCCAGCATACACATGCGCCCACAGCCGAGCTGTCTGTTTGAACATTTCAGGATTTTGTTTGTACTGCAAGGGGGAAAAGTTGACTAAAATGACAATACGGTCATAGCATACAATACTGTAACTCAGTTCTCAACTGCCTACAACCCTGCTTGTAACAAATAAAATTTATATTTAAAATGTGGTTTCACTTCCCATCATAAACTATGTTACTCATGAAAAGACTGTTTAACCTGAAGTTTTAAATTCAAAGTTGTACTGACGAAAGAAAAGTAAAGCTAATCTACTTTAAAAATTTAACAAATTAGCAAAAAATTAACTATCAGAAATGTTACACAGTACAACAAACACTATACAACTATACACAGAATTAGTAGCTTATAAAATTAAAATCAGATTTTGCTCCTGTCCCAGAGCTATATTAATGTATGTGATTTAAGGAAACCTCACATGCAAAGTCCTAATGTATAATACACACTTTGGAATAATTGCAAACTCAAGAGTACTTTCAGAAGTTAAGACTTTTCACAGGCAATGGAAATACATTTATTCTCAAAATATTCTAGAACCCTCATTTCTTAGTAAAGCAAAGTATAAATGAACACCAACCATTTCATTTAGTCAAACATTTATCTTTAAGGTATTTTATAGATTTTGAATATGTTAATACTGAAAAGCTTCTACTGCTTATTAAAAGCGTAAATGCAATTTCTATCATTAATTCCTAACAATTAAGTAAGTCAAATTATTGGACAATTTTAGGAACTAAGGTAATCCTTGTAGTATAAACTTTAGCCTGTGGGCTTAGAATTCAATAGGAAATCAAAGCTAGAATTCAGAAAACAGAAAGCTATAATTACCAGCAATCTGTTGACAACTCATTGAACATACTAAGAAGGGGGTATACATAAAACAAGGAGTGAACAGATCTTCAAGAGAAAGGAAAAGTTTCTAGAAGAGATAATTTGTAAATTAAAATCTTAAAGGATAAAGAAATTCAGTTTCCTCAGAGAGGAAACATGGCAGAGTGGATAAAATGATTAAGTAAAAATTAATGCAAACTTGAAAAAGCGTGCTTTGAAAAACAAGAATTCAGAAGATGAAGCTTAGTGTGCTGACACTGCAAATCATGTAGGAACTGCCACTGAAAGAAGAAGAGGAGAAACAGAGGAACTAACATGGAACCACCTTGAAGACAGGAACACAAGAGGGCAGTGTATTAGAAAAGGAAAAACAACGAACACTCAGTAAACCGTAAGGGCTGACATTCCCCTCCCCCAGGCACCCGTTATTTTAAACTTCAGGCATTTCATAAACAGAACTTCAGGAACAGTGACTGTTCCCACCATACCTGCGCTCCCACCCACACTCCCACCCCCTTCTCCCTCTCCTATTCCCCTTATTTTAAAGGGCCAGATACTAATCATTTAGTGCTTTCAGACGACAGTCTCTGTTCACCGCTGCCCCTGGAGTGGGAAAGCAGAGTAAGCAAAATGGTGTGGCATTATTTCAATCAAGTATTGGCAAAACTTAATTCGCTGATCCCTTGCCTTAGAATGATCAAAGAGCAGAACTGAAAAATATTTCTTCCATTTGTCAAATTACAAGGCCACGGCCATGCCACTTTGAAGCCCTGGTAGGAAGTGACTGAAATGATCACCAGGGAGAGATCTGCACTGAACAGAAGGAAGGACAGGTGCACAGAGGCACAGAGGGTCATGTATGAAAAATGGGAATCAGGTATGGATGCTCATCATATAATTCTTTTGACTTTAACATTTTTATATATTAAGAAAACAGTCTCCACCACATAAACCTGTAAACTAGTATGTTAATCAATAAATGTTCATCTTTACATCTGACAAATCTTACTACAAGAAAGGACACCTTTTCCAAATTCAGTTCCAATAGAATATGTTCATGTGTTAACACCGCAAACCACAGAAGTACAGACTCATCTATGTGTATAAGAAAATCTTTCAGAAGCAGCCATCGTACCTGATTTGCTACTACTGCATCTTGTGGGTCATCTGGTTCTGCAGCTGCCAATAGTGCTTGCAATGACAACAATACTGTGCGGAGAGTCATTGCTGCTGCCCTAAAATAAGAAAATATACCAGTTAGGAAGCCTGTGTTTTGTGAGGCAAAATGGATATGATCTGAATAAAACATAAACCACCAGCAACTTTTTATCTTAATTACAAAGTTAGGGAAATTTACTTTTTTTTTTTTTTTTTTTGACAGGCAGAGTGGACAGTGAGAGAGACAGGTGCTTCTCCTGGTCTCCCATGGGGTGCAGGGCCCAAGGACCTGGGCCATCCTCCACTGCACTCCCTGGCCACAGCAGAGAGCTGGCCTGGAAGAGGGGCAACCGGGACAGAATCCAGTGCCCCGACCGGGACTAGAACCCAGTGTGCCAGAGCCGCAAGGCGGAGGATTAGCCTAGTGAGCCGTGGCGCCGGCCCTAAAAGAATCTTTAAATGTAAAGTTTTTGAGCTGAACCCAAATCAATTATAAGCAATGACACTGTCTTAAGAATGAATTAAGAAAAGTAATACCAAAATAAAACCTATTCTTATGACACCAATCTTTTATGTTATTAAAAAAAAAAGGCATAGAAAGCTTTGGACTGCTCTACATATATTTTATTATCTTTTTTAAAGATTTATTTATTTGAAAGGCAGAGTTACAAAGAGGCAGAGGCAGAGAGAAAGAGAAGTCTTCCATCTGCTGGTTCACTACCCAGATGGCTTCAACAGCTGGAACTGTGCCAATCTAAAACCAGAAGCCAGGAGTTTCTTCTGGGTCTCCCACGCAGGTGCAGGGGCCCAAGGACTTGGGCCATCTTCCACTGCTTTCTCAGGCCATAGCAGAGACCTGGATCAGAAGTGAAGCAGCCAGTACCCGAACCGGCGCCAATATGGGATGCCGGCACTGCAGGTGACAGCTTTACCTGCTACGCCACAGTGCCAGCCCCTCTACATTAATTTTAAAATATAAGTAATGTGGAAAAGTATGCAACTGAAAACCTTTTTATTCCATTAATTCTTTTCACAAAGTACTGATTAAATCCATGGTATACTGAGATTTTTAGTATTCAGTGATAATAGTTTAAATCTATTAAAATAAATCCTAATAGCAAAGAAGAAAATGAAATTTGGGGCTGGCTTTGGATTGGCACAGCTCCAGCTGCTGTGGCCATCTGGGGAGTGAACCAGCAGATGTTAAGACCATTCTCTCTCTGTGCCTCTGTCTCTCTGTAGCTCTGCCCTTCAAATAAAGGTGTTAACTTTTATTAATTAGTAGATGATACAAGTCAGTAAAAGATAAATCTAAAGTATTAATACTGCTCAAATTGATAAGCATAGCCAATATGGGTACTTATTTATTCACAAAGTACTCAATAAAGTCTTACAATAACCATCTAACTGTTCATATTGTTGACCGACTTTTCTGTTAAGGATCTTCCAGAAGATCAAAAATTAACCCACGTTCATTCCAAACAATTCTACATGAAGAGAATGGTGTTTGTTTTGTTACAATTGGTTAAGTATAAGAAGAGTAAAATGCTGTACAGCCAGATGGATTTTTATGCATGTCTATGTCCATGTAACCATATGGATCAAAATGTAGAGTACTTCTAACATTGAAAAGCCTCATTCCTCTCCCTCTCCAACTCCTGCCTACACACACCAATGCCCTAATTCCCACCACCATAAATTAGTTGTGGCTTATCTTGAATTTCAAAAAAAGCTAACCATACAGTATATCTTCTTGTGTGTCTGGCTTTTGTCACTCAACATATCTGTGAAAATAATCCATACTGTTTCTGTCAATAGTGTGCTTGACTTTACTGCTCTTTAGTGTTCCATTGTATGATTATACTCAATATACTGATTCTCTTGTTGATAAGTCATTTCAGTTATTTCCAGGTGTATTCTGCTGCGTGTATTCTTATGTAAGTGTTTTTGCATTTCTCTTCGACATATATCTAAGAGTAAAACTGCTGAGCTACCAAAGTTTTATGTTTCACTTTGGTAGATACTACTGGTTTTAAGTGGCTGAGCCACATTCCTACCAGCAATGTATGAGGGATGCAGATGTACAGGTACACAGTGGTATCCAATTGTCACTTTAATTTGCATTTGCATTTTCCTGTTGACTAATGAGGTAGAGAACAGCTTACTGACCACATCTAGATGTTCCCACAGCAAAGTATCTGTTCATACCTTTAGGAAGGGCAGGATTACTAAGTGCAATTTTTATAGTCTCACTTTTCCCCTTCAATCATAACAGGTATCAGTGGAAATCATCAGAATTAGCTTCTGGAAATTAGCTTAGGGAAAGTTGTGGAACTAAGAAATGTTACACTAAGTAAGTTGTTAGATTAATAATAAATTAGTACCCCAACATGCATCAACAAAGACCAAGATTAAATCAATTTACATTCTAGCATGTCTGTACCAAATTACTTAATGTTTACATAATTTATTCTTCCTAAAGATTATGAGATTAAATAAACAAACAAAACAAACAGGTACAGAATCATAAAGATTTATTTATTTATTTAAAAGCAGGGGTGGGGGGCCGGCGCCGCGGCTCACTAGGCTAATCCTCCGCCTAGCGGCGCCGGCACACCGGGTTCTAGTCCCGGTCGGGGCGCCGGATTCTGTCCCGGTGGCCCCTCTTCCAGGCCAGCTCTCTGCTGTGGCCAGGGAGTGCAGTGGAGGATGGCCCAGGTGCTTGGGCCCTGCACCCCATGGGAGACCAGGAGAAGCACCTGGCTCCTGGCTCCTGCCATCGGATCAGCGCGGTGCGCCGGCCGCGGTGGCCATTGGAGGGTGAACCAACGGCAAAAGGAAGACCTTTCTTTCTCTCTCTCTCTCTCTCTCTCTCACTGTCCACTCTGTCAAAAAAAAAAAAAAAAAAGGCAGGGGTGGGGTGGCAGACCGAAAGAGATCTTCTATCCACTGGTTCACTCCCCAAATGACTGCAATGGTCTGGGCTAAGTCAAGCTAAAGCCAGGAGCTCAGAAATTCCATCTGGGTTTACCATGTGGGTGGCAGGGGTTCAGGCACTTGGGCATCTTTTAGTGCTTTCTCAGGGACCTGGATCAGAACTGAAGCAGCCAGAACTCCAACAACGCTCACATGGAATGCTGATGTTGCAGCTGGCCGACAGCTTAACTCGATGTGCCACAACACTGGCCCCTGCCCTGCACTTTTCAGTTCCAGTTCTAAAGCCTAGATACTGACATTTAAACATGTGTATCTACCAAGTGTCAACTGTACCTCAGTGTGGGGCTAGCACTGTGGCACAGGAAGCTACGCATCCCAAATGGGCACTGGTTCCAATCCCAGCTGTTCCACTTCCCATCCAGCTCCCTGCTAATGTGTCTGGGAAACCAGCAGTGGATGACCAAAGTCCTTGGGACCCTGTCACCCATATGGGACACCTGGATGGAGTTCCAGTCTCCTTGCTTCAGCCTGGCCGAGTCCTGGCCAGAGGCCATTTTGGGGAGTAAATCAGCAAATGAAGACCTCTATCTACCCCACTTTAATTTTACCTTTCAAATAAATAAAATCTGTTTTTTAAAAACTATGTCTCAGTAAAGTTGGGGGTGAGGGCTGATTCTTTAAATATCTACTTCCATCTATTTTATCTGATATTTTTGGCATCACATAATATTTCAATCATATAGATATCTTTTAATATTTCAACTAGGCCGGCGCCGCGGCTCACTAGGCTAATCCTCCGCCTAGCGGCGCCGGCACACCGGGTTCTAGTCCCGGTCGGGGCGCCGGATTCTGTCCCGGTTGCCCCTCTTCCAGGCCAGCCCTCTGCTGTGGCCAGGGAGTGCAGTGGAGGATGGCCCAGGTGCTTGGGCCCTGCACCCCATGGGAGACCAGGAAAAGCACCTGGCTCCTGGCTCCTGCCATCGGATCAGCGCGGTGCACCGGCCGCAGCGCGCCGGCCATTGGAGGGTGAACCAACGGCAAAGGAAGACCTTTCTCTCTGTCTCTCTCTCTCACTGTCCACTCTGCCTGTCAAAAAATAAATAAATAAATAAAAATATTTCAACTAGTTCAACTTGTTCTCAGGAACAAGAAGAGTTCATAAAAAAGCTTTGAGATAAGAATAATTCAAGTTCTCTCCCTATATACACACCACACTCTTTCAACAAGCTATAGGGAGACAGGAAGTAGTAGTGCAATCAGCAAAAAGGGAAGTCAGGTAGCTTTGCTTGTGTTTTGGGAGAACGGGTGGGTGTTCATTCTAGCTACCGAAAACAGCCTGAGTAAGGCAGAAGCAGAAGCAGAAAAAGGGAGGCAGGGTATTACAATCATCCAGGCAAGCGGTAGCACAACATGGACCACAGTGGAGCAGTGAAACATCTGATAAGATTGTACAGGTTCTACCAAAAGACTTGCAGACAAACTTCTGGGTATCAGAGAAACAACGGTGAAAGATCAAGATGAGGTTTTGGCCTACAACTAAGAAAGTAGCTGCCAATGACTTAGATGGGGAAGCCAATATAAAGATTAAGCAGGTTTTAGGTTAGAGGACAATCAGTTCAGTTTTTTGATGTGTGAGATGGTTATTTACATATTCAAATTAGATAATAAACAGGCAGCCGAATGAATCTGGGGCTTAAGAAATTTGTGAGCTGCCAGTATTTAATGAGGTCATTATACAATCAGATGAATTTACCAAGGAAGTGAGTGTGATTAGAAAGGAGCAAGCCCAGGGCCAGCGCTGTGGCGCAGTAGGTTAATCCTCTGCCTGCAGTGCTGCCAACCCATATGGGTGCCGGTTCTAGTCCCGGCTGCTCCTCTTCCAGCCCCGGCTGCTCCTCTTCCAGTCCAGCTCTCTGCTATAGCCTGGGAAAGCAGTACAAGATGGCCCAAGTCCCTGGGCCCCTGCACCTGTGTGGGAGACCCGGAAGAGGCTCCTGGCTTCAGATCGGCCCAGCTCTGGCCGTTATGGCCATTTGGGGAGTGAACCAGCAGATGGAAAACCTTTCTCTCTGTCTCTCTCTCTCACTGTCTGTAACTCTACCTCTCAAGTAAATACATAAAATCTTAAAAAAAGAAAGAAAAGGAAAGAACAAAAAAGGAGCAAGCCTTATTCCTTAGGCATTGTAATGTGCAAAATTCCAGGAGATAAAGGAGGAGCCAGTTAAGCAATCTGGGAGTGGACATAGGAAGAGGAGTATAGAAGAGCTGATATCCTGGAAGCCAACAGAACCTCTCTAATATGGAAGAAGATAAAGTTAAGTTTAACCTACTTTTTTCAGGAATACAGATCAAGAAACAAGGGGCAGGCATTTGGCTCAGTGGTTGAGACACAGCTTAGGAGGCTCACATCCCACACAGCAATGCCTGGGTTCCGTGCCCAATACCAGGCCTTGACTCCAGCTTCCTGCCAATGCAGACCCTGCAGGCACCAGCAGTGATGGTTCAAGTAATTGAGTCCCTGCCACCCATGTGCGAGACCTAGACTGAATCCTGGCTTCAGTTCAACCTAGGCCCAGCTGATGGAGGTATTTGGGGGTGAACCAGTGGATGAATGGGAGCACTCTTTTTGTCTGTTGCTCTGCCTCTCAATAAGGAAATAATTTTTTAAAAATTCCATTACTGACAAAAATACATAATTTTCTGAAGATCAGGGAGCCAGGCTGGACCCACTAAATAATAGTCTTGGCTCTATGTGCTCTTACGAAATGTTGCTCTATTTTCTTCTGCTATTCCCTCTCTTGTAAAAGAGTAAAATCAGAGGAAAAGATCATAACACACATTCACTCAATCTCTTCTAATTTTGTTTTTTCCTACTCTAATGTCATTTCCTACCTCCTCAGTTTTTCCATCAGTATAATCATATGCTACATAAGTAACACCTATCTTTTATCTACACCACCACCACCACCATTTTTATCAATTAGACTGTGATAGGCTCTAAGAGAATTACATAAAAAACAACTCATTTAATGTTCTCAATCCTGTGAAGCAGGTATTAATCCAATTTTACGAATGATGGAACTAAGGCACACAAACATTACATTTTGCTCAAAACCACACAGCATAATTAATGGAAGAGCCAGAATTTGAACCTCATGCTGCTAAGATCAAACAATTTACATGGAAGCCCTATAAAGTGCTATGCAAATGAAGTGCTCACCGATAAGGGTACCTCTTTCTCAGTTAACACAACTTCTAAAAACTTTGTTGCTTATACTCCATCTGAATGGGAGATGACTATTTTAATATTTATTTTTTTAAACTGTCATAGATATCTTCCTGAGATAGCAAAGATACAAATTCAACAAAACAAATTAAATCTAAAACTTTCCAAAATATAAAGCTAGCCTTTGACATTGCCTAACAAATCTCTACTTAAAGAGATTATGAGCTCAACTGTAACACATTTTCAACTGAAACTTTATAAAGTTATCAACCCAAAGAAATAAAGTATAATGAGACTTTTGTTTTGACACAATTACACACTAAACACTCTTTATAAGATTGGTATTTCTATGAGAGGAGAGAGGGTAAATTCAAAATGTCTTACCATTGATCTTTCAGGATATCCAAACAAATAGCCCCTGTGACGGAACTAATATTAGGATGCCATATTTTAGTGATAAACCGGACCTGAAATATAAAGCACACTTGGGTTTTTAAGCAACAGAAATAAAACATAATATTTAAATAGAACTATCATAAAATTAAATCCCTAGATTATCAGTGCAGGGAAGTGCATGCAGTAAATGGCTTTAACACTTCTAATTATGTGTAGATTATTGTTTTCTAAACATTTTTCAAAATAAGTTAAAGGAATGGCACTGTAGCACAGTGCGTAAAGCCACTGCCTGCAGTGTGCTGGCATTCCATATGGGCCCTGGTTTGAGTCCGGCTGCTCCACTTCCGATTCAGCTCTCTGCTATGGCCAGGGAAAGCAGTAAAAGATGGCACAAGTCCTTGGGCCCCTGCATCTGTGTCGGAGACCCAGAAAAAGCTCCTGGCTTCAGATCAGCACAGCTCCGCCTACTGCGGCCATCTGGAGAGTGAACCAGCAGATGGAAGACCTCTCTCTTTCTCTCTGCCTCTGCCTCTCTGTAACTCTACCTTTCAAACATATAAATGAATCTTTAAAAAAATTTAAGACGTTTGAAGACCTATTCTAACATGCCAGGGACTAAGGAGATACTAAAACTTAAGAGCTTAAGAAACTTAGCCAAAACCCAAAGCTAGTTAGTAATATGGTGCAAAAGGCAAACACACAATCTGATTTCAGATTCAGTCTCTATTTGTCTTAGTATGGAAGAATAAACCAACAAGTGAAAAAGCTAACTCTATGAGACCACCAGGAAATAAAATCTAGTCCATCAGCTCTTACTCATGAGCTTCTGGAGGACATTATGATTATCATTATTTCTGACACACATGTTAGAAACTAACTGAATCCAAATTCTTTAACATTTAACAGATTAAATTTAATATGCCAAGTAATATTTTAAGTACTTTACAAGCTATTTATGGAAAAAAGACAAATAGCTTCCATTTCTCTCTTATACATGTGACTTGATTTGTCTGCTCTACTTCCTTACCTCCTATTTTCTCACTAATTTACATTCAATCTGAAAAAGGACTGTAAGTCACCGATGACTTCAGAACATGTAAAACTAATGGACACTCTCCACTCCTTCATATAGCTTGTTTGATCCTCTTTTATTCTTAAAACCTTACTATGTTCAATGATACCTATTTCTCTCCACAGAAACATTGTCTCATTCAAGGAGACTAACATTTCTTCCCCTGGGTCACCAGTCTCAGGACTTGACCACTTTCTGTTCTGCATTCTCAAACAATGAAATTTTAAAAAGCCTTTAAGATAAATCTGCTTTGTTTCACCACTCTGCTTAAGACACTTTAAAGATCTCTCATTCCATTTATATGAGTACTTTAAAAAAAATAAAAGATTATTTATTTGAAAGACAGAGTTACAGAGACAGGCAGAGACAAAGAGAGATCTTCCATCCCAAATGGCAGAAATGGCTGAAGCTGAGCCAATCCAAAGCCAGGGAGTTTCTTCCGAGTCTCCATGAGGGTGCAGGGCCCAAAGAATTGGGCCATCCTCCACTGCTTTCCCAGGCTATAGCAGAGAGCTGCACCAGAAGTGGAGTAGTCGGGATTCAAATTGGTACCCAAATGGGATGCCACAATACAGTCCAGGGCTTTTAACCTGCTGCACCGCAGCACCGGCTCCAAATGTGTACTGTTAACCTCAGCCTAACCCTCAAATCTCAGTTTTCATCCCACCATATACTCCATTCTTGCATTCAAATAGTCATATTCAAAATTTTGCCTCTGGCCCTTCATGTACGCTTATCACCTCAGTAACACAGCTCTATGCCCTCTTCCCTGGCTACCCCTACTTATCTTTCAGTCCCTTCTTCCTGACCTGTTCTCACAGTACCCTGTACTCATCTACATCGTAACACTGATCACACATTAGTCTCCTCTAAAAAGCACTACATCCATCCTGCTCACAAGAGCATTCCAAGTCATCTAAGAGTATCTCATTATGCAATGTGCACCTAACATTACAGAAAACATATTATTGGGCTAAACAGTATCACTAAACACAGTGCACTTCCAACTTTTGCAACAGTCAAAACAGAACTTTTGTACTACAAACCACAAAATTTCACATTGTGATATTTTATCATTTACTGAGTTCAATGTACATATGCTGTAATTTCATTAACTTAAGGAGACAGTAGCATTTTACAAATTTAAAATAAGGTGCTTTGGTATTTTCAACAAGACTGGAAAACAGAATTTTAAATTATTACTAAAGATGTCAGAAGGTTTACAATTTAGGCAATTAAGAATATGTAAACTGTACCTTTAAAAAAATAGGTATATTTATGCATACAGACACACATGAAAAAATCCAACAAATATCAAAATGAGGGAAATATTAAACTAATTCTCACACTGTTCATAATCTCCAATTAGAAATAAGTAATTCTGGGGACCTGCCCTGTGGCACTACAAGTTAAACTGCTGCCTGAAGCACCCATTTCAAATGGGCACCATTTCAAGTCCTGGCTGCTCCACTTCTGATCCAGCTTGCTGCAAATGTGCCTGGGAAAGCAGCAGAAGATGGTTCTAATGCTTGGGTTCCTGCAACCACGTGGGAAACCCAAATGAAGCTCCTGGCTTTGGCCTATCGTAATGCGGCCATTTGGGTAATAAACCAGCAGATGGTGTGTGTGTGTCTGTCTGTCTGTCTCTCTCTCTCCTCTCTAACTCTGCAAGTCTGATTTTCAAATACATAAATCAAAACAAATCAACAAAAAAGCAGCAATTCAGAACTTACAGATGGCTCACTAAAGAGATTAATCTTCAAGGTAACTCTACACTACCCGCCACTACATATCAAATTAACAAGCTTCAAGCAATTTTGGTGCAGTCTACTCCTCTTTTACCAGCTCTTTCTTTCTTTTTGGTTGTTCTTTACCATCAGTTACTTGCTCTAAGAGGGATTTCACTTCTTTCTCTGCAGTACTCAAGGTTTACTGTTACCAATTAGTACTCACAAGCATCCTAATAAAATACTGTCCTATTATTCTACACCCAGCTCATACCCACTGTGTTCCAACACTGTCTCTCATAGTACTAGCTACCATCCCTGTCCTTTATCAACAACAATGCAAAATCAAAATAATTTGGAAGGGATGAAGTATATGAGCAAGTAACAATACAATTACACTTATAATGATTACTAGAGTCATATTTGATTCTGATTACAATGCATAGCATGTGGTTTACAATATTAAAATAATAACAATCCAAGTCTTCTTATTTTGGAACTTCAGAGCACTCAACAACTTTAGACAAAACTAAAGGAATAAAATAAAAACCTAAACACTGTACACCATAGACACTAAATGTTACCAGAGACTATTCTTAATCATCTCTATGGGTAAACCCATCAGAGTACTTATCTCTTCCAGCGGAATGCATCCTGCATTTCATTCACAAACATTTCAGTTCCTACTTCATGGCAGATATGTATTCATATTCCCATTTGGAATTTCCAGTTTTAAGACTGGAACTCAAGATTATTTCATAACTAAATAAGTTTTAACTCACTTACTGTACAAAAGAACATGCTACTTTAAAGATGCATGCACAGATATGTATTAAATAAGATTATCAGCATTAGTATATACACTTAACTTCACATATAAAAGTATGTATAAAATACCAAAATTCACAACTAATCTCCAATATGTAATAAGACAAACCACTGTGCTGGAGTTTTACTATTTTAATGGCTTTTTCATTAATGTAAGTTACAATTTAGAAATAATACTGGCTGTATACAATCAAGTTCCTCTTATACCATTTTCAGCAGATCAAAGGTATACTTTCTGTTCGAAAGAAAACCTAATGACCTGCTGGTCAATAATTTACAGCAGAATATATTAAAAGGAAATATTTTTGTGATCATGTTAAGATCAATAATAAAATAATAATAATAATATCAATCAGTTTTCAACTGATTCTTAAACTTTAGCTGCATAGTACAACAGCCTTTCTTATCTGTGGGTAATACATTCCAAGACCTCCAGTGGAAGCCCAAAATCTTGGACAATATTGAACCCTAAACATACACAGCAATAATAATGTTTAATTTGTGAGTCAGGCATGATAAGAGATTAACAATAACTGGTAATAATATAATTATCAACTACTTAAAACATAAATCACTTCTGGAATTTTCCATTTAATATTTTCAGACCTTGGCTGACTATGGGTATCTGAATCCAGGGAATGCAAATCAAAGATTAGCAAGGATTGCTGTAATATGTCAAAAGTATCTAAAACAAAGCAAAGACTAAGCAACTACTCTGAGCTTATGGACTATGAAGGCTATACTTTTACTTAATCACTAAAAAGTATGCAACTTCCTATTTTCTAGTATATTCACAGACTTGTGCAACCATCTCTACAACCTAATGTGTCATCGTATTATCACCTCAAAAGAATCTTTGTAACCATCAGCAGCCACTTCCCATCCTCTTATCCCCATGTATTTGCCCTTTCCAATGTTTCTGATAAATGAAGTCATACAATGGGGTGGCCTTTTGTGTCTGGTTTCTTTAGCATAATGAATTTTATATTCATCTATACTGTAGTATTTATCAGTTCTTTATTATTTTTATAACCAAATAATACTGCATAATACCATATTTCACTTACCTATTCATCCATTAACGAACATTTTGGTTACTTTCACTTTTTGTCTATTATGAGTACTTTTAATTTGAGTTAATACTACTGAATTTTAAAATGGTGTTAGAGTAAGCTAACCAACTATTGTGGGAAGGGCCTCTGAAGTGTAGTCATTGGTTACTGATAGTAAACAGTTATTCTGTTTAAGTATTGTGTTTCATTAAATCTCAGGACAGGACAGGCCTAACAGTTAAGTCGTCAGCCCAGCACCACTTATCAGAGCACATGGATTTGAGTCCTGGTCCAACTTCAATTCCAACCTCCCTGCTAGTAATCCATACCCTGGGAGGTAGCCCAAACAAGCTCTGCTATCCATGCGGGAGACCCAGATTCAGTATTCAGGAATACCGGCTTCACCTTGGCCCAGCTCTGACTGTTATGGGCATTTGGGAAGTGAACCAACAGATGGGACTTCTCCATTCCTCTGCCTCTCAAATAAAGATTTTTGGGGCTAGTGCCGTGGCGCAGTAGGTTAATTCTCTGCCTGTAGCACTGGCATGGACGCCAATTCTAGTCCCGGCTGCTCCCTTCCAATCCAGCTCTCTGCTATGGCCTGGGAAAGCAGTCCTTGGGCCCCTGCACCCGTGTTGGAGACCCGGAAGAAGCTCCTGGCTCCTGGCTTTGGATCGGCGCAGCTCTGGCCGTTGTGGCCTTTTAGAGAGTGAACCAAGAAACGGAAAACCTTTTTCTCCCTCTCACTGTCTGTAACTCTACCTCTCAAATAAATAAATAAAATCTTTCCCTCACAAAAAAGATTTTTAATTAAAAAAAAAAAAAAAAAACAACTCAGGACCATCAATTATTAAGGGGCTGTGAGGACCATGTGGACTGTGAGGGGCCGGCGCTGTGGTGTAGTGGCTAAAGCCACCACCTGCAGTGCCAGCATCCCATATGGGCGCCAGTTCAAGACCTGGCTGCTCCACTTCTGATCCAGATCTTTGCTATGGCCTGGGAAAGTAGTAGAAGATGGTCCAAGTCCTTGGGTCCCTGCACCTGCGTGGGCAACCTCGAAGAAGCTCCTGGCTCCTACCTTCAGAGGGGCACAGCTCCAGCCTTTGCAGCCAATTGGGGAGTGAGCCAACAGATGGAAAAACCACTCTCTCTCTCTGCCACTCCTTCTGTGTAACTCTGACTTTCAAATAAATAAATAAATCTTAAAAAAAAAAAAAAAGACACCATGATTTTATGTACCCCTTGATGGAAAAAAAGAACACTCTGCCAATTAAATGATGACACATACCACCCACTAAAAGATACATCCTGATTTCAGAAATGTTACAAATAAAAAAGAAAGTTTCACAGAATTACTAAATATGGTTTTTTACATGGATTGTTTCCTTTAATATTTATAATCCTATGAGAAAATTTATATATGAGGAACTGAGACATACAGAGGTTAAATAACTTAACTAAGTTATAGTCAGTTATATGGATGATGTAAGATTTGAACTCTGGTTGATTTTTCTTAAGAGAGTCAAATCCACAGTTCAGAGATTTTTTTTTTCTCTTTCTTACCAAGATCAAGAAAAGAGAGCCCCATATTTTACACAGGCTACCAACATCTCATAGAATCTGGATTCTTTTTAACTCCTAAGTCTCAGTTTTCTCATTAATAAGGGCTTTCAGGAAAAGGCCTATAAAATTCTGAGCACAAATCAAGTAAAATATTATCACTTTTAAAATTTTTATTTGTTTATCTGAAATGCAGAAAGACAGAAAGAAAGCATCCATATTGTACTGCCTGGGATCAACGACCAACTCTGTCAGCCTGAGTCCAGGTTCCTGCTGATGTGAATCCTGCAAAGACAGCAACGCTGGCTCAAGTAACTGGGCTTCTGCCACCCACACTGGAGACCTAGAATAGGTTCTCAGCATATGGATGCATCCAGGGAGTGAACTAGCTGCTGAGAGCTGTTTATCTAATTAAATACTGAAAGATCTATGGTCACTGACAGTAGTCTTTCCAGAGTTTTTTTTTTTTCTTTTTCCTCATTTGCATTAAACAAAATAAAAATGCCAAATGTCATCAACAGCTGAGTGGACAAATTCTGGTCTATTTATGCAAGGGTACTTCAAAACATTCATGGGAAAATGGAATTAATTAAAAGTTTATTTTGGTGCAAAAAATTTGGAAATTGCTTACATGAAAAATTTAAAAATGTCATGGAAACTGCATATTACGAAACAACTATAATGCATACCTAACCTTAAGAATGGTTTAAATAGTATATTTTATCATAATTTTTAAAACCACCAGGCTCATCCTAAAATAGCCTTACATAACCAACAGAATCACAACCACCCTGAACTTCAGGGCAAGTGATGCAAAATCACCTTGGAACTTCCATCACTATATTCTTAAATATGAACAACCAATAGGTTCAGTGAATGGATTTCAGAACATTTTCTGAGTGACATTATATGCTCAATGGAAACTACACTATTAAGAGCTACAGATAATATACAGGTTATGTAAGGCATGGTGCTGGACTCAGGTGCATAAAATCTTTTAAAATATTTACTCAACATAATACATGAAATGTTACTTAAAACATTATTGAGAGTAGGAGAAACATCTGATGGGCACAGCTTAAGGAACAAAGTAATACTTTACCCAGAACTCAAAAGCAAACAAGAATTTTCAATAACAGAGGCAAAGATTCAGGCGAAAATGACAGAAAGGCATGGAAAAATAAGCAGTATCTACAAACAGCAAATAATATAGCCTAAAAAATAAGACCCATGTTGTGGGTAGAGGTGCTAGAAGATTAAGGTGGAAAAGGAGATTGTGGTCAGGTTGCATGAGGTTTTAAATGACAAGCTAAGAAGTTTAAACTTTATTAACAGGGAAATAAAAGAAACATGATCAAAACTATAAACATATCTGCAAGACAGCAATGCAAACAATGAGGAGTGGCAAAGATGGAAGGGTTATTAATAATAAGAAAAACAGGGAATAAAGATGATTGCCTAAACTAAAGTGATGGCACCAAAAATAGAGACACAAAGGAAGTGGTTCCATTAAAAAAAATAAGTTTAGGTTCGGTTCCTCTGTTATTCATAATTTCATATTATGTTATTCATATTTCTCTGTTATTCATATTTCATTTCCTCTTTAACATTCATCATTGTTGCAATTACTTGCTTAGTTTTCTTCCTTGCTAGAATGTGAGCTCCATGAGAGGAAGGACAGTCTAAGTCTTACTGCTATACTCATTGGTACATAGTACTCAAAGAACTGTTGAATGAGTGTAGAATACACACTTCCCTAAAATACACCATTCTTTTTTGAGCCAAGTAAGAACTTCTCTCCAAGTGTACCAAGGCTCCCTAAATTTGTGATCACTGAAGTTTTTCCAGATCTTGTATTTGAGCCACTGTCAGATGCACATCTTACTTCAGTCTACAGCCAATACTGGCCTTTTGAGTAAGTCTACTTTTCATTCTAATTTCAGAAATAAGCCATCTGCCATTCCCTGAAATCCTGTCCACTTAAGGTTACACAGTTAAACAATTCAAAAATCCTTAACTTTAATAAACCCTGAAATGTGTATTAACTGAGTCAAGAAACGTTTTTGAAGTTCATGCATAAAAATAAGTCTTACAATACCTTAGGGGGATTAAATGGGTATGTTTCTGGTATTTTTATCTCTAGTTGATATCTTCCTCCTAAAAAATGGGGAAAAGAGAAAGTTAAGAATGCTGCCCACCTTAAATATGTGAAGCTTGATATAGTGATAAAACTTCCATTATTTTATACTCAATTATAACAAAATAAAGTTGAAACCCAAACAGAAAATAACCAAGGGCATTAGTTTTTAATTTAAAAGTTATTTAAAGTACACAGAATACCCATATCATATAACTGTAATAGTTTTTAGTAAGTAATAGGGCTAGAGTTAGATGAATACATTAAATCCACCGACAATTCAATTTCCAAGATTCCTTCAGGACAATTAACTAATATGGGTTCTGTCTCCTTTTTTTTCCTCTAGGCCACTCTGGTTAAGAGTTGCTAAATAATAGAAAAATGGGAAGAAAAAGAACACGGAAAGAAGGCAAAGAGGTATGAAGGCATAAATAATATAGACAGATTATGACATAAGCCAAAAAATAAAAATAAAAAAGACATCTTTAGCTGGTTTTCTCAAATACAAGTGTCCCAATCTTTTAATTTGTGCCCTAAATTAAATGCCAACACTTCTTGTTAAAATTTTAAAACTAGGGACAGGTGTTTTGGTCTAGTAGTAAACTACTAAAGATGCCAGCGTCCCATATAGGAGTACTTGGGTTCAATACATGGTTCTGACTCCTGACTTCAGCTTCCAGGGATGCGGACTCTGGAAGGCAGTAGTAATGGCTCAAATAACTGGGTTTCCCACCACCCGTGTGAAATACTTGGACTCAGTTTCTAGCTCCCCGTTTCTGCTGACCTGGCCTAACCCCAGCCATTGCAGGAACCTGGGGAGTAAATCAGCAGATGGGAGTGCTATGTGTATCTGTCTCTGTGCGTGTGTCTCAAATATTTAAAATAACAAATGAATGTTTTAAACTGGAACTCAACAATAAGAAACTGACTTACAGACCAAAAACTATCCTCTTCTTTTAAATGGGTAAACAGAACGCAAAACTTTACAAAAAGAAGTTATTGTAACCAATAATAAACACAAGGCAATATTCTGTTTTGCTCTGAAGTTATGTTGAAGATCTAGCAGCTAAATAGGCATTAAAAAAAAAGCAGCTTATCTAGGTTCCCAAAAAGGCCACTCAGAAAACTGACACGGGAAGTCTTACATGGGATAAGATGCTGGATTGGCGGGGCCAGCACTGTGGTGTAGCAGGTAAAGCCGCTGCTTGCGATGCCAGCATCCCATATGGGCACTAGTTCATTTCCCTGCTGCTCTACTTCTGATCCAACTCCCGGGAAAAGCGGAAGATGGCCCAAGCACTTGGGCAACTACCACTCGTGTGGGAAACCCTGAAGAAGCTCCTCGCTTCAGCCTGGCCTAGCCCCGGCTGTTGTGGCTATCTGGGGAGTAAAACAGTGGATGGAATATCTCTCTCTGGATTTTTTCAATGCTTCAAAATAATTAATGGATGGATAAGATGCTCATTAGTTAAGTTATTTAAGATGGCTGATATATGGGCACCGGGTTCTAGTCCCGGTTGCTCCTCTTCCAGTCCAGCTCTCTGCTGTGGCCTGGGAAGGCAGTGGAGGATGGCCCAAGTGCTTGGGCCCTGCACCTGCATGGGAGACCAGGAGGCACCTGGCTCCTGGCTTTGGATAGGCACAGCGCCAGCCGTAGCAGCCATTTGGGGAGTGAACCAACAGAAAGAAGACCTTTCTCTCTTTCTCTATGACTCTACCTGTCCAAAAAAAAAAAAAGGCTAATACATGGAGGTTTCATTATAACTACTTTTTTGTACATAAACTAAAGTTTCCACAAAAAGAAAATGAAATAAAAACTGTTCTAGGAACATCATCAACTTTATAATTCTATATACTCAGTTCATGAAACAATCAAGCAGGGAACTTTCCTCAGTATATCCTAGATTCTCTCAAATCTACTTTCCCCACTGTTAGAAATGTCTGACTGTGGATCTGGGGAAAATGAAACAACATTCACTTGGTACCACTTTCTTCCAGCCCTTTTTGGTTTCTTCTCATTAATTCTTTTTAGAGTCCCACCACAGTGACTGATGCATGCACTGAATTAGATGCCTGAATTAACAGAACACAGTAACAGTGAAATATACAGAAAAGTTGTCAAAAAGAAGTGGCCAGCATTGTGGCACAGCAGGTTAAGCTACTGCTTGTGACAGGGCTATCCCATTCTCAGTGGCAGTTCAAATCCCAACTGCTCCATTTCAGCTCCAGCTCCTTCCTAATGCAACTGAAAGGGCAGCAGAAGATGGCCCAAGCACCTGGGGTCCTACCACCCATGTGGAAGACCAGGACAGAGTTCCTAGCTCCTGGTTTTCCCAGGCCTAGCCCTGGTTATTGAGGCCACTTGGAAATGAACCAGTGGATGGAGGATGTGTGTGTGTGTGTGCACGTGCACTGATCTGCCTTTCAATTAACTCTTTTAAAAAAGAATGAAGGGTGAAAAGTTTTGTGATTATACAGATGACTGTTTCATGTTCAGAATTATATAAGCTAGCTTCAAATACAGGTATAATACATTTGCTTAAATTCTAGCTTACCACTTCCATTAATCTGTCCTACAAAATTCTTGATTTTTATTGAGTACCTAAAAATCTCTTAGGAGCCCAGAGACAGTATATACTGGACCTGGGGCCGGCACTGTGGCGTAGCAGGTAAAGCTGCTACCTGCAGTGCTGGCATCCCATATGGGTGCCTGTTCAAGTCCAAGCTGTTCCACTTCCAATCCAGCTCTTTGCTATTGCCTGGGAAAGTAGTGGAAGACAGATCAAGTCCTTGGACCTCTGCCCCACATGGGAGACCCGGAAGAAGCTCTAGGCTCCTGGCTTTGGACTGGCACAGCTCCAGCCATTGCAGCCATCTAGGAAGTGAACCAGTGGATGGAAGACCTCTCTCTTCTTGTCTCTCTGCCTCTCCTTCTCTGTGTAACTCTTTCAAAACAAATAAATCTTAAAGAAAAAAAAACAAAAACAAAAACAAAAACAAAAACCTGGGACCCTAGAGTCTCCCAAATCTTATTTTTACTCTGCATGTTATAGGTTCAGTCTTTCATTACCTGACAACTTTCAGTATATAACCACTACAGCGCTACAGCAATGTATCACTTGATGGTGACATGTTCTGAGCTATGTGCCATTAGGCAATTTTGTTGTACAATATCATAGGGTATTCTTAAACTAAGACAATGGGGGATACCACTGGGCAAAATAATCTTAAGGGACTAACTGTGTATAAGGGTCTGTTTGTAGACTAAAACTCTGTTATACAGTACATGTCTATATCTGATCAGGGCAATTCAATTAAGGGATCTCTAAGGTAACTACATTATTCATATTAACAGCTTTCACTATAAAACATTCACTTCAAGAATAGTTTTCTTCCTAAAGATTTATGAATTTGAAAGAGTTACAGAGAAAGAGGAAGAGACAGAGACATAGATAGAGAGGAGGAAGGAGAGAGAGAGAGAGACAGAGAGAAAGAGAATCTTCCATCCACTGGTTCACTCCACCAGATGGCCACAACAGCCCAGGCTGGGCTAGAATGAAGCAAGCAGCCAAGAGTTTCTTCCAAGTCTCCCATGTAGGCAGTAGGGGCCTAAGCACTTGGACCATCTTCTGCTGCTTTCCCAGACCACTGGCAGGAAGAGCAGCAGGGACATAAACAGGCACCCATGTGGGATCCTGGCATTGCAGGTAGCATCTACCTGCTACACCACAATGCTGGCCCCCAAGAATAGCTTTTAACAGTAAAAATTTAGAGTCTAAATTTAACTGAAGTGGGGGGAAGTGTTGGCACAGCACTTAGGCTTCCACTTAGGATGATGTCTGCATCACACTTCCCATATCTGAGTCTGGGTCTAGGTTTGGGTTCTGGCTCCACTTCCTCCCTGGGAGGCAGGAACTAAACACTCAAATACTGTGTTCTCCCCCATGGAGGTCCAACCCTGGCCACTGTGGGCATTTCCAGTAAAAAAGAAAAACAAATAAGTAAATTTAACTTAATCCAAAAGGGAAGATGAAGAAAGGATGGTAATTTTTAAGCTACCTACAGTGACTGCACAATTTTTAGAAAGAAAGGCTCAATAAGTAAGTTTGCCTTGCCACTGAGTTAAAGCAAGTTAAGAAAACAGAGTTTGGGGCCAGCACTGTAGGGCAGCTGCTTGCAACGCAGGTATTCCACGCTGGAGTGCTGGTTCAAGCCCTGGCTATTCTGCTTCTGACCCAGCCTCCTGCTAATGCACCTGGAAGGCAGAGGAAGATGGCCCACATATTTGGGCCCCTGCCATGCATGTGGGAGACCAGGATACTTGTTTTTCTATTTTACTGGTTCCTAGCTTTGGCCTGGCCCAAATCTGGCTGTTGTGGCCATCTGGGGGTAAACTAGTGAATGAAAAATCTCCCTCCATTTCACGCTCTGCCTTTCAAATCAATCTTTAAAAAAAAAAAAAAAGCTAACTAAAATGTACAAGATGATGGCTTCTCCATGTATTCTACTTGTTAATCACTTTACCTTTAACATTACATAAAGCGGTTGCCTCATTAATGATGGCTATATAGTACAACATTCCACATGCAAAATTTCACTTAAGCTTTTAAGAATGGGTTTAAAAAACTAAAAACGGCAAGATCCACAATATATATTAGCGAAGTACTTCACCCATGTTCACATTTCACAGAAAAGGCATCTAAGTTTATATCCTTGAATACTGCTTTTAATAAATGATATAAAATGAACATCACTAATAGTTTTATGACAAAAGAATAGAAGTTAATCTATCAACTATAAACTGACCCCACAAAATAAGAAAATTAATCTTATCAAAATCTTGTTTTATGGACAGGCATTTGGTCTAATGGATAAGCTGTCAGTTAAGAAGCCTACAATCCAGGGCTGGTGCTGTGGTATAGCAGGTTAAGCTGCCACCTGTGATTTGGCATCCCATATGGGCACTGTTTCAAGTCCTGGCTACTCCACTTCCAATCCAGTTTCCTGCTAATGTGCCTGGAAAAGCAGCGAAAGATGGCTCAAGTGCTTGGGCCCTTGCACCCATGTGGGAGACCCAGAGGAAGCTCCTGGCTCCTGGCTTTGGCATGGCCCAGCCATGACCGTTGCAGCCATTTGGGGAATGAACCAGCAGATAGAAGACTTCTCTCTCTCTCTGCTTCTGCCTGTCTCTGTCACTCTTTCAAATAAATTAATCTAAAAAAAAAAAAAAAAAAAAAAAAGGCAGCAGCCCACATTCCACAGGGAGGTACCTGGGATTAGTATCTGGCTCTGGCTCCTGGCTTCAGCTTCCTGTTAATATGGACCCTGGGAGGCAGCAATGGTGATTTAAGTAACTGGGTTCCTGCCACCCATGCAGAAGACCTAAGTTGAGTCCCTGGCTCCTGGCACCGACCTGGCCCAGCCCCAGCTGCCGTAGGCATTTGGGAAGAGAACCAGCAGGTGGGAGATGACTCTGACACACTCTCTCTCTCATTCACTCTTCTCTCTTACACCCTCTTTTTATTCCTCCTAAAATTAATTAATTAAAAATTTTTTCATTTAGCAGCAGCAGAAACATGCACTTAAAAATGAACTTATTTCTAACCAATAAAAAAAATGATATATTTTTCTTAAATACTATACAAATGAGTGCACATTATCCAGTTTTTAAAAACTCACCTTCTTATTAGGAGTTGCTAAGAAGTTACCTAATTTAGCTAGGGAGGAATCTTATGACAAAAATCAATTTGCTGGAAGAGCTCTAGAATAATGCTATTACTCAACTATCTTTAAGAAGAAGCTAGTATACATATCATATAGAATATATGCTATTAATAGAAGCACTTGATTTTTCTAAGATAACTAGAGGTCTCCTCCATGTTTGATGATTCTCAAAAGGACTAAATGAAATAGCTTCTGTGAAAGCATCCCGACTAGGCCTGACATAAACAAGGTACTCGGTGAACAATATATAAAATTAAGTATTAAGGCCGGCGCAGCGGCTCACTAGGCTAATCCTCTACCTGCAGCACCGGTACCCCGGGTTCTAGTCCCTGTTGGGGTGTCGGATTCTGTCCTGGTTGCTCCTCTTCCAGTCCAGCTCTCTGCTGTGGCCCGGGAAGGCAGTGGAGGATGGCCCAAGTGCTTGGGCCCTGCACCGCATGGGAGACCAGGAGGAGGCACCTGGCTCCTGGCTTTGGATCGGCGTAGCGCGCCGACCGTAGCAGCCATTTGGGGGGGTGAACCAACGGAAGGAAGACCTTTCTCTCTGTCTCTAACTCTGCCTGTCAAAAAAAAATTATATAAAAAAAATTAAGTATCAGGGCTGACATTGTGGCACAGCAGGTTAAGCAGCTGCCTGCAATACTGGGACCCCACTTAAGAATGGATTCCACTCCAACTGGAATTCCACTCCACTTCCAATCTAGCTCCTTCCTAATGTACCTGGGAAAAGCAGAAGACGCCCAAGTGCTTGGGACCCTGCCACACATGTCAGAGATCTAGATGGAGTGTCAGGCTTCCAGCTTTGGCATGGCCTAGCCCTAGCTATTGTGACCATTTGGGGAGTGAACCAGCAGATGGACAAATTCTCTCTCTCTCTAACTCTGTCTTTCAAATAAATTTTTAAAAATCTTAAAAAAAAAAAAAAAAGTCTGGAAATGATTCATATGACCTATTTAAGAGAAAATAAAATTTTGTCACTCAAGAATTATTATAAAAGCTAGATGTGACAGGGTCTTTAGTAATTTCAATGACAACAGAAAAATATGCAAGAATAATTAATTTTGCTGAATTTTTTCATGAAACTATGTTACAAAATAACATAACTATCACATTCAATGCAGACATAACCACTACTTTCAATATTCACTCAATGCTGATTAACTCAAAAGTGAAAAGTGATTAGAAGCATAGGCTTTGAAGTCAAAGGCTATCAGGACTCAAATTCCAACTGTGCCACTTTGATGTGTGACCATAGACAAACAACTTCATTTTTCTAACATTAACTTTCTTCATCTATGAAACACTGGCAACTGTACTTACCGTATAGTAAGTTTTAAGAACTTAAGAAAATATTCGTAAAGTTCTTAACAAGTAAGAGCTACCACATGTTCTTGTATGTTTTGTATTAAATAAATACTTGAATGCCTATTTTATGTAAGAACCTTAATTATGCTACAAAACCCAAAATTACAATATTCATGAGTGAAGATTTGCCTAATAAGAAATTAAAATGATATAAAGCATCTTTCTGTATCTTGTCACCCAATTTCATGTTCTGAAGTAGCTACAGACTTAATTTGTAAACACAAAGTTCAGCAAAACTGGATCCTTTCATTTAAGATGTGTTCCAAAATGATCACTCAAAAGCTTTCCTGAGTAAAGAAAATTAAATATTTGGACTACAGTCTATAGGAAGACATACAAGTAAATGATATGCTAAATGATAAACAAGGGAGAATAATTCTTAAAAAAAAAAAAAAAAGAGGAAGAAGAAATTTAAGGAAAGGTTTGCTATAGATACCATATGAAGGGTAACTAAGACTCCATAGTCCATAAGCAAGAAGCTAAATGTTTTGCTGTTAAATTCTAACCTATGTAACCTGTACCTTGGCTCTGTTAAATTTACTTTGGAAAAAGAACAAAATGAGCTAAAATTTAGTAAGAAAAATAAGCCTAGGTAATGTCTAAATTGTTAAAATTTCCTGCATATCCTAAGCCAAATGAAGTTACGTTCTATGTAGTTTAAAGATGCTTTAGATTATTTTGATTTACTGTTTCAGAGAAGTTCTAATACGCACAATATTTTGATATATAAAAAAGTACTTGCCTTCATATGGTGTGTCTGGAGGTCCTGCTATTTCTCCTCTTAATTCTGTAAAATTCTCATCTACAAGATCTACTTTAATTTGATTTTTGCTCGTCTTAAAAATAAACAGAAAATAAATGTTAGTTATGTCAGCAAGAAAAAAAGCCTATTTTAAAATATTACCTACAAAAAAATTTTGAAACCCCCTTCTTTCATAAGTTTGATTATCTGTACTAGTAAAAAGTCGGTGCTTTTGTAGGATTAATTAGCTGAAGAATATTCAAATCAAATACTAAGAATTTTCACGTAAATGTTTCTAATGAAACACCACCACCTTGAACAGTAATACAATGGCTTGTTGCCTTTATAGCAATGTTCTTAGAGAAAAACTGTAGACAAGTTATTATTTTTTTTTAGACAAGTTATTTTATATTTGCCAATCCCCTAACTGTATGTCAGGTCCTAAATGATGAATCTATTCATCTGTAGATGAACAATGAGATACTAGGTCCCAAACTTGCTGAGTTCCAGCCAGAAAATTCAGGGTCATTAAAAGCCATTTAGGCTTTCGCTTGACCAAATAACAACTCTGGATGTTCAGTGTAACTGATTCAAACACTGCACCATCCAGTAGGATGGTAAAGTAAAAGCTCAAAGCATCTAATTGTTTCCATGAAAATTCCCAAAGCCCATGTCACTGGAATCTAAGGTCTTCTTCAATTTGTTTTTCTGTTTAGTCTACTTCAGTCAACAACTTTCTTTCCAAAACCGATTTCTACTTTATCTATACCTACTTATTCAGACTTTACACTGCTCAAAGTATTTCCATATCTGAATCACCTGAGTCTCTGAATCTTGTGACAAGTCCATCCTCAAAGTCATGGAGACCTTAAATGATTCATAAAACCACCCAGTGGGATTCACGACACTCACAAGTACCTGCCTGCAGATGAGCTCTAGATTTATATTTTCAAACCTACACTAGTTTCTTTCTGGTCTATAACCTATATTCTTAACACAATGTATCCTCCCTTCTCTCAATTTAATCCTAAATGCCTAGGGTACAAGTTGTGCTTTCACTTTTTTGATAGGACTCTTTTTATCTAATTGACCCAACCTATCTACTCTTAAGAAAGAAGGACTAACCCATGATTTCAAGAGTAAATTTTTTTGCTTTTCTTAAAATGCTTTACTGCATGAAACACTAAAAATTGCTGTTTTAAAGTCCTTGGTTTCTTCTTTTCATCCCCAACCAAAGACACTATTTTTACTCCTTTTCTGAATATTTTTAATACACAATGTTTAATAAAGAAACAATATATAAATTAAAATCATAAATATACATAAAAAACATTAACATCTTGGTATTTGTGGCAGAAAATAAATTTTACATTTTAACCACAGTAAAAATATTTTATGTTGTATGTACAAACACAAATAATGTCTTAAAGAAACATGGAAGTATCTGACTTTCACTATCCAATATAAGAAGGCACAGACTTATTACAGACTTCCATGTTTCCCTTAAGATTTCTAAATAAAACAAGATGATCTGCAAATCATCAGTGCTTTCAAAGATCTCTACAGCTTCCTACAATCCCTCCTCTAAAAATAGGTAAATAACCATAAAACATTAGGATACTAAAGGATCTCACTAAAGTTTTAGATAGAGGAGGCTACAGAGATCAGAAAAACTGCTTTTGGGGAAGTGCTCCAACTCTCTGGTTATTGAAATGCTAAATAAAAATTATTAATTTTTATACCTGTCCTTATTTCTGTCCACATCACCCCCAAATTCTAATTCAGAGAAAAATGGATCTTTTTTCACTCTATAGAAAAAACACTATTATTGTATAAAAATTTACTGAATCATAATCTGCTCAAGAAAATACCATCACCATGATGAATTCCATTATAAAGAAGCACTCTATATGTTCTAGAGTAGGATCTTTATCTGCAGATAATTAAAGATAAAAAGAAAATGGTATGTTAGAAAAGATATTTCACAGCTTAATTTTTCCATCAAGAAATCTCCACAATTTAACTCAAACATCAATTATTTTGTAATTCAAAAACTCCAATACCACTGCCCCACAAACTAACTTAAACTAACAAAATTCTAAATTAAGACTCAGAAACTATAAGACATATAAAACGGCAACACCCAGGTTTAGAAAATGCATGGCCTTTGAAATTACAACACATATGTAATATCCTACTTCTGTCACTTATGGTATTAATTGAGGTATGTCACCATCTAACTCAATTTTATTATAAAATGAGAGTATCCTCAATAGAAGTAGCATAGTTACCCTTTCCCTAATAACATTAACTATAAAACCTTTGGTTTCAAAGCCCTTTTTACAAAAATTCTGTTTCCACTCTAACAATGAAAATGCAATTTCTAAAAATAAACACTATGTGATATTAATTTTAATGACTGCAACAACCAAGGAGGATGAAGATTTTGGATGAAACCTCAAGGAACTGTGTTATTACTGCTCTACATTTTTCATGAGGATAGCTGCAAAGCTGTTTTTTCTGTAGTTTCTTCTCCCAACTCGGGTAAACATACTGCAGACTTCTGACTCCCCTAGGGCTCCAAGACTTTTTTTAATGCATAAAAGGAAAGAAGGGATGAATAGAAACCACTGCTCCCAGTGAACAATTTTTACATGAATTATCTTATTGACATAAACATGTAAAATGCCACATATATAGTGTTGAAGCTACCTTGGATAGAATAAAAAATGATTGATAAGAAACTGTGCAGAATTGAAAGCACCTTCTAGAGTCTCAAAACTATGTCTCTTGGTAAAATATTATCAGAAAAATTATTTTAAACAATTATTGGGTTCTACTATATACCAGAAATAAATTCCCCATGTCAGTGAACAAAAACAAAACTCCTGCACACTTGGAGATTATACTTTTTTTTTTTTTTTTTTTTTTGAAAGGCAGAGTGGATAGTGAGAGAGAGAGAGACACACACACACACACAAAGGTCTTCCTTTTTGCCATTGGTTCACCCTCCAATGGCTGCTGCTGCTGGCACACTGCGGCCAGCGCATCGCGCTGATCCGAAGCAGGGAGCCAGGTGCTTCTCCTGGTCTCCCATGCGGGTGCAGGACCCAAGGACCTGGGCCATCCTCCACTGCACTCCCGGGCCACAGCAGAGAGCTGGCCTGGAGGACGGGCTACCGGGACAGAATCTGGCGCCCCGACTGGGACTAGAACCCAGTGTGCCGGCGCCACTAGGTGGAGGATTAGCCTATTGAGCCGCAGCGCTGGCCTGGAGATTATACTATTTGGAAAAACTCAGCACTAAGTACAAAGTACATTGTTTTCTGTGTTTAAAACTTACTAATAGGGGATCGGTGTTGTGGCATAGTGGGTAAAGCTACTGCCTACAAGGCCAGAATCTCATGGCTGCTTCATTTCTGATCCAGTTTCCTGCTAAATGCCTGGGAAAGCAGTGGAAGATGGTCCAGGTGCCTGGACCCCTGCTACCCTCGTGGGAGACCTGAAAGAAGCTCCAGGTTCCTGGCTTTGACCGGACCCAGACTCAGCCATTGTGATCATCTGGGGAATAAACCAGCATATGGAAGATTGATCTCTTTCCCTCTCTGTACCTCTTTCAAATAAATAAATAAATCTTTTTAAAATTTTTTTAAAATAAAGAAAAAAAACTAACAAGTCAGGTGTTTGGCTTCCAGGTAAAAATACCTATATTCTCTTCTAGAGTGCCTGGATTCAATACACATCTCTGGTCTCTCCTCCAGCTTCCTGTACAGGCAGACCCTGGGAGGCAGCAGATGATACTCAAGGGATTAAGTCTCTGCTACCCATATGGGAGACCTGGATCTGGTTACTGGCTTCACTCTCAGCTTAGTTTGGGCCATCATGGGCTTCTGAGGAGTAAACCAGTGGACAAGAGCTTATGTTTGCTCACTCACTCCCTATCTGCCTCTCAAATGGGGGAAAAAAAGAAAACTTACTAGCTATGGTACACTGAGCAAGTTAATAAACAATTCCATACTCGCTTCATCCTGTCAACTGGGGATTATAACAGCATCTACTTTATAGGGTTTATGGGTAAAATTAATGAATATAGCACACAGAACAATTCCTACCACACAGTGAGTGATTAACAGATAGTAGCCAACCAAGTTTTGGTAATGATATTGGAGCAGAAAATTTCCACCCAAAGTAAATACTGTTACCTTTTTAATGGGATAATTTATCATAATAATCTCACTTTTTAAAATTGTTTAAAGATTTATTTATTTGAAAGAAAAAGAAAAGAAAGGGAGAGAGAAGAAGGGGGGAGAGAGAGCAGGAATGAGAGCGATCTTCTACCCCATGGTTCATTCCCCAAATACCTGAAACCAAGGCTTCTCATGTGGGTGGCAGGGATTCAAGTACTTAACCTGTCACCTGCTGCCTCCTAGGTGCAATAGGAAGTGGAATAGTCATAAATTAGGCATTGGGATATAGGATGCAGGTGTCCCGAGCAGCAGCTTAACCCCTTGCATCACAACACCCAATTCCTCACCTTGATCTATTATGAAAAAGTTGTTCTAAAACAACATTTAGAGCCGGCGCCGTGGCTCACTAGGCTAATCCTCCGCCTAGCGGTGCCGGCACACCGGGTTCTAGTCCCGGTCGGGGCGCCGGATTCTGTCCCGGTTGCCCCTCTTCCAGGCCAGCCCTCTGCTGTGGCCAGGGAGTGCAGTGGAGGATGGCCCAGGTGCTTGGGCCCTGCACCCCATGGGAGACCAGGAAAAGCACCTGGCTCCTGGCTCCTGCCATCGGATCAGCGCGGTGCGCTGGCCGCAGCGCGCCGGCCGCGGCGGCCATTGGAGGGTGAACCAACGGCAAAGGAAGACCTTTCTCTCTGTCTCTCTCTCTCTCACTGTCCACTCTGCCTGTCAAAAAAATAAAAATTAAAAAAAAAAAAAAACAACATCATTTAGATCAAAATCCCCATTTCAGATAACACACATAATAAAAATGTACCCTAAAGTTATAGGTAATTAGATGACATAAAGAAGTTATTAATTTTTTTGATAGGCAGAGTGGACAGTGAGAGAGAGAGAGAGACAGAGAGAAATG